AGAGAGAAAGGAGAAAAAGGAGGTAGGCCGAGGAGGAGGGAGGCAGAGGCTTAACTAGTGAGAGACAAGTGGGGAAGTTTCGCCTGAATGAAGTCCATATCAATCTGCACATACACAGAGACACAAATACACACAAAGGTTGCTGAGGGCTTCATATGTAGCCGCAAAAGCACTGTATTTCTTGGGTGAAGGTGTCTACTTTTTTTTAGGCGCCTCGAAAATCGTCTCTGTTGTTGAGGGCTGCATAGGTAGCCACACAAGGCCTGTTCTTCTTGAGTGGGGGGATGAGGTTGTCTAAAAAGCAGTGAGTGAGTAAAAGCAGTGGTCGAAAAAGCAGCTACATTCTTACGCAAGTGGAGTGGAGCCAAAGAAACGCACCTCGTATTCTTGACAGTTGGCCTGTGCTGTGGCAATGGCTGAGTCATCCGCATCCACTCCTACCACATACCTGCATGCACGGATGTGCACACACAATGTGCACACACATGTGCACATACAAGCAAGCATGCAAACATCACACACATACAGCCACACAGCCGCGTGTGAATGGAAACGTGGAGGGCGCATGAACAAGAGGTACGAGGGGCTGCTTCTGAGTCGTCTAGAAAATGAACGGAAACGGATGCAAATTGATGTAGGTACAAGATGGTCTGGTGGGGTTCTAAGCGGTTCACTCACTCTGCTCCCAGCATGGCCGCGGCAATCCCTAGGGTGCCGCATCCACAGCCGAGGTCGAGCACTGTGCTGTGCGCCCCTCAGTGGTGGTGCTCCGTGGTTGTTGCATGAAAGGTCCGGCCAGTGCCTTGGGGCAATCCACATTCACTCACTCAGTCTGCTCCCTTGACGGTGCATGGTGCCTAGATGGTTTGGTACGGTTCTGAGCGGTTCACTCACTCTGCTCCCAGCATGGCCGCGGCAATCCCTAGGGTGCCGCATCCACAGCCAAGGTCCAGCACTGTTCGCCCCTCCACGTCATCAAAGCGCGTGTGGATCTGAAGGGAGGGAGAGAAGAGACAACTTGTGTGTGTGAGACACCATTGTGTGAGATATCTCGAATGAGAGACATATACACACATTTCTTCTAAAAGAGAGACATTTCCCATGAAAGGCGTATGCCCGAAGCTGCATCGCATAGTTTGTATTGAACCTATTTCAATCCAAACGTGCAAATGTGGACACAAAGTGTGGGTTGAAGATGCGTCCAAATGTGTATGCTCAAGGCACAATCACGCGTGAGCAATAGTAACCAGCATGAAATAGGGCGATAGCATGTGGAAAAGCGAGCAGCAGTAGGTTCTGGCGACAGGCTATGGCATGCTATCACTCATAGAGCATCCGTGGGCTATGGCATGCTATCACCTCATAGAGCATCCGTGAGATATGGCATGCTATCACCTCATAGAGCATCCGTGGGCTATGGCATGCTATCACCTCATAGAGCATCCGTGGGCTATGGCATGCATGCTATCACCTCATAGAGCATCCGTGGGCTATGGCATGCTATCACCTCATAGAGCATCCGTGAGGCGATGTGAGGCCCCGTGGGGTACTGCTCCAACTCGATCTGATGGAGAGGGATGGAGAGCGGTGGACGGGGATGGAGAGGGGTGGAGGGGGTTGGAGAGGGGTGGAGGGGATTGGAGCGGGATGGATTGGGATGGGGAGACGCGTGGAGGGGGTGGAGGGGGGGGGGGGGGTGGTGGAAGGAAGGGATGTGCGAGGCTGTGTGGGCAGTGGTCCTGGTTGAATTGAACAATGCATTGTAATGATGCATTGCATAAGGGGAGAGCCAGCGGGGATGAGCAGAGTCCTTAGGCACCTCAAAAATATCATGTGGGTGTGTGGTGTAGCGATCCCAAGGTAGCGAACATTTCATTGCAATGTATAACCTCAGACACGAGGGAGCGACAGCCCCGGTTCCCACGGTCACTCCGCGACTGGTGCAGAAACGAAGCGGTTTCGCTTTGGAGAATTCTCAAGAGTGATGCACGGACTTTCCGCAATCAGTAGGGAATGGACGCGATTTCGGATCGAATTTGCCGCAGATAGCTAATGCGATAACACGTACAGCATTCACATTCTAGAAACGCAACACAGGATCGCCACGGATCGGCTGGAACCTTGATTGCGCGTTCGAAGCGGCCTACCTTGGGATTGTCGAACTGCTGCACATCTCCTAAGAGCGACTCGAGCTGCTTCAGCTTCATTTTCCGAAGACGAATACTAGTCTACGATACTGAAGAAGAGATACGATTTTGTATAATACATGGACTATGGAACGCGAAGGGACTTCATTAGTGGTCCGTGGGACCCGAGTCGAGGGCTCACACTGATAATTGACGAATGAGCAGATTCAGGTGACGGATACGCGATACAGCTAATGCTGCATTTAGCACGGATTAGCGGAAACGTTGTAAGGCATATAATCACAAATATGACAGTCTCGATTGAATAGAGAAGATTTAGAAATTGAATATTTGTACATTGAAATAATTTTGTTGACCTCAACCTTTCTAGGCACTTCGCTATACTAGCAACTCAGGAAACCTTATCACACGTTTGGGACCGATAGCCTATCAGCCCCGGCCACGATACGAGCTGATTGAATCACATCGCCAGTACGAAGAAGCTGTGCCAGAACATCCCTTCCTTTAGTCACATACCTGCATAAGCACACCACCAAGCACAGCATTTTTCAGATTGTTTCATTACGCAGAAGCATAAGCTTGCAAGACGACTCTGGCAACAGGTAGAAGTGATAGCTTACCCGAAAAACTGAGAATTGGCCCTCGTCAAAGGCAAGTCCACCCAATCCAGACTGCATTTCACATTGGAAAAGGGTGAAGGGAGGTGCAAATGAGAAAGAATAGGAGGCGCACCAGATATTTGCATCATTTGCTGATAAGGAAGAACGCCAAGAAGGAAGAAAGAATGACATCACAGCAGGCACTTGCACCTACCCGTCTCTTGTCGTATTTGTAGAGGAAGAACTGTGAGGGATGGCTGAAGGAGTCACTCTCTGGAGAGTGGGCCATGACCATTGCACCAAACACTGACATGGGCAGCACTGGGAGCTCCCCATCCTGTAAGGGAAAGATTAGAAGTGGCATATAGATGGAACAAAAGACGTTAAATATCAACAGGGTATCACCCTCTGGCGAGTGGGCCATGACCATTGCACCAAACACTGACATGGCAGCACTGGGAGCTCTCAGCCCTGCAGGTAAGGAGGACGAACAGCAGGAGACTGGACACAGAAGAAGTGCGAGAAAGAAGAAGAAAAAAGAAAAGGGAAACATACATGGCAGTGGGCCGTACGTAACTAACGCACCAAACACTGATATGGCAGCACTGGGAGCTCTCAGCCCTGCAGGTGAGATGAAAGGCAAACATGTTAGAAGCAATCAAGAAGATCTCAGAGGCACTTTCCTACCTGTACGTCAAGTGGTGTGCAGTAGATGATGGCTGGACTCGCCAGCGGGCATGATCCCAAGAGGCACCTCCCTCAAGCAGTGCCTCCCTCAAGAAGCATCTGCGCCTCCCTACCCACAACCCAGTGCAGAGCCCCCCCCCCTCCCCCCCCTATTTCCTTACCTGTACGTCCAGTGGTGTGCGGTAGATGGGTTGGAACTCGCCAGCTGGCATGATCTCAAGTGGCGCCTCCCTCAAGAGACACCTGCACACCCGGTGCAGCAACAACCCCCCTCCCCCCCTTCCTCCCTCCCACCCCCCCCCCCCCCCCCCCTCCCCCCCCCCGTACCTGCACGTCCAGTGGTGTGCGGTAGATGGGTTGGAACTCGCCAGCTGGCATGATCTCAAGCGGTACGTCCCGGCGGCGAAGTGATCTCGAGCGTCGGGATAAGACTGCCAGGTCGGTAGCCTTCACTGCCACTCCATCATATGCGCGGCGGGACACCTGGTGAGTGAAGGAAGTAAGGGTTTGGATTTGGGTTGTGAGAACGTTTGCAAAGAAAAAGCGAAGAACTGGTTCGAAGGCATGATATCAAGCGGCACGTCCCGGCAGGCAGAAGGATCTCGAACGTCGGATAGGACGGCGAGGTCCGTTGCATTCACTGCCACTCCATCGTATGTGCGGCGGGATGCCTGGTAAGTGAAGGGGGGACCACAGAAGGGGGTATGAAGGGGGCATAATCGGAGGGTATGAAAGGGGGGTATGTCTGGTGAAAAGAGGGAGGGGGGGGGGGGAGGGGAGGAGAAAGGCGAAGAAATTGGTTTTGAACTAGAAGGGCCTAGAGCGTTGGATAGTACCGCACACAGCACACAGCACACTCGCATCTCTCCTCTCAAACTCACACACTCACTCCTCTGCTCACCATACTTGCTCTTTCAGGTAACACTCACTCTCCCTCCTCAGTTTTCCCACTCCCCAGCTCCCCCATTCCCTCAATACCCCCCTCTCCCCGTCCCCTCCCTCCCCCCACACTCCTCGTTTCCCCAGTCATCCCCACTCACCAGCTGAGCCAAATTTCGGCTTGTAAGAGGAGCAGAGAGTAACATCAGCACCACCTGTGGGATGAACGGGGGATGAACGGAGGGGAGAACAGAAATTTTGAGTCGACTCGGGGGATGAACGGAGGGAGGAGAACAGAAATTTTGAGTCGACTCGGGGGATAATGAACGAGGGGAGAACAGAATTTTGAGTCGACTCGGGGGATGAACGGAGGGAGAACAGAATTTTGAGTCGACTCGGGGGATGAACGGAGGGAGAACAGAAATTTGAGTCGACTCGAGGGATGAACGGAGGGAGAACAGAAATTCAAGGCACACGTATGCATGCTTTTGCGCTGCCTCAGGCATCGGTTGGGTGGGTGTGAGAGAAGGAGGCGGGTGTCAAGCACCGCCTGGAAGGAAGAAGTGGGGGAAAAAGGGAACGGACGGGAATGGAAGAGAAGGGAAGGGATTGGGAAGGGGAGCAAGGGGATCGGGAAGGGAATGGGATGGGAACAGAGCAAAAGAATGCGAACAGAAGGGGATGGGGAGGGAGGGGGAGTGAAGGAACGAACGTAAACAAGGAAAGAGAGGAACTTTTGAGGCGCCTGAAGAATTGCGCGCGATAAGATACGACTTCTGAGGCGCCTTAAATGAGAAGAGCAGGGCATGGGATGGGGAAGTGGAGGAACGAACGTAAACAAGGAAAGAGAGGAACTTCTGAGGCGCCTTAAATGAGAAGAGTAGGGCATGGGAAGGGGAAGTGAAGGAACGAACAAGAAGTAAGAGTAATCCAATGCCAGCACACTATGTGAGCAAGTGTAGTGTAGGTGCACGTGCACACACCTGGTCATGCAAGCATGAAGACACACCTGCATCACGCCTGTGAGGGCAGAGGTGGCTCCGTTATCAAGGGAGAAGTATGAGCCGTCCGCCTTGAGTACTGCGAACTCTATTGTTGCCCGCCCTGTTAGGCTGAGAGGTGTGAATGAGATGGAAAGGGGGTGGGGGTGACATGTATTGTAAGTTGAATAAAGTCGCATCAAGTCACATGTGAGTTGAGGTGACTCAAAAGAGAAGTATGAGCCATCCGCCTTGAGCACTGCGAACTCCACCATTGCCTGCCCTGTTAGCCTGGGAGGTGCGAAGAGAGGGGATAGACAAGGGAGGAAGGTGAACAAGGTGAGGACAGGGAGAGAGAGGAAGTAAGAGCCATCCGCCTTGAGCACTGAAAACTCCTCCGTTGCCTGCCCTGTTAGCCTGGGATGAGTGGAAGAGGGAGGATGGAGGAGGGAGAAGGTGAACAAGAGGAGGAAAGGGAGAAGAGAGAGGAGAGGGGAAGTAGGAGCCATCCGGCTTGAACACTGCAAACTCCAACGTTGCCTGCCCTGTTAGCCTGAGAGGTGTGAGTGAAGCGAGAGGGCGGACGGGAGAGCGGGTGAGGCTGCTTTTGAGACCATTCACGAGCGGCGATTCTCTAGGCGTGTCAAGAGGCATTTTCTCTTTTAAAAAGGGAGAAGGGACCTGGCGTGCAGGAGATAGAGGCCAAGGATTGAGGATTCCCCTTGTAAGTAGCTGTTAATGCTCAGACCCACCGTGGCAGGCTGGCGTATTGGGAGGGGATGAGGAACTGGAGGCCCGTGGCTTGCAGCAGTGAGAGATGAGTATGGGGAGTTTACCTTTCAAGCAGTTGTTCAGTGACACACACGCACTCAGACCCACTGTGGCAGGCTGGCGTATTGGGCGGGGATGAGGAACTGGAGACCCATGGCTTGCAGCGAGGGCAAGAGGCTAGTGATTGAGATTTCACCTTGTAGGTAGGTAGTGGTTTCGTGATACATGCTCACACCCACCGTGGGAGATTAGCGTATTGGGAGGGGATGAGGAACTGAAGACCCGTGGCCTGCAGCAGTGAGAGGTTGGCGACATCGTTGAGGGAGGAGGCGAGGCGGATGGAGACGCGGTCAGGGTCCTTGTCCTCTATCGCTGCCAGGAGGCCGGGGAAGCCGCTCTGAAATGAGAGGGATGAGGAAAGGAGAATGAAGAGGAGGAATAGAGTGAAGTCTGGAGGCGAGGCGGAGCGGATGGAGACGCGGTCAGGGTCCTTGTCCTCTATCGCTGCCAGGAGGCCTGGGAAGCCACTCTGATGGGGGAGGAGGTGGGGAGGGCAAAGAGGAAGAAACGAGGCAAAGAGGGAAAGAGGAAAGAGTGAGCAGTGAGGCCAGGCAGATGGAGACGCGGTCAGGGTCCTTGTCCTCTATGGCTGCTACCAGGCTGGGGAAGCCACTCTGATGGGAGGAGAGGAGGGTGGGATAAGAAGCGGCAAAGACGGAGAGACGAGGCAAAGAAGTGAAGGGGGGGAGGAAAGGCTGATGGAGGCGCATCTGACGGGAAGGAGGGTGGGGAGGACAAGGAACGGATGGAGAACAGCACAGCACCGCACAGCATTGCACAGAATCACACAGCACCGCACGACACCACACAGCACCACAGCACGCACCTTGGAGCTGACAAGGTCGTTGTAAATAGCTGCTGCCCTCTCCCTGTCGGGAACAGGCACAGCATCCAAAATCGCTGCTTGATTTGCCTCTGCCAGCTGAGAAAAATGAGAACGGGAGGAAAAAGAGGGAGAAAGGAGGCAGGGGGGGGGAGGGGATGGATGAAAGAATCGAGGAGGGATGGAGGAAGGGGAAGTGAGGAGGTTGGAGAGGGGAGAGGGGGAGAGGGTGGGTGTTCGCTCGGGTCATTTCACTGCCTTCGTGATAAAAGTGAAGTTTTGAGACGTCTCACTCAAAACTTCACTTTTATCACCTGTCTGGTGCACGTGCATGCAGCGTGGTTGTTCGCACGGGGCATTTCAGTGCAGAGAGAGGAGGATGGTTGATTGAGCCTGTTCTGCTGCACTGCCTTGGTACGCACCTTGAGCGCCTTATTCACGTTGGCCGCCATTGTCTTGTACGGCTTCTTCTGAGGGATGCGCATGAGCGTTGTGATCTCCTCCAGCTCATCCTGATAGGTGTTGGCGGAGGGGGGGAGGAGGGGGGGGTTGGGAGTGGGGGGGATGGGAGAGAGAGAAGCGTGGATGATGGGCGGGAATGGGGGAGGGGGAGTTGTGGGGGAAATGGGAGAAAGGAAAATCCAATGTCGGAAACTCTTGGGGGAGTTTTGGTCACCGACGTGTGGGGACAATGGAAAGGGAGTGTGTTGCGACAGAAAGGGGATTATAACTATTTTTCTGACCCGAGAATTCACCTCATTTGAACCGAGTTTTCCTGACATGGCTGGTAGGTTTGGTAACTTCGAAGGGAAAAATCTGGTATGAGATGAATCTTCTTAGTCTGGTTTGTGGTAACTACTAACTTATCTCCATAAGAGGAGTCAATCGGACTGGCCTTACTGAATCTTCCTGACCGCCTCGTTGACAACTGGCACGGCGCGGCGGAGCGCCACGTCAGCATTGCGAGGAACCTTGGTGTCCGGGGAGAGCAGGATGGCTTCCGCGGGGGGTGGCTGCGCCAGGAGGGGGACGAACGCGGCGGACACTGGCGCAAGCACCTAATATTTTGGGGGGGGGGGGGGGGGGGGGGGGGGGGGGGGGGGGGGCGAATGGGGGATGCGCGAGGAAATGGGGGGGAATAACCGCGGGAGTGGGGAGAATGGACGGACAATATTTATCGCTTATTAGATTCTACCAACTCGACTGAAATCCGTCATACGCGTTATGATCTGCAGCGCATTACAGTCATGTTTCTTTAGTGAAGGATACTACAGTGCGTGTTAATCTATTGAGTGCTAGTCTAGTAAGTGTTGTTAGAAACAAATTGTTACAGAGTGTTTAATCAAATGACTCACCTGAATAGCAGCTAGCACCGCGGCGACGGCTTTGCCTGCCACCGTTGATGCCACACGAGAAGCATCGGACGGCTCGGCGGTGGAGGAAGGCTGTGCATCGAAAAAGACAATAACGAAAGAAAACGAAAAATCCCCGAGAAATGCGAATTGATGTCGAGATTTTTCTTATGGAGGAGACGTTCGCTCCAGGGCTACAGATAAACTTGAAGACGGCTGCCTGGCACGGAAAAAAAAAGGAATGCATTGGTCATGGACCTGACGTTCGCTCCAGGGCTACAGATAAACTTGAAGACGGCTGCCTGCCACACGAGACTACCCTCAAGAGATGGCCTGACCAGCAACGATAATGACATGCCGTTGATTAGGGAGGTACCCTTTTGCAAGCTCAGGCCTGCAAGGCCAATGCCTCCTATAAAATTGATTATAAGGTCCCGTAACGCTAACCATGCCATGGCCTGCAGCGATTATCATAAGGCATTGATTAGACGACTTAGCTTGTGATCTGCGAGGATAATGGTTGCGTAAAATATTGATAAGAAAAGTACCTTTTCGCTAGCCCTGGCCTGCACTGGCTGGCGCGACATTAGCCATGGCGACCGCGCTGCTTCCGCAGTGAGGCCACGTCGAACGCGCCGGTTCTTACGGCCGCGCTGCTTAGGGCGACCGGCAACTGCTGCGCTCCGGCGGCTTCTCCCCTCCGCGAGAGCGCGAGGCTTGCGGAAAGGCTGGGAACGGAGCAGAGAGCTGCGGTCGCCATGGTTGTGGGGGAAAAAAAATCGCGTTTGGCGGAGAAGAAGAAACTAAAATTTCAAGGTGTTGCCCTTCATCAATCTCAAGTAGTAGTTCCTAGGTTGGAACTTGTGCCCACTTGAAGTTGTCCATGAGGCGTATTCGGAACTTACAAATTGGGCGGAGTCGACATGCCCCCAACTGTAGCGGAGTTTGGAACATTTTTCAATACAGAAACCGAGCTTCGTGCGCGAACAAACACCCCGAATTCCATTGCAACCAGCTGAGAAGCATGAGCCGTTGTCCCTTGGGATGAACGGAGAACACGCCTTCGAAGTCTAACATGGAGGACACACATTTGTGGCCCACTTTATCCATGCGATTGATGCTGCGTTGGTCGAAATGGGTTACCCTGCGATGACGAAACCTTCCAGCAAGCCGCTAGCCACGTAATCAGATCCTCTCACCTTGCTACGTTCGCCACATGAGAAGGCATCACTGGTTTGAGTGCCATCTGACGACAGGGTGACGTCGGTTCAGAATCCTGCGCATCTGATCTGGATGCCTTGCTACGTGGCACCAAAGCAATGTAAGGGAGCAGATTCTCACAAAAGCCAGAGTACACTTAGCTCTAGATACAAAAACCTATATAATACCGTACAGAGGATCTACTGAAATATTATCAAATCCTCGTTCCAATCTAGCTAGAGAATGATTCAAAGCAGTGACACAAAATGGTTTAAAACAGCTCAGTAACAGAGGGCTCACAGCCCGAACCTGGCCAAGGACCTGTAACCCTATCAAGCACCTCCCAATCAACCTGTCCTTGTGAACCATGCACCGTCTCCATCCAATGCATTATCTCCAAGCTAAGTCGTGCCATCAATGGCATATCCACCAATCGTTGCTTCGCCACATCCTCCCACGCTCGATCCGCCGCAATTTCCTGCTTCGACCGCGACAAAGGAGACGTTGACTTGGAAGAAGCAGAAGCTGCCTTGCGGGAGCTAGGAGATCGGGCTGGACATTGTTGGGATGGGTGTTGGTGCAGACGACCCGGGCATTTCCACTGGGGATGAGATTTCTCCGCCTTTTCGATCTCCCTTGCCTTGTTCATCCACTCTTTCAGCTTCACTATTTTGACTCGCAGCACACCCTGATTCTCTGCTCTCTCCTTCGCTGCGATCCCCAGCATCCTTGTTAGAGGCTTCTCCAGTAGAGGTAGAAGCTTTCAGAAAGGTATGGAGCCGATCGACGAACGACGCAAAGAGCAGCATCGCCCGAAGCGCTGGTGGTGGTGGTGCTGGTGGGGCGGACCCTCTCTCTGCACTGCTGTCTGCTGCAGCAGTAACAGCAGTATCCCTCGCACCACCAGCAGCAGCAGCAGCAGCAGCAGAAGCAGCAGAAGAAGAAGCAGTGGTAGCAGCAGAAGCAGCAGAAGCAGCGAGAGCAGGTCCGGCGAGAGAAGGGGGCAGCACAGCACATCCATCCAGACCCACCACATGCGCCCGTGCTGCTTCATGCACTGCCAGCAGCAGAAACATGTGGCGCGACCGCTGCCACCTGTGCAGAGGCCACGTCAGCACAGTTGCCAGCATGGCATCGCAAACGCTGCCGCCCATCCCCCCTGCGACTGTTGCTGTAGAGAGTGAGGAGCGCGGGAGGTGGAGAGAGGAGGCGGAGGGAGAGGAAGAGCGAGGGGAGGAGGAGGAGGCTGAGGGGGAGGAGGAGAGGAGGAGGGGGACTGTAACGGAGAGGAGGCAAGAGGGGATGACTGCAATGGAGAGGAGGAGAGAGGGGAGGATCTGGAAGGAGAGGAAGAGGAGGGTGGTTGTCGCGAGGGAGAGTCACAGGATGAAGGTGAAGCAGATGAAGAACGGGGGAAGGTGGAGGAGAGAGAAGAGGGAAGCCTGGAGTGCAGCTGTGAGGCTAGTTCGAGGAGGGCAGAGAGGGAAGAGTCGAGGGAGTGGCGCTGGGAAGACGAGGCGGAGGAGGAGAGGTGCAGCAGCATGTGCAGCTGGAAGGGGAGGAAGCGTGCGTTGCTCTCGCGCCCGCCCCCGTGGCAGTCAGTGCTGAAGCTGGCTGCGAGCACGAAGCGCGCGATGAGCGTGCGGAGATCCCGCAGGAGGACAAGGAAGCGGGAACCGTCCACGTGGCCGAGGGATGAGACGCTTTCCCACCAGGTGTCAAGACCGCGGGCGTACACTGCTGGGGAGACCTGTGGGATCGAGGGAGGTGTTGGGAGGGTGGAGAGGAAGAGAAGGGGGAAAGGTATTGGGGAGTGAACAAGGGAAAGGCAGTCGCTGCTGAAGCTGACCCCGAGCACGAAGCGTGCGATGAGCGTGCAGAGATCCCAGAGGAGCACGACGAATCGCGCTCCGTCCACGTGGCCAAGAGAGGCAATACTTTTGATTAGGTGTCAAGGCCTCGGTTGTACACTGCTAGGGAGACCTGTGCGAACAAGGAAGGTGTTGGGAGGGTGGAGGGGAAGAGAATGCGGATATGAATGGGGTAGTGAACAGCTGATAGGCGGTCGGTGCTCCCAAGGGCAACGAAGCGGGCATGGAGAGTGCGGAGGTCCCGGAGAAGCACGAGGAAGCGAGAGCCGTCCACGTGGCCATGGGAGGAGCTACCAAGCAGACACTCTTCCACCGGCATGCTTGGCTCGGTCAAGTAGAAGCGATGCCTAAGTATGGTGTCGTGTAGTGAGGGTGTTTTTGAGACGTCTCAAAAACACCCTCACTACACGTGGCTATTCCACCAGCATGCTTGGCTCGGTCAAGCAGAGGCGATGCCTAAGTATGGTGTGTGGCACTCGCATTACAGCTTGGAAAGCAAGGTGCTACCAAAAAGGCGGCCTGAACTGAGGGCCTCGTAAGGAGAAGAGCGCGTGCGTTGCAGGGCGTGCCGCCATGGTGAAGGGCTGCGCCGTCCCACTCGCGCTTGGCTCATAGAACAGGCAAGGCAAGCGGGCCTTACCTGAGGCCCACGCAGGGGGAAGAGAGCGTTGCAGAGCGTGCCGCCGTTCCTGAGAGCTGCCCCGTCCCACTCGTGCTTGGGCAGCTGGGCTGAGTTGGCATGCTTGGCTCACAGGACAGGCAAGGCAAGAAGGCCTTACCTGAGGGCCTCGTAAGGGGAAGAGGGCGTTGCAGAGCGTGCCGCCGTTCCTGAGAGCTGCCCCGTCCCACTCGCGCTTGGCAGCTTGAGGGCGGAATCGGCACGCTTGGCTCGGTCGTGGCAGGAAAAGTGGATGGTGTTGAAATGAGAGACGGTGGAGATCGACCAATTTACTGCCACCCTGCTTGTCGTTGAGGCTGGAAGGGGGAAGAGGGGAGGGGCAGGCAGGGGGGTGGAGGAGGGAGGCAGCGCACAAACACATGGGAATGAAGAAGAAGTGGATGGAGTTGAAATGGGAGACTGTGGAGATGGACCAGTTCACTGCCACCCTGCTAATAGTTGATGCTGGAAGGGAGAGAAAGAGAGGGAAAGGGCGGGCAACAGCACACAGGGAGACACGGGGACAAGAGCAGAATGAGAAGTGGATGGTGTTGAAGTGGGTGGGCAGCACACAGGCCGGAAATCGGCATGCTTGGCCCGGTTGTGGCAGAGAAGTGGATGGTGTTGGAATGGGCGACTGTGGAGATAGACCAGTTCACTGCCACCCTGCTTGTGGTTGAGGCTGGGAGGGGAAGAAAGAAAAGGGGCAAGACGGGTTTGGGGGTGCGGGGAGCAGCACAACGAGGCATGGGCACAGGGAGCAGCAGGAGAAGTGGATGGTGTTGAAATGAGAGACGGTGGAGATAGACCAATGCACTGCCACCCTGCTGGTCGTGGATGCTGCTGAGAAGGGAGGGGAGGGAGTGGAGGGAAGGACATGGACAAGAGGGCATGGTGGTGGGACACGGGGACAACAGGAGAGAGGCAGGACTTTTGAGACGTCTCAAAAGACAGCAGCAGGAGGAGTGGATGGCGTTGAAATGAGAGACGGTGGAGATAGACCAATGCACTGCCACCCTGCTGGCCGTGGATGCTGCGAGGGAGGAGACAGTGGGGGAGCGGAGGAAGGACAAGGACAGGAGGGAATGGTGGTGAGACATGAAGACAACAGCAGTACTCCTCGTGGCACATGGCAGGAGGCAGAGTGACGGAACGCAGCGAGGGCAGTATCTCGCCCAACCCAGCAAGGTACTTACTGAGGCTCCACAACGAGAAGGTACTTACTGAGAAGCGTCTGGAGTAGGTGTAGGCTCCGATCAGCTCATTCGGCCGCAGGCGGTACCCCTCGTGGCACACCATGCAGCGCAGCGCACGCTTCAACCTAACAGATACAGGACTTACTGAGGGACTTACTGAGGCTCCAGGTGGAGAGGTCGGAGAAGCGTCTGGAGTAGGTGTAGGCGCCAATCAGCTCGTTGGGGCGAAGGCGGGTACCCCTCGTGGCACACCATGCAGCGCAGCGCACGCATGGCAGGAGGCAGAGCGATGGGACGGCCCAGCTGTAGATCTCGTGCGTCGTTGAAAGGGAAAGCAGTGGAGAGTAGAGCAGCAGCAGCAGAGGCACCTGCATTATTAGCCTCCTCTCCCTCCTCTCCCTCCTCTCCCTTTTCGTTTCGCTCCTCCCCTCCCTCCTCCTCGTCCTCGTCCCCATCCCTGCTCTGCCTGCGCCTGCAACTGGAGTGGAGCCTGCACTGGCTGCGCCTTCCCCAGATACAGACGGTTTTGCTGATGTCAGCACGATGCGGTGGGCTCCGGTAGGAGCCAGCTGGGATTTAACCCCCATACTCTGAGATAAAAGGAGCAGAGGTAGGAAGAGGGGGGGGGGAACGCATGGCGGAAGCAAAGGTGAAAATTATAAGGTAATTTGGGGTCTACTCATCAACAATCAATAGGTGCCAGCTGGGATTTAACCCCCATGCTCTGAGATAAAAGGAGGAGAGGTAGGAGGAGGGAAGGCAGGGGAACGCATGGGGGAAGCAAGGGGTGAAGATTCAAGGGAACCTTGAAGTCGTCACAAAAATCTATAGGTGCCAGCCCGGATTTGAACCCATGCCTTATAATCGTGGTGGCAACGAAGGGAAGAGAGAGGGGAAGCGGGGGGGGAGGGGAGGAGGGCGAGGGGAGGGGAGGGAGTTAGATCAGGAAGAGAAGATAAGGGGAATTCTTCCTCACACCCACACACCCACTTTCATCACTACCGGTACATTGCCTCACCACACAGCATCCACTCCCACTCACACCCCTATCCCACACTCTCTCACCCTGCCTCACTCCCCCCTCGCTCACTCCCTCACACACTCCCTCACACACTCCCTGACTCACTTTCATCAGCTCCATGCGTCGTCTCATGTGATAAAAGTGATGTTTTGAGACGTCTCATGTGATAAAAGTGATGTTTTGAGACGTCTCAAAACATCACTTTTATCACTCCCTGACTCACCTTCATAAGCTCCATGCGTCGTCGCATTGCCTTCTCCCTCCTCCTCTCCTTCGCTGCTGCCCTTAGCTCAGCCACTGCCAACCGAACCTCCTCATCCACCCTCCCTCCTCCCCTGCTCCTCTCCCCTTCTCCTTCCCTCCCTCCCCTTGCTCTCCTCCCCCACCTCCCTCGCCCACCTATAACTCCCGACCCCTCTCCACCGCTCAGCACCTCTAGCAGAGCTTCAGCCCTCGCTCCCAGCCCATCGTACCCCACCACTCCCTCCAGCAGCAGCAGCAGCGGCAGCACCCCCTTCTCTGTCCCCTCCACCCCCTTCACTTCTCCCCCAACTCCCGTTTCCCCACCCGTTTCCAGCCCCCCCTCCTCCCGACCCATTTCCATCACCCCCTTTCTCCCCTCCGTTGCCAGCAGGACTCGTTGTGTGGGGGGGTGGCCGCGGCACAGACCAAGCAGTAGACCCAGGAGGAGCGGCAGGGAGGGCAGGGCGAGAGCTCGTTGCCAGACGGGGAGGGGGCGGAGATCAGAGAGGTCGGAGGAGGGGGAGAGGGCGGCGGGGGGGAAGGCGGTGAGCAGATGGCGCACAGCAGCTGGGGGAAGGGGGGAAGGGGGGGAAGGGGGGAAGGGGGGGAGGAGGGGGGGGGAGAGGGGGGGGGAAGAGAGGGAGATGGGCACACAGCAGGAGCAGGGAGGGTGTGAATCAGATTCCGAGACATTCAAAAGCAGAGACTGAGAAGCAGCAGATTCTGCCGGAGGGGCAGGGGGCGGGGCGAACGCACAGAGCTTGTTGACAGGCGGGGAGCGGGGGCGGAAATCAGAGAGGTTGGAGGATGGGAGGAGGGAGGCGGGGGGAAAGGAGGATACAAATCCAGACCCCCTTTTTCTCACCTTGCACACTGCCCCTTACCTTGTGGAATGCCCCTGTCCAGGATGAGAGCTCGCAGCCTCAGCCCACTGCCGTCCAGCCTGATAGCTCCCACCAGCCGCTCGAAATGTCCGTCACTGTGCTTACAGTGCTCCGACTGCTCCTTTTACCTCCCAGAATGGATTATGCCCCAGTTACGTCCCAAAATGAACCACTCACCTTGTGGAATGCCTTTTTCCAGGATGAGAGTGCGCAGCCTCAGCCCACTGCCATCCAGCCTGATCGCTCCCACCAGCCGCTCGAAATGCCCTGCCATCTGCCACCAGTGCACCGCCTTCCTCCTCCTCTCCTCCTCACTCTCCTCCTCACTCTCCTCCTCACTCTCCTCCTCACTCTCCTCCTCCCCACCACCACTCCTCTCCCCTTCCTTTACCTCCTCCTTTCTCTTCCCCTCTTCTTCCTCTATCCCCTCACTCTCCTCCCTTCCCTCTGCTTTCACGTCCTCCAACCCATCGCCATCCTTCTCCACCCCTCTCAACTCCCCCACCAACCGATCAAACCCTTTCCAATCCAGCAGCAAGGGGCAGAAATGATCAACCAGAACCCCCATAGCCCTTCCCTCTCCATACGTCATATACGGCAAAATCCGAGCCACACTCTCGGAAAAATCCCTCTTCTTCTTCCTCCCTCCACCCGCTCCCCCTGCCCCTCCCACTCCTCCACCTCCTCCCCCTGGCGCACCTCCTGCTGTGAACGCGCCTGGGCCAGATAAGCCTACCCCAGAAGCAGCCTGGGAGAGCGATGCAGCAGTGAGCTTCTCAAGAAACACTCTCACTGCTTCTTCTCCCCGCCCTGACCCTTCATGCTTCTCATCCTGCCGATACTCCTCCTCCTTCTCTGCTGTTGCAGCACTGCCCACACCACCGTCGCCCCCCATGCCGCCACCCTCACCACCTTCCACCATTAGCAGATCCACAATCCGAAGCAGGGTGTCAGCTGCGGCCTCCGCCGAACCTGCGAGCGAGGCTTGGGAAGAGGCAGCAGAAGCCGCCGCAGCACCAGCTACCCCGGCAGCACCTGCCGCCGAGCCTCCTCCCAGCGCTGACGTGGCAACACCGTGCGCGTACAGCGCTGCACGCGTGGCGCGGTCGAGCAGGCGTGGCAGCGCGTGCGAGCGCAGCAGATGCACGCGATTGGTCCGCAGCAGGCACGCGGTGTGCAGCAGCTTCAGCAGGTCACTCACGTCCTCCTCCCCACTCGCTAGCTCCTCATCCGCTACCTCCTCTAACAGCCTCAGCAGCAGCAGAAGACCATCTGAGCTACCCATTTCACTGCCCACCTCACCCTGTACCTCGTCACCCCTTTCTGCAACCCCCTCCTCCCTCTCCTTGCCTGCTGTAGCCCTCTCCTCACTCTCAACCTCCACACGTCCCGGTGTGTGACCCACATCAGAAGTACGACTCGCACCATCACGGCTGACAGGCACGAGAGCAGCAGCAGCAGCGAACTCCTTTTCCGGGTCAGTAGCTTCCTCACCGCCCTCCTCCAGCTCCTTCACTATCGGCTCTGTTGCTTCACCATCCAGCCCCTGGTGGCGGTGGTGGGGGGAGAGACAGGGGGGTGGGAGGAAGGAGTGCATAAGACGAGTGGGGTTGTATACCTGTAAACGGTACAGAAAGCTGCAGAGATTTTTGGAGAATTCTCAAAAAATCCCTGCAACGTGAAGGGGTTGTATACCTGAAGACTGTACTGACAGCTGCAGGGAGCAAATCTGTCCCTTGTTGCCCTTCTTCATAACGTCCGACTTAACTGTCCTGTACCACCGTATTATCTCACTCATCAATAAGCGTAGAAACCCGCTCACCTGTAACCAGAAGGTAACGCTCATGGCCCCTTTCTGCTTCCACACTTGCTCGTACACCGCCCGCACCGACAGCCCCAGGGAGCAGATCTGCCCCCTCTTGGCCCGCCTTGCCCCTGATTCCTGGTAACATCCCGCTCACTTGTAACCAGGAAGTAACCAAATGAACACTCACCTGCAGTCTGAAGGTGACGCTCATGGCCCCTCTCTGCTTCCACACTTGCTCGTACACCGCCCGCACCGACAGCCCCAGGGAGCAGATCTGCCCCCCCACCAGCAGCTCCATGCCATAATCGTCATCCATCAACCCGTGCAGCTCGAGCTCTTTACAGATGAGATTCTTGACATCGCGCATTAAAGGGCCGACCTGCAGATCGCACAAGTGGGAGAGGAGGGCAGGATAAGGTCTTCCACAGTGCCAGCACCAGCACCACCACCAGCAGCGCCAAGCCATAGTCATCGTCTATCAGCCCATGCAGCTCGAGTTCTTTACAGATGAGATTCTTGACATCGCGCATTAGAGGGCCGACCTGGAATGCACATAAGCAGGATAAGAGGGTGGAATAAGGGCATCAGCGCCGTCAGTGCCAGTGACACCACCAGCAGCGCCATGCCATAGTCATCGTACATCAGCCCGTGCAGACAGGCAAGGACATGGGAGACGAGTGAGTGCAGCGCTAGCATTGGCATGGCAAGAAGGGAGACAGATAACTAGAAGAGAGCATTGACTCGAGTCACTTTTGAGAATTCTCTTTTGAGAAATCACTTTTGAGAATTCTCTTTTGAGAAATCACTTTTGAGAATTCTCTTTTGAGAAATCACTTTTGAGAATTCTCAAAAGTGGCTAGCATTGGCATGGCAAGAAGGGAGACAGATGACTAGAAGAGAGCATTGACTCGAGTCAACCCAGCACGAACGCCAGACAGATGACACACCTGCTTGGAGGAGTAGGGGTTGTGCTGCAGGCGCCCTGGGAAGGAACCCCTCCTATGTCGCTGCCTTGATGAGCACCATACTATACCGTACCAAACCGTAGCATAGAACAGTAACATGCACCCCTCAGGACAACACACCTGCTTCGAGGAGTAGGGGTTGTGCTGCAGGCGCCCTGGGAGGAACTCCTCCTGTGTTGCTGCCTTGATGAGCAGCATCTCGTACTCGGGCTCGGGGCGTGTGGGGCAGATGGTGTTGCAGAGATGGCGGAGCAGGAACTGGGGGAGAGGGGGAGGGGGGAAGAAGGTGGGAGGGTGTGAGTAGAGAGGGGAGAGGGTGGTTTTAGGAGGGAGAGACAAGGACAAGGGGACACAGGAGGGAACGGGAAAGAGCAAGCAAAGCAGCAAGCAACGGCTCACGCTGATCGCCCTCCAAGAATCACACGCAGCATCAGGGGGTGTTTATGAGAACTCTCAGACTTGAAAACACGCTGATGGCTTGGGAAGGACAGCACGCAAGCAAGCAAAGAAGCAAGTAACAACTCACGCTGATCGCCCTCCAAGAGTCACTAGCAGCAGCATCTTGCCCCACCCCTTCTTCCTCCACCACTAGTTCCCCCAGCACCTCCACACACGCCGCCACAAATGCTCTCCTCCTCCCCTCACTCGTCTCACACGCCTCCTCACTCCCCATCGCTTCACCTCCATCCCCCCCATCACGCCCCGTCACGAGTCCCTGCAGCAGGAGAGAGAGCTGCTGCTGACACTCCACCACGAGTTGAGTCCTTGTTACCACCAGCCCTTGTAGCCCCACTAGCGCTCGCACCGCCTGCACCAAACACCTGCTACTACCGCTGCTGCTTCTGCTGCTGGTGCTTCGGCTGGTATTGGCATTGGCACCCCTGCTGCTGCGCCTGTGTGCCGGTCTAAGGAAGCGCTTGAGCAGCTTGGGATGCTGCAGTGCCTGCTGCAGCAGCCGAATGGCTTGCAGTATGGGATACGCTGCAGAGGCAGAGGTGGCAGGGGCAGCAGACGAGGCGGTGGAGGGAGAGAGTGAGAAGGAGGAGGAAGGAGCGAGCAGTGGTGCCATGGCTCGGGACTCGTGTGCTTGCAGGTGGGAAACGGAGTGGGAGATGAAGGAGGTGAGGGCAGGGAGGAGGCCTCGAGCCGCTAGGAAGAGCAGAGAGGAGTGCTGCACACTCGGCTGGTCCACCGAGGGTTGGTGAGAGGAGCGACGGGTGGAAGCAGGACGAGAGGAGGAGTAAGATGAGGAGGAGGAAGTAGCACGAGCAGCCGTGCCTGGGGGGGGGCGAAGGGGGAAGGGAAAAGGCTTCCCTGGGCTGCTGCTGAGTACGAGTAGGGACGGAATAGAGTGGAGAGGAGGGGCGCGTTAGAAGAGGAGGCTGCAGATCTGTTTTGCGAGGGCATGCTGGAGGTAGGAGCGTGAGGAGAGGAGAGGAGGCGGGAGAGGAGAGTGAAGAACTCTGTTGAGGCTTCGCCTGCATGTGTGGTTGCAGGGAGGAGGGACAGCAGTGCTTCTAGCACAGCGTGATTGTAACGAGGGGCCACCCCTGCCAGCAGCTCGAGCAGATCGCAGATCTCTGATCGGAGACCGGGCGGCGAGCGACAGCTGGCGATCAGATCTGCAGTGAGAAAGATTTGATTCTCTTGAAGGTGGTCTTTTCCGGATTGGGCACAGGGATGATTGCTACCGAAGCACCAGCTGCCGAAAGAGCGCACTAGCAGCCGAAGCCTGCCGTCCAGGACGCTGCGCTCGCGCGTGCGATCGCGCCAGCGGGCGGCAAACTTGCGAACTGTGGACGGCAAGGGGTCAACCTCTGGAGTGCCGCCACTGGTACCACTGCTACTGCTATTTGCACTCCCTGGTATCCCCTCACTCCCTGAAATCCCGTCCCCATTCTGTAAAGACTCTCCTTCAGTCTGAGAAGTTGCCTCAGTCTGCCTCTCTGGCCCCTCTAAAGCAGCGTGCTTGCAAGAGGAGGTGACTATACGGAGAGTGGGCAGCAGCACATGGTCCGATACAGAGGGGTGCAGATGGGTGGTGGCGAGGGCGAGGAAGAACAGGCGAGTAGCCAGCTGCAGGCAAAGAAGCTTCCTGGAAGGAGACGAAACGCCAGATTCTGATGGGCTGGATGTTGACTCGGATGGAGACGAAGACAGGTCAGCAAGGAGCAGCAGCGGGTCCTTGACAGCTGGCGCCACGTCAGCAAGCAGATAGCTGCCCACTGCAGCAGAGACCTTAGATTCGATCAGATCCAAAAGATTGTGCAAGGCGAGGGGGAAGGTGAGTCCGAGGCGGGTCAAGAGGTGGCGTGCACGAGAGCGGGAGGAGGGAGGGCCAGAGAGGAGAGAGGAGGAGAAGATGGTGGGGATGGCGGATAGAGAGAGGAGGGCGGAGGGGGCTGCTGGGATGGGGAGGAGCGCCTGCAGGAGGGGTGGGAGCAGGGGAGAGGGGGGGAAAGAAACATAAGAGATGGAAAACTTGGAAGAAAGACAGGTTGATAAACAGCTGTGAATTAACAAAACACAAAACAGGGAAATTCACAGCAGCTGAATCATGCAACTATGTAACTCACTCGCGCTAACCCACCTTGTGAAACTCATTCTTACCAAGGGACTTAGGTACCCACCTTGGGTCGGGACTTAGGTACCCACCTTGGGTCGGGACTTAGGTACCCACCTTGGGTCGGGACTTAGGTACCCACCTTGGGTCGGGACTTAGGTACCCACCTTGGGTCGGGACTTAGGTACCCACCTTGGGTCGGGACTTAGGTACCCACCTTGGGTCGGGACTTAGGTACCCACCTTGGGTCGGGACTTAGGTGCCCCGACCCATCTCCTGACCTCTCCAGTCATTGTCTCACCTCGAGCCACTGCAGGCAGAACCCGACAAAAGTGCTGCTGCAGTCCAGACACACCCTGGCACCACTGCCATTGCTACCCAGTCCCCCGCTCGCCTCCTCATATCCAAGGCCTTGCTGCTGCCGCCGCCACAGCTGCTCCTGCTGCTGCTGCTGCTGCTGCTGCTGCTGCTGTTGATACGTTTGCAGCTGGAGCTGCAGGTGCTGCTGCCTGCGGCGGCTCCTCCTCTGCTGCCCCACCAACAGGTGGTATTCAGCCAGGGCCATCTGTAGCGCGCCCATTCTCTCTGCTGACGTGGCCAGCCCGCGGTGCACAGCGCGACACTTGTCAGCGTACAGCGCGCCCAGGATCGCAATCCGACGGCTCACGTGCGCCTGAGCGGCTGCTGCTGTGGCTGCTGAGATAGATGCGGAGGAGAGAGGGAGACCACCGGTGGTAGAGAACAGGGAAGCGTCACCAGCTGCACCGGTAGCACCACCAGTAGCACTGCTACCACCGCCGCCACCAGTAGTACCAGTGCTGGAGGAATTACCAGTACCCAATCCAGCGGCAGAGAGGGGTGGGAAGGCTTCTAGCAGCTGCAAAAGCATCTCCTCTCCTGCTGCTGCTGCCGCTGCAGCCGACGCTGCTGCTCCTGTCCCTCCGCCCGCTGCTCTCCCTGTCGATCCCGATACTGCTGGTACGCCCGCCGCTGCTGGTATCCCCGATGCTCCCAACCCCCCTGCTGTGTCCCTGGCTAGACCAGAGCTGAACAGACCACCAGCACTGGAGTCCGCACCAGGGCCAGCAGCAGCAGCAGCAAGCAGATCATCAAACAGGTCGAAATCCAGAAGCCTTTCTGCTGCCCCTCCTCCTCCTCCTCCTGACCCTGACCCTCCTCTTGCTCCTCGTCCCGCCCCTAGCCTGCCTCCCAGCAAGGCTGACAGTAAGGATGATGCGGACCCAAGACCTCCCGAGCCTCCGCCCCTTCCTCCTGCTCCTCCCCCTCCTCCCCCTGCCCCTCCTCTTGTTGCACCGCTGCCTCCTGCCCCGCCTGCTGCTGCTGCCAGTTGCAACAGGGACGACAGACCCCCTCCTCCTCCTTCCAGCCCTGATCTCCCTCCTATGGCCCTCTCCCTGCTGAGTCCTCCTGCTCTTCCTGGCCCCCCTCCTCCTCCCGCTCCTGTTGCTGCTGCTCCTGCTGAGATCGGGCCAGGATTCAGCAAATCAGCTGCTGACACGTCAGCAGCTGGGTCGTCGTCCAGGATGGACGAAACGAGGCGTGCGATTGGCCGGCGCAGCGCCTGCAGCTGCTGACGCAGCCGGGTTGCTGACTCAGCCTCGGCCTCCAGTGCTGCCGCGACCTTCTTGGAAGCTTCCTCGGAGAGGATTGGGTCGATGGACGAGGGGCAGGGGTGAGCTTGCAGCGCGAACTCAAAGCGACCGTACCTTGAAGGGGTGAGAAGGAATGATGGGTGTGGGTGTGGAGAGGGAGAGGGGAGGGTTGGAGGATAGGGTTCTCCACACAGACACATGCGCACGCACGCACACACACCCACACGCACGCACACACGCGCGCACGCGCGCGCGCACACACACACACACACACACACACGCACACACACGCACACACACACACACGCACACACACGCACCCACGCACGCACGCACGCACGCACGCACGCACGCACGCACGCACGCACACACACGCACCTGCAGTGGCCGCACTGCGGGCAGAGGAAGGCATGGAGGTTGTCGTAGTTGATGGCGCGGCACTGGCGGCACTGGAAGGCGTTCTCATGGCACACCGCGCACATGCCGTGCCGGCTGGTTACCACGCGGTTACACCGCGGGCACTGCAACGACTCCCGAGACGACGACGAGGACGACGGGTGGCTCTGGTGGAGCCGGGGGGGTTGAAGACGAGGAGAAAAATGGGAGGAGAGGAAAATGAGAAAAATGGCCCAGCTCCAATGCATTAACGAAACATATCTATCACTCATAAAGCAAACCAACGACCGGTCGCAGCATCTTCTTTCACACACTCACCTCGTGGAAGGAAGCGAATTCCACGACGATGAAGCGCAGCGCCACGGGCAGAGGCAGCTCCACGCGAATCTCAGGCTGGTCGGCCCTAGAGACAACAGCCCGTCCCTCCCCACTTGCTCACACTCCCTCACCTCGTGGAAGGAAGCGAATTCCACAACAATGAAGCGCAGCGCCACGGGCAGAGGCAGCTCCACGCGAATCTCAGGCTGGTCGGCCCTAGAGACAACAGCCCGTCCCTCCCCACTTGCTCACACTCACTCACCTCGTGGAACGAAGCAAATTCCACAACAATGAAGCGCAGCGCCACGGGCAGAGGCAGCTCCACGCGGATCTCAGGCTGGTCGGCGGCCAGCTGGCAGCGCGCGAGTGGGTGGCAGAGCTCGTCTGTAGCGGTCTTGACCTGCTGCAGGTCGCAGGCAGCGCTGTTGCTCCCCAGCAGCCGCAGGTCCTTCACTGAGCGGCCTCTTCTCGAGTCGTGCACCGTCATGGTGAATCCCTGGAAGGCCGGCCAAAGGAAGGATGTGAGGGGGGAAGGGGATGGTGAAAAGGGTAAGTCGGATTGGAAGTCGCAGGCAGCACTGTTGCTCCCCAGCAGCCGCATGTCCTTCACGGATCGACCCCTCCTTGAGTCATGAACCGTCATGGTGAAACCCTGAGGGACCAGGGGTTCGGTGAGAATGGGAAGGGGGGAGGGTGTGTTGTCATGTGACAGGTCGCAGGCGGCACTGTTGCTCCCCAGCAGCTGCAGGTCCTTCACGGAACGACCCCTACTTGAGTCATGAACCGTCATGGTGAAACCCTGGAGGAGAACACAGGGGGGACGGTGGGGGGAGAGAGAGGGAAAGGGTGGGATGTTACTTGCAGGTCACAGGCAGCACTGTTGCTCCCCAGCAGCTGCAGATGCTTCACGGATCGACCCCTCCTTGAGTCATGCACCGTCATGGTGAAACCTGAAGGAGAACACTGGGGGGATGGTGGGGGGGGGAGAGAGGGAAAGGGTGGGGTGTTGCTTGCAGATCCCAGGTGGCACTGATGCTCCTTAGCAGCTGAAGGTCCTTCACAGGACGCCTCTTCTAGAATCATGCACCGTCATGGTGAAGACCTGAAAGAGTCGATGGGACGGGAGTTCGAACGGTGGGAGTGAGGGGGATTCTGTGGTGCCTGAGAAAGAACGCTACAGAATCTTAGAGCACCTCTGCTGGGCTCCAGAACTTGGTTTGCCTTATAAGCCCTGCTGCTCAGCTCTCTGCTCACCTTGATAATCCGTGACGCCCAACCCACCTTGATGAGATGCGGCTCGGTGGTGAGGCGCGGGTATATCCGGCAGTCTGAGAAGCGCACCTCCTGCCGCACACTCTCCATCCTCATCGAGTCACACTCCCCCACACCGCCTCCTGAGGCACCTCCAGCAACTGGTTTGCCCTCTGAACCCTGGTGCCCCACTCACCTTGATGAGATGCGGCTCGGTGAGGCGCAGGAAGATGCGGCAGTCTGAGAAGCGCACCTCCTGCCTCCTGCCAGACAGAACCTGCCTCATTCCCACCCTTGACGTACCTTGAATGACACTGCTCCTCCAGGGAACACAGCTCACCTTGATGAGATGCGGCTCGGTGAGGCGCAGGTATATCCGGCAGTCTGAGAAGCGCACCTCCTGCCGCACACTCTCCATCCTCACACTCCCCACACCGCCTCTGGGTACGCACACACTGCACACGGCTCCCCATCTGCCATGCCCCACACCGACCCTCTGCCTCCTCCTCCTCCTCCCTTTCCCCCTTCATCTGCTGCTCCTCCTGCTGCTCCTGCCCTACCGCCGCTGCCAGCACCACTACCTCCACCACTGCCGCCACCACCAGTACCACCAGCACCTGCAGCAGCACCTGTTCCCTCACTCTCCGGGCCCAGGAGTCTATGCAAGGCAGAGTTGAGCGATGCGCTCGGGTGGTTAGCCACCGCTTGACTTTGCTGCGCCAGCTGAGTCAGCAGCACGGCTGCCGCTCGTGCTGCCACGTCAGCGGCGCCAGCTGGCTGCTGACTGGATGCCAGGTCAGCGAGGAGCGAGAGGAGGAGGTGGGAGAAGCTGAGGGCGTGGGCGCCGAGGGAAGGGGTGTGGGGGAGGATGGCGAGGAGGGAGGAGAGGATGGAATTGCGGAGAGACTGAGAGGCGTGATTCCACACTCCCTGCAGTTTGGACAAGAGGGGAAGGGGGAGGACGAAAGAGGAAAGGAGGATAAGGAGGGAGTACGTGAGGCACTCAAAATGGTGAGTACGGGAGTGGTGGAGAGACGGAGAGGCGTGATTCCACACTCCCTGCAGTTAGGACAAGAGGGGAGACAGGGAGAAGGTGAGGGGAGGGGAGAGGTGGATAAAGGAGGAGTTAAAAATCAAGCAATAGAAAGGAAAATGGTGGAGAGAAAAAGGGCATGATGCCACACTCTCTGGAGTTCAAACTACGAGGAGGGAGGAGAGTGGGTGGGGGTGGGGTTGGGGGAGAAGGTGAGGGAGTGAGGGGGAAAATAGTGGTGAGGAAGGGATACTTAAACAGTAGCAAACCTGACGGGTGCATTATCAGCAAGTGATGGGTTCCTGAGGAGCAGGCACACATACCTGCATGACCATGCATCCCTGAGATCGCAGCCTGGCAGAGGCAGCAGAGAGCACAAAGGATGAGATGAACTGAACAATGCCAGTAGCCGCGCCATCACTGCTGCTAACTTCCCACCTCGCCTGCTGCCCCTGCCCCTGCCCCTCCACTTGCTGCACCTGCCCCTGCCCCTGTTGCTCCTGTGCCTGCTGTTTGGAATCCAATGCAACGCCAAACAGAGCAGCTGCTTGCGCACCCATATGAACCACACCAAACCCCATTCTTTTCTTGCTACTGCTGTTGCTGCTGCTGCTACTCCTACTGCCACTTTTACCGCTGCCATTGCAGTCAAAAGCCAGAGCCACCAGCTGTAGCGCGCACACAGCAAGAGGCTCATCCTCTGCCGCCCAGCGCGGGGAGGATGTAGCGGCCGCTACAGCCGCCAGCAGCTGTAGCGCTGATGCGTCCTTGCCTGCGCAGTACCAGCGCCACGTGGACGGCTGAAAATGTGCCACGTGGAGGGTGGCGTTGAGGAGCAGGAGAGATTGGACTTTGACGGAGTAGGGGAGAGGAGGAGGGATGGGGGATGGGAGGTGGGTAGAGGAAGGGGATGGAAGGTGGGGAAGGGAGGGGGATGGGAGGTGGGGAGGAGAGGGGGATGGGAGGTGGGGAGAGGAGGGAGGGAGAGGGAGGAAAGGGTGGAGAGAGGAGCGAAGGCCATGCATGTAAGCAGCAAGCTTACACACTCGCTGCATCCTCACACACTCCCTCTCATCCCCCCCGTAGGTCAACAGCAAGAGCTGCCGCACATACTTCCCTTCTCTCCCTCCCATCCCTCCCACTCCACCCCCACCTTCCTCCCCTGGCTTTCCACCATCACCACCTCCAGCACTACCACTCCCACTGCTTCCAACCGCTCCAAACCGTCCCATATCCACCTGGGCTATAACTGCCCCCTCTTTAGTCCGCTCCTGCTCCTTGGACTGAGCCAGAACTCCCTCTAAAGCAGCTCTCTGCAGGTACGCACACAGCAGCAGCTGCCAATCCGACTCAAATCCCTTCTCGCTCACAACTTCTCTCTCACTCGGTGCACCTTTCTCTGTGAGGCATACGGGTGCCACCTCAACAGCAAGGCACAGCGCCCACAGCAGCAGCTCCTGTCTTCCCTTCCCCCCAACCACAGAGGGGTTAGTGTCGGTGGAAGTAAATGTCTCTGTGAGTGGGGCGTGTGGGTGGCAGGAGGAGACGACGGAGTGAAGGAGCGTGAGGAGCCTGGTGGCAGCAGAGCATGAGAAGCGGCTGAGAAGGAGGTGTAACCCCAACTTGACCCCATGTTGCTGCTGCTGCTCCTGCTCCTGCTGCTGCCGCAGCTGCGGTTGTAAACGGTACTGCAAGGTACGGAAGAGTAGAACAAGGAACTCCAAAAGGCAGGTCAAAGCTGCCATTTCCACACTAGCACCGCCGGCGCCGGCGTCCACACGCCCTTCTCTCGCTCCAGATAACTGCCGCCAGCTGTGCTCCAGCTCATCAACCAGCCACGTCAGCATCCACGTCAGCAGCCGGGCTCCGGCCGAGTCCCGATCCCCCTCTGCCTCCTTCTTCCTCCTCGACCCTCCCTTTTTCTTTTTCTCGATAGAGCCTACACTGGGCATAGCAACCCCCATAGGCCCCGCCCCTGCTGCCCCTGCTGCAGATACTCGCAGGAGCAGCTGCAGCAGCGGTATGGGAGGGGAGCAAGGGCAGGAAGTATCACGGGAGGGGGGAGTGAGAGTGGGTTGAGGCGGGCAGGACCAGCCAGGAGGGAAGGAGGAAAGCAGCTGCTGCAGCACCTCCCGACCCACCTGGTTCATACGCATCCTCACTCCCTCCCACCTCGCCCTCTCCCGCCTTCTCGTCCTCCTCCTCCTCCTCCTCCTCCTCTCCATCCTTCACCATATTCCCTGTGCTTTCCACATTGTCCGCCCCATCAACCCTATCAGCCCCCTGCTGCTCCTGCTCCTGCTGTTTCACCCCTCTATCCGCCTCCACCCCTGGCCCCCCAATCCCTGAACCAGCTCCCAATTCCACACCAGTACCACCGGCAGCGTGGTCAAGTGCTCTAGAACCGGCAGCGTGGTCAAGTGCACTAGAACCAGCAGCGTGGTCAAGTGCTCTAGAACCAGCAGCACCATCAGAAACTGCACCACCGATAGACCCGCCAGGATCCAACCCAGTACCATCCTCAGCACCAGCAGTACCATCCTCTGCACCAGCATTACCATCTGCACCAGCAGTACCATCCTCACCAGACTCCCCACCAAAGCCGTACCCCAACCGGTTAATAAGCCTCTCCACCCCTCCGTCCTCCCCCAGGCCATCTGCTGCAGGATCAATGGGAATGGAGACCATTGGGTGTGAGATGCTGTGAGAGCTGAAGGGGAAGAGAGAAGCAGCAGAACCCGCACCGGAACCAGCAGCAGCACCAGCGGCAGTACCAGCAGCAGCGGAGGAGCCAGCAGAAGCAGCAGCAGATACGGCCTGGTGGCACTCGTTACAGAGGTCAAAGTCATCACACACAAGGCAGTGCCACCGCACGTCCTGAATGGGGCACACGCCGCAGGAGTCACAGCAGAACTGCACCACCGACAGCTGCGGGTCTATGCCCTGATCAAACTCGTGACCAAATCCGTGATTGATGTCTGTTTGGTCTATATCCATGTCTTCCGCTGAGCCCTCCCCCCCTTCCACCAACCCACTCTCCACGTAGGACCCGAACCCAGCAGCACCAGCCGTAGCACCAAGTGCAGCACCATCTGCGCCAAATTCAGAATTGACACCAGAAACATTGGCACCGTCTGATGCTGAGCCTTGAGGTGCGTCTCCTCCTGCTCCTCCTGCTCCTCCTGCTCCTGCTGCTGCTGCTGCTGCTGCTGCCTGCTTGCTGCGTGTGTCAACCACGTTGGTTGCTGCTGTTCCATGCTGCATGGACGGCCGGGGCGAGGATAGTGGAGGCGGTGATGGGAGGGGAGGCGGCGGCAGGAAGAGAGCACAGAGAGCCATCCTGTGGTTGACGAAAGTTGACAAAGGGAGAGACGCAAAGACAGAGAGGGGAGCGCAACACGCGGTGAGCACAGAGTGTGTGTGGTGAGCCTTCTTTGATCCGGCAGCGTGTGTTTGATGCGATGCGGGGGTGGGTAATTGAAACAAGGACATGAGAATGGGTCTCAGGTGCACACGCCTTACAAGGTGAGTATAGAATGGCAGTTAGTAGGGAAATATATGACAGGATGGGGTGTAGGACATGACATACCAGCACGCCTCTGCAACAGCAGGATCAGACGAAAGGAGAAGGCCCTGTAACCTGGTAACCACCCACTGCATCGTCACTCCGGATTCAGCAGCAGGCGCAGAAGCAGGAGAAGCAGCAGCAGTGGAAGCAGCAGCAGCAGTAGGAGGAGCAGCTGGAGCAGCAGTTGTAGTGGGTTCAGCCGGGACTAGCAGACAGCTTGCAACACCAACCAGCAGTCGGACGAATGAGCCCACCAGCGCTTGCTTCACCCCAGCAGAATCCCGTCCACCAGACCCCTCCTTGCCATCTACTTCTTTTCCCCCCATCTTCTTACCGCCTGCAACATCCTTTTCCCTTAACCCCTTCCCATCTGCATCCAAATCCCCCATCCCCTTGCCATCTGAATCGTTCCCACCCATCCCCTCGCCATCAGCACCCCTGCCAGCGGCATTCTCTGCTGTCCCATCTGCAGCACCCTCCTCCAGAGCCTGCAGCGCTGAGAGAAATCGGCTGTGGAGAGCTTCTAGGGGAAAGACAGCTGCAGGTATTCCAGTAGGGATGCCTGTAACGGCTGTGGAAGAGAGGAAGTGGCGAATGCTGGAGGGTCGCAGCAGTGCGATGTGCGCCATGGCGTCTATGTGCCTCTGGAGAGAATGTGCCCGTTGGTTGGGCTGTGTCCTTGAGGCTACAGACAGCTCTGTTGAATCACACGCCTGAAACACAGGAGAGGAAGGGGACGGGGATTGGGATGGGAGAGGATGCTTGAGTAGAGCTTGGAGAGGTAGTGCGCAGCGCATGCTAGAGGGTCGCATCGCAGCAATGCGATGTGCGCCATGGCGTCTATGTGCCTCTGAAGAGCATAGGCTCGCTTCTGATGCTGATGGTGGTGCTGCCCTTGTGAGTCGAGCTGCATATTTAAAGCAAGACACAGCTCCGTTAAGTCACAGGCCTGAAGCAGAAAAGGGGGAGTTGAGGGGTGGCAGGGAAGGGGGGGAGGAGGGCCAGGTTAGGAAAGGAAGGCTGCGTGTGCTCAGCCACGTGTAGAGAGGGCATTTTTGAGACGTCTCAAAAAGGAAAGGAAAGGAAGGCTGCGTGTGCTCAGCCTCAGCCTCAGGCTCGCTCGCCATCAGTGTGCTGGGAAAGGAAGGCGTGCGTGAACAAGTAAGCGCGGGTGAGAGAGGTGAATATGCAGGCCGAACTCTCACCATTTGCAGCTCACGTGTGTGCATGAACAGACGTGTGCATGTGAGCAGGAACTGAGTCATGGCATGAAACAGTCTGCTCGGTTTTTGAGGCGCCTCAAAAATGTGAGCAGGAACTGAGTCATGGCATGATCAGTCTGCTCGGGCTGAAGCAGGAAGTGAGGGAATCTTGGTGAAGCCAGACGTGAGCACAGCATCAACAGCCTGCTTTCGATTCTACCGAAATTGTGACTTTGGTTTCACATAAGCGGTTTGATATGCCTCATATACCTCGACGAAATCAGCCCGCGATTGATGCAGCGATCGGCACAAGCCCAGCAGCAACTGTGCCATGCCCCCTTCGCCCACACCATCTCCCGTGGCCTCTTTGCCAGCATCACCACCACCACCATGTCCCACAAGGCCTCCCAGCTCCTCCTTCTCATCCTCCTCCGGGCCTCCTTTCAACACCTCCTGCAGCAGTTCCTTCAGCAAATCCTCCCCCAACAGCTGCACCTTCCCCAAGTCCACCTTCCCCAGATAAACCTTCCCTTCCTGCCCCTCCACCTGTGTCTTCTCTCCCTTCTGTCCATCCTCTGCCTGCTGTTCTGCCAGTCGCTCTAACTCCTGCTCTGCGTGCTGCTTCCCCTGCTGCCTGCCCTCCCCAGCAATACCACCCACAAGCCCAGTCAGCACCGCCAAAGCATCCCCAACCACTCGCTCCTCTCTCTCCTCCTCCACACTCAAACCCTCCCCTCCATCTCCCCTCTCCTCCCCACTCTCCCTCCCACTCTCCGCCCCCTCCCCATCCCCCCTCTCCTCCTCCTTCCCTTCCCTCTCCCTTCCCTCCGCCACCTCCCGCTCCCTCTCCCGCGCCCTCCTCCCTTCCTCCTCCACAACCCCCTTCCACTCCCTCCACCACCCGAGCACCTTCCCCTTCACCTTCCCCCATCCAAACTCCTCCTTCCGCCGCCCATACACTTCCAACCCATCCACCCTGGCCCGCGCATTCCCCCCAAACGCGGGGCCCACGTGGATGCTGACGTGGCGGTCTGCCAGCAGGGATTCCGCGGGAGTGAAGGGGAGGTCGTACCAGCGGCGGGAGGAGCGGTCGAGGGGGAGGGAGCGGTGGAAGAGGGAGAGGGAGGAGGGGGTGTGCGAGGAGGGGGAGATTCCCACCAGGACGCGGACTCCCACGAGCAGAAGACTGGAGTTGGTGTTGGTTATGGTGATCTGGCCACAGAAAAGGAGAAGGAAGAAAAGGGAGGGACGGAAACATGAGCTGGTGTTATATTCAGTTGCTTGGGGAAAGAGGAGTGAGGAGAACTCAAAGGGAGAGAGGGACATGTTCAAAAGGATGCGAAGGTGAGGATGGAAGGTGAGACGGGGAGGCGAAGGCACGGCGAAAGTACGCACCTTGAAACCCTTTGAGGAGGAAGCTTCCAGGAAGCCGTCCTCAGCCATAAGATTATGCAGCACAGTTTCACTGTCCATGTCACTCGTCCCTGCCACGTCAGCAGCAGACCCTGAACCAGCACCTGCACTCCTCCCACCACCACCAGCACCGCTGCTACCACTACCACCACCGCTCCCACTCCTACTGCCGCTGCTCCCGCCACTCCCCCCACCTCCACCACTCCTGCTCCCTCTCACGCCGTGCACTGAAAACCGTACTTCTGGGGTAACACACACCGTGTGCTCAAAGAAATCGTGGGGGAAACTAGGAGTCCACCCTGGCGGCTTTCGGCGGCCAATCAGATCCAAGGGCACTGCTGGGAACGGCTTGGAAAGCTGGCCCGCAGATAAACCTGCCCCAGATGTACCTACCCTGAGTGCTCCTACTCCAGATGAGCCCACTCCTGAGGCTCCTCCCGAAGCTGCTGCTGCTACTGGGGCTTCCGTTCTGCTGCCTGCTCCTCCCTTATCAACAATACAAAGTAGAGTGTTAACGGCGATTTGTAGTTCCTCCTCTGGGGAAAGAGGCTTGCGGGGGGGTGCAGGGGGAGGTGGGGGGAGGGGCGGGCGACGGGTCGGCGGAGCACTGGTGGGGGCGGCTGTAGCAGCAGTGGTTAATCCGGCTGTAGCAGCAGCAGCTGATGCGGCTGTAGCAGTAGATGCGAGTGTGGCAGAGGCTCCTGCTTGACCAGAAGCTGCGGCTGTAGCATCTGTAGCAGCAGCAGTACCAGCAGTTGGAGCTGCAGCTTCGGTCCCAGAGCTAGACGGAGCAGCAGCAGTAGCAGCAGGGAGCGTGTCAGGCACAGACGGACTCAGAACGGATGCAGAAACAGCAGTAGCAGCAGCAGCTCCTGTTGCATCTGTGTCAGCTGGGGTACGGTGAGAGCTAGGTGGATGGGCAGCAGTAAACACGTCTGCTTGGGAAGAGGAAAAGGAGGCTTGAAGCGCAGTGACGTTTGGTGCGGATGTGGTGTAAGAGGAGGGAGGGTGAGTGCCGAGGACCACTAGAGACCCATCCTGAAACAGCAGCACCACTCGATTATCCCCATCCACCTCACCAATCTCCTGAGCCTGCGCCCTCCCACTCTCGCTCTCACCCTCCCTCTGCTCCTCCTCAGCTCCCTCCCCTCCTGCCTCCTCATCCATATCCTCCTCTTCCACTTCCTCCTCTACTTCCTCCTCATACTCTTCCTCCTCCTCTTCTGTGTCACTACCCCCTCTCTCTTTACTGGCTCGACATGCTGCCACTCCCACAATAGGGTTACCAACAACCGGATTACCAGCTGCAGCGTTAGAGACCAGCGCATGGGAGAAGCATGGGACGCCCCTGGTGAGATGCTCTAAGGGCCCATATGCTAGCAGCACATGGCACCTGCTTCCCTCACTAATCACCACTGTGCTTCCACAGTGACTGCTGCTGCTGCTGCTGCCACCGCTGGTGCCACTGCCGCCGCTACTGCTTCTGAAGCTGAAACTGTCCCTGCCCCTGCCTATGCCCCTGCGGCTGCCTCTGCTTCTCTCCCTGCTCCTTCTAGACGCAACCTCCCACTGCAAAATGCCTGCTTCCCAGGCTCGGAACCCTTCCGAAGCTGGCTCCCGAACCTGACCCTGATGCCCAGCCGCTGCAGGTGGTGCGAGTGGTCCCTGGTTGTTGATAGTAATCTCCCGCAGCAGCGATATTGCCTGCCATAGCAAAGCAGTCAGGCAAGAAAGGTGCAGTAACATGCGGGATACTGGTTAACAAGGAAGAAGAAAAAAATCTCCTGGAGAAAAAATTCTCCTCCTTCTGTTGCTGTTCCACCAGGCCAGCGCACAAAAAAAGGGCCTCCCTTCACTGAACCCCCTGCTGACGGAAACCAAAACTGCTAGAAACGCATCACGGCTGAAGCTCACCTGGCCAGAGAGTGTGAGGCGAGCAAAGAAGAGCTGACGGCCGTCAGGAGAGACGAGAAACCCCTCATGCGTTGCCACTGGGCACAGGAACCCAGATCCCCTCCTTCCCACAACCCCTCCACCCTCACCCAAAGCTACACCGCCTCCTCCTCCATCTCCTCCTCCACCTCCTCCTTCTGCTTTCCCCACTTCTTCCGAAGCAGCAAAAGGGGAGGGACCGGTCCGAGCCTGATGGTGCCAGGGTAGGTCCGAGCCTGATGGCCGGAGTGACAGGTGACGCAACGTGACGTGCTGACATGGCATGAACAGGAACAGGTCGAACCCATTCTCCGCATCATCATAATCATCATCGTCATCGTCGTCGTCCTCCTGGTTGTCGTCTTCATCCTCGTCATTAGCTGATTCGCCATCGTCTATGGTTGCGTAGTACAGTGCAGCCTGTCGCACAAGACAACAATAATAAGAAACGGAGTGAACTCTATATCATAACAGAAAGGAAGAAAGAGTTGAGTAGATATTTAAGACTCAATGTATAAACAAAAAGAACAAGCGGATCCTCACTCAGAGTGAAAAAACAGAGGACAGGGAAGATACACAAAAAGAGAAACGGAACCTGAGGAAGCAGATCAGTTCAGGGCTAACACATTACTCGCACACTGGAAGGGAAGGCAAACCTACTGGACAAAGGCAAGGCACACACTACTCACCTGGCAGTTGCATCCGGGGACCTTCCTCATCCTTTAGAGGCGCCTCAAAAGGCAACGTAGCACGCTGGAGGAAGGGAAGGCAAACCTACTGGACAAAGGCATGCATTACTCACCTGGCTGGTGAGAACTGTCAGCTGCATTCGGGGACCTTCCTCATCATCCACATGGCCATGCCCATCCCCATCCCCATCCCCATCCCCATCCCCATCATCCCCATCCTCGTCCCCCTCTCTCTCTTCATCTTCGTCCTCCTCCTCCCTCTGCACCACACACACATCCACAATCTCCTCTCCCAACTTCCCTCCTCTCCGCCCCTCCTCCCCCTTCTCCCCCTCCACTCCCTCTTCCCTCTGGTCCTCCTTCGCCCCCTGCACCCGTGAATCTCCTCCTCTTTCGGGCCTTCCTGGGAGTGGGCTCGCAGGGAGCTGGAAAGTGGCAACCAGCTGGGCATCGTACCCCACAGCCACCGCAAACAGGAGCGCTGCTGAGGGCGTCGCCACGAGCAGACGTGCCTGGAGGGAATAGAGTGGTTCAAGTGGGAGGTGATGATGGAGAGGAAAGAGAATATTACGTCAACAGGGTTTCTGGCTGCAATAGGAAAGTGTGAGATGATGCCAAGTGCAGAAGAAAAGGTATTTTCACAAAGACGGGAAGAGATAACGCCTTGTTATGGACGCACACACCTCCAGAAACGGGCCTCCTGCCAGGGGTAACCAGCACATCCTCTTTATAGCCAGATCTGTTTCTGGGATTACTACTTTGCCTGCCCCATCCGCTTCTGCTTCACCATCACCCTTCTCCTCCCCCTCCTCTTCCTCCTCCTCTGCCTCTGCCTCCCCGTCCTCCTGCTCCTCCTGCTCCTCCTGCTCCTGCTGCTGCCTGTGCGGTCGTCGGTGTTTCCTTGCCGTGCGGAGAGCAGCACGCAGGTTCACAGCGGAGCGAGTGACGAGCGTGCAGTCATCGTCCAGCACTAGCACCTGAAGGAGAGAAGAAGGACGTTGAATGTGGGGGGGGGGGGGGGGGGGAGGAGGGGGCGAGGGGCAAGTAAGAGAATGAGGGGAGAGTAGCAGGCAGGTTCACAGCGGAATGAGGACGAGCGTGCAGTCATCGTCCAGCACTAGCACCTGAAAGAGAGCAAGGTAAGGGAGATGCAGAAACAACGAGAGAGGAGGAAAGAGAAGCATAGTGACGGGATAGTGGCACACAGTTTTATTGTAGAGCGAGCGATGAGCATGCGACCGTCATCAATATCTGTCTTACCTCGACCTGGTTGGTCCCTGCGACTGCCAGCAGCGAGTCGACAGTGGGGTGGAAGGCCAGCATGTGCACGGGGTACCCCACGTCCACCTCCCCTATCTCCATCGGTGCTGCTGCCTCCTCTACTGAAGATACAGGTGCCACGTCAGAAGCAACTGGAGCCAGCTCAGCAGCGGCAGCGGCGGCGGCGGCGGCAGCAGTGTGGTTATTATCCCCTCTATGATCTGCGCCTGTGCTGGCAGCAGTGCGAGGGACTATATCCTCTGCCTCCCACAACCGCACAGTCGACCCTGCCCCAATAGCCACCTTCCCCCCGAGACTGATTGTCAACAGCGAGGCCGGCCCAGCTGCTGCTCCTGCTCCCCCTATCCCAACGCCTGCCGCATCTGCTGCATCTCTTGCACCTGCTACATTCTCTAAGCCTGCTGCGCCCGCTTCGCCTGCTTCTCCTCCTGCTGCGCCTGCTGCAGCAGCATCGCCAGCGACAGGAGCCAAAGCAGAAGCAGGGGGCAGGGGGAAGGAGCCAGCCGGGTACTGACGCAGAGGCCTGCCTAAGTCTGCTTGCTCTGCTGGCAGTGCTGCGGGGAGGAGGGCCGGTGCCTCTGACGCCTCTGCAGCCACCGCTGCCGCAGTCCCCTGCCTATCCTGACCTGCTTCACTTCCTTCACCTACCGAGCTGGGTTCGCCTACTGACGTCCTCTCCGCCTCACCTCCCATCTTGGACCCAACCTCCTGCTCCATCCCACTGCTCTCGCCTAGCAGAGTCAATGCTTTTGCCTCTGATTCGTTGCTCTCAATTGGCTCCCCACTGGCAGCCCCTGACTTCCCCTTCCCTCCCTTGTCTTCCTCCACCTCCTCCTTCACTTCTCCTCCTTCCCCCTCCTTCGTCTCACCTCCTTCCTCCTCCTTTGCCGTGCCTTCTTCCTTCTCCTTTCCCTCACCTCCTCCCGTTCCCTTCACATCACTCCCAACCACCTCCAACCCTTCCCCTTCCCCTTTCTCCTCCAGCTTTTCCCCTTCCTCCTCCAACTCCCCCTTTGAGTCCACCACCACCACAGACTCCTTTCCCTCCTCGCCACCCCCTTCCTCCTCCAGCTTCACTCCGCTCTTTCCCTGCCTCGCCCCTGCGGCCCTTTCTCTCGCCAGCGCCCTGCGTCTCAGCCAATGCCTGCGTGCCAGCTGGCAGATGGTATCCACCACCTGCTGCCGACTCAGCTCCCCAAGAACCAACGCTCGAGTCGCCGCAGCAGCTGCTCCTCCTGGCGCAGCTGCTGCTACAGTTGCTACTGTTGCAACTGCTGCTGGTGCTGCTACTGTTGCTGCTGCTGCTGCAACAACATCCGAGTTCACGCCCGCTTCACTGTTGATCTGCGTTTCCTCCTCTTGAGGCGCCTCCTTCTCACCATCCTTCACTCCATCTTCTCCACCATCGTTCCCACCTCGCTCAACCCCTCTCACGTCCTCATCCTCCTTCTCCTCCTCACCTTCTTCCCCCCACGCCTTCCCTGACAGAGCCCCCTTGAGCCCTCTCACAACCTCCTCGCTCCACAAGCTCTCCTGCAACCCCTCTACTTTCCCCCCATTCCGTTTCTCACTCCCTAACAGCCCCTCCCAGCAAAGCTTCTCTGATTGGCTCAGAAATGCCTCCACTCCCGCCAGCCAATCCAATTCAACTACAGAACCCCCTCCCTTTCCTCCTCCTACTCCTCCTCCTTCCCCACCACCTCCGCCTCCTTGCTCCTTCCCTCCGTTCCTGCACCCACCAGGCCATCCAAACGTGCCTCCTGGCAAAGACACTCCGCCCTCTCCTCTCCCTACCCCTCCTGCTGTCGCTGCCTGTTTCCCTGACCCCACAGGACGGGGCTTCAGAGCGAAGCACCCCTTAAAAACGCTCTCATCCCCGCCTACCCCACTCCCCCCACCGGTTTCCCCTCTTCCCGCGCCCCTTGAAACCTCCCCCTGCCGCGCCAAGCCTGTGCCAGACCTCCTGCGCCGGAACCGCTCCCAAACCGCAGCAGGGGAAGACCCCGAACCTGCCGACTGGTTGAAAGGCCCCTGGTTTGGCAAGCCCGTAGCATCCGAACCAGCAGCATTAGCACTACCACCAGCACCACCAGCAGCAGCCGCAGCAGCAGAGCGTCTAGCAGGTTCCGCCAGGGAACCACTCGTGTGGGCACCAGGAGGGGCGCTGGACGGGGGAGCCGGCCCCGTTGCACCGCAATCACAGAAGAACCTCGAAAAGCGTGAGTAGACGAGCTTATGGCCCTTGTGGCACACGGCAGCGCAGACAGAGCAGCAGCCGCGGGAGACTGTGAGATCGCAGGTGTAGCAGAGGTACCAGTGCTGCTCCATGAAGTTGCTCCCGCTCACCACGAACGAGCACACGCGGGACGCTAGCGCCCTCTCCTCCTCCGCCTCCGCTGCTGCTTGCGCGGATAAATCCGCTGGCGACAGCCACCCTGGTGCCGCTGCGGCTGCTGCAGCAACAGCTCCCCCTGCTGCCCCTGCTGCTCCTGCACCTGCTGCTCCTGTTCCTGCTGCGGCTCCTGCCGCTGATCCAGACGCAGAGGGGAGTGATGAGCAGGAGCATGAGGTCCGGATGGAGTCTGCAGGGGTGTTGAGGAAGCGGCTCTCGAGTTCCTCATCAGACCACCCGTCCTCTCCACCACCTTCTGGTTTTTCTGCCTCGTCATCCACCTTTCCCTTCTCCTCTTCCTCCTCGTCGTCGCCCTCTTCCTCCTCCGATTCCTCTTCGTTCTCCTCCTCCTCCTCCCCCTTCCCCTCCTCTTCCTCGTTCTCTTCCTCTGCTTGGTCTTCATCCTCTATCCCCTCCTCGCCCATCCCCTCCCCCAATTCATCATCTTTAATCCCATCCCTACCCCTCTCTTCTTCTTCCCCTCCAGCTGCCCCCCTCTGCAGGCCACCACTACCCTTGCAGGCGGACAGGACAAGGGACAGAAACGACAACAGCACGTGCAGAACCTCCGCTCTCGCCCCGCCCCCTCCTCCCACAACAGCAATCTCCTTCTCCTTGCTACCGCCACCCTTACCAACCCCCAACCGAACCTCAACTTCTGCGCGTTTTCCTTCTCCCTCTCCTCCTGCGATTTCTTCATCAGCTCGTTTTCCACCCACCTCCTCCTGCGACACCTCTTGCAAAGCCCCCTCTCTCTCACTCAACGCATCTAGCCCCTCCTCTCTTTTCACCATCTCATCCAGAACAGCAACTGCACCAGCCACCAGCGCCAACAATTGTTCCCCAACAAGCCCTGCGGACAGACTCTTTACTGCGGACACACTCTCTGCAGAAGAGGGCTTTCCAATCTCTGCGTGAAGCGTTGCTCGCACACCGACGTCCAGCAGTTTCTGAACCAGCGGTGCGTTTGGAGATTCCGCCAAAGCAGCAGCTTTCAGCAATGTTACAACTGCGGTTACAGCGAGTTCGACGACCCTCGCGTCAACAGCTGGCCGCATCTTTCCCTCCTCCTCTGCCGGCGCTTCGGGTCTGTCTTTGTGGCTGCTTTCGCGTCTGGCAGGTTCAGTGCCTACCTCCGCACTGGCATCGTCAACATCGCCTTCCTCACCACCTTCCAGCGTCCCCTTCCCTTTTTCCTCTCCCTCGAGTACTCCCTCCCCGTTTTCAGACACGGAGCTGTCAACCGCGTTTCCAGCCTTAGATGCCTCGCCTGGACGATCACAACCGTCCAAGAGAGATTTCAGAAAGTTTTGCGTATCCGATACAAGCAGCCGTTCCAATTCCGAAAATTCTCTGGTTGGTAGATCCCCGGTCACAGATACGTCACTGAGGGAGGGCGCGTTGCTCGCTTCGGGTTCCCCGAGCCTGTCGCCAAGCCTCCTCGAGTTGTCCGAACCAGATCCATTAGGCTCAGGTCTCAGCTGCACTGTCCGGAACAGCCACGAAGCCACAGAAGTGACGACATCCATAGAAGGATGCATCGCGTGAAGGGAAATGTGGATTTTCGACAAAACGTATACCTGAAGCGCCAGAAGAGCGGAACTTGCCGATTGTTTTTAGACGGTACCGGCCACCGACAATTACGAAAAACTGAACCTTTTTTTTCTATTAAGTTTCAAAGATTTTTTTACCAGAAGGCCTACGGCGGCCAGCGTACATACACAGCGGCGCAATCCGGTTCTGAAATTCACCTGAGATCACTAACCTTATTTCTTCCTCTTAGTGTAGCGACTAATGCTGCGTCTATCCTCCCCTACCCACCTCCCTCCCACAAAGTCACGCGCCGTTGATGCCAGTTTGCCAGACTCAGAATGGTCCCCTCGGGGAAGCTGAGAACGGGAATCAGAAGAAATGCAGGAAAATCTCGTCGTCTTGCTCAGTTTCTTGCCAGCCTGATCAAGCACTGATACAAAAGCTGGATTCAGAAGCAAGGTCCTGAAATGCTGAGAAGCAACTGAAGACAACTTCTACAAGCAAGCAGGAACAAGCTCTTCGGAAATCCTGAGAAGGGCTGATGCAGAGAAATTGTTTCAGGTCGGACCAGAAAGCTGAAGCGAGAGCCTCGAGGTTCAAACGTGGGGTGGTGTGGTAGAAGGAGGTTTGGTAACCAGAGAGAACCTGCTCAGGCTCGGAAATTCGCTTCGGCAGAGGCAGGGAATACTTCTGATTGTGATTGCGTCCCAAGCCCATATTCGGGCAAGAAATGCAAATCTTGCAAGGGCCAGGTTCCAACTGGCAATTCGAGTTGAAAGTTACACCACGTGGAGTACAGTGACATTGTGTGAGTCGAGGTTCTTGGAGCGGGAAGAAAGTAAACGAGCCCAGACCCCGAACAGGTGCCTTTTCTGGCCAGGTTTTAGAAACCTTACCGGGGAAACCAGCAATTGCAGTAAATCAGCTAAACATGCTTCGGCAGTAGTCGAGGCTGACTCCTGTATTGTCAAATTGACATGCATACACTATCAAATATCACAAGGCAGTCCCGTCATGCACACATCAGGCCTGATCTAATGTCAATATAAACATCACCAGCTGGTGACAATCTTCATGCAAACTCGCTAATGAAGGACCCATATATTACACACGTAAAATACAAAATGTTCAAAAGAAAACTTGTGTTAACCTTGTTGGCCTGCTGCTAATGCATCAGGGTGTACTGGCACTGGTGCAAAATAATTCGTCACAATGCCCATAACTGCGAAACTGAAACAGTGAAGTGGAAGACAGAGACGGGAAGCATAAGAGGTCCGCAGATGGCGTGCGGGTATATGAAAATAATGTGTAACAAAGGTGGACGAAAACTAGGAGCTGAAGGCAAGGAATGAGAAAGTCGCAGAAAGAAGTGGAAGGAGCAGAACAGAATACGAAGTCCTCCCAGCCAGGACATTATAACAAGAAACAGCTCAGCTTTCTACAGTGTATGCGCTGAAAATGCAGGATAACCTGGCACAGTGATCCTTACCTGAGAGCTGTAATTATTTGCTTTAGATCATGCTCCACATATTTCATATTTGCCAGAGCTTGTGCTGCACATAGAAGCGCCAGCCAGCAGGCAAGCTTTTGCTGCAAGCAGAAAATAAAGTTAGAATGAAAGAAGGACGGGAGTGCGTGAGAGTGAGTGGGAAGAACACGATTGGACGAAGGCGTGGAAGAGGAAGAAGAGAGAACAGCCAAAGCGAGAATGGGTAGCTGAATCGAAACCGACAATTTGCAGATTTCTGTGCTCGTCCTCACTCCGTCCTGTCATACATACAGGACATCAGCTTATGAATCAAACACAGCACACATGCTCCTTTAGTCAATTCGCTAAGACGCTCCCTGCTTCATTCCACTCACCCATTGTTTATTTCGTTGCCTCCTCAAAGCACCCATTCAGCTCCGCACACAGACGTCTCAAAACGCTTCTGACAACAACGAGTCCTTTCTGCTCACCCGCATCATGACGCCGGCGATCCCATGTTTTTGGCTCCTCGAACCCAATCCGCTCCCCGAACCGACATGGATCTAAGAACTCCGAGCTCTCCCCGCTCACTCGCGACATGACGCGCATCCCAGTGAATGTTTAGGCTCCAACTCAAAGCACCCCCCAACGCCCAACATTATCAAAAGGGGACTAAAAACACCGAGCCCTTGCCGCTCACCCGCATCATGACGCCGGCAACCCCAATATCTCTGCACCTCTTCCGACCCATTCCCACACCGACATCATCAGTCAGGATCTAAGAACACTTAGCCCTCTCCGCTCACCCGCATCATGACGCCTGCGATCCCAAAGAATGCGTAGCTTCTCATCAAGTATGCTCGCCAAAGAATATCAATCTGGATCCGAAGTAAAACTTCAACAATATGTGCAACATTTCTCCGCTCACCCGCATCATCACGCCAGCGATCCCGAAGAAGATGGCCATCATGCTCGCCATGTCGATCGGCAGATCCTCCGCATTCACCACCGGCGGTACATACTTCTTCACTGCGTCTGGTCTCCGAGGGTCGCCGCTCGTGCTCACGCTGCCGCTGCTGCCACCTGCGCTGCCACTTGCTGTCAACCGCTTCATCTCTGAATTACAAAAGCTACGGATCGAAAAGCGCTGGCTGGTATGAAATGATCGAGTTGCAGCGAATCGGGATCTGAAGGAATCAAGCAGGACGCACGAGGTGCGGTATGCGGTATGGTGTAGTGTCTGGGTTGAGTGCAGTGTGGACAGCAAGCTAGCACTCGCAATTTTGAACAGGTATGTTCTTCAATCGCTGCAATCCAGGCCAAACAGGACATCAGGGCGCTTCGCCTCAAAATTCGAACAAAGCCCTTTGTTCGAACAAGCGAATTGTTACACAACTCGCCTATTTTCGCAAGCAGTTCGTTGAGTCCTCGTTAGTTCGCAAATAGAAACGTCGCTAAATCGAACAGAGCTGTCACATCCAGCACGAGGGATTTCGCGCTTGCTGTTCGAATGAGTTCGTTCGAATGTAATTCGGGATGAGCACATACGACGCCCACGAACAGCACGAAGAAGTTTCCAGGTATCTTACGACTGCCTTTTTATGTTCGTTATGCAATCAAAATCTTCTGACGACGGTCGTACGACGTCGCATGACAGGCGACGTCGCATTTTCGAACACACCTGTCACTTCATGTGACACACCGTCACCTTTCACCAAATTTTCAAATCTTGTTCGAACATCGGAATTGTGCTGTTCGGGCACTGAAAAATAGTGACAGTTTCGAATTTTGGCCGACTGCTTGAGAGGTGACGCGCCCTCACAAACTGTAATGAGATAAGCGCTAGAGGTGGACTCGTTAGGAAAAGAGTCAGCAAAAAACTTTAGGCATTTTGAATAAACATTCTCCTCATGTGTTACAGCAGCTTTGTCATAATTGGGAGTTCAAAAGTGTAGCCTTTGTATGAATAGTGGCCTTACAGTTAAATTCTGATGTACTTCCTTTATGCCCCCACAGCCATGAAGATAATATTCCGGAAGATCTAACTAAATAAACCATTTCAAAAATGTTACGATATGAAACTTATTAAAGCTCAAGGCCCAAATTGCGGGCCGCGCTGGGCAAGATTACTAATCTTGCTGAGCGGCTGTTTGGGTGCTGTGAGTTGGCGAATTTAGGGTTACACTAGGTACGAATGAATCTGATTGGTCGAGACCAAACTCACCGCGCAAACTTCATGTTTCAGTATTTCTCAATTTGGGACTACCGGACCCAAACAGAATGTTTGGCCCAGAGTTTGCTGACTCAGCAAGTGTTGCGAGAGCTTGACGAAAAAAGCGAACCCCACTTTCTCGACTTTCTGTTCACCTCCCAAACCACCAGCCCAAACCCTTGCGCAAGATTACTAATCATGCGCAATTTGGGCCTTGAGCTTTAAGAAGCGGGAACATGTTTAAAACGGATTCCTGCGCCGCACAATTTGAACTTCACTGAAATAAGGGAATATACCCCTTAGATTACATGGCTAGTTTAGGTCTTTCCGTATTCCTTGTATCCACTAAATATACTCGATGTATACATGCTTTTTATCTCAGTCATTTTACATTCACTCTGACCTGAGGTCCACAATTCCGCTGCAAAGCTACCTGCGAACAACCCTGAGCCGGTACCTCGCTAAGTCCTACTTAAGATTGTAACATGGTATGTGAGCAACTTAGGGATTCTTCGCATCCCCACTTTCGTAAAATTCGCCGAACTGAAATCTGGCGAGCGGCACACGCTCCAAGACCAAGATGGCCGGAGGATCCGGAGGCCAAACGAATCTAACGGCTGAATGATAAGCCAATCCAACCGCGACAAATAAGGCGACAACTACGATCAGCATCGTCGCACTCGAACAGTTGTTTCAACGACTGTCAACCGTGGAGAAAGATCTTTAAGCATTGCGGAACGGCGACTCAGGAACCTCCTCCCAACCAGCACAACTTGCTCAACCGGCCACAAAAGGTCGCGATACCATCCCGCACACCTTCTCCCTCGACACAGACAAATCAACACCAACTGCCCCCCGTCCAAGTGATGAAGCCATCAATTCAGCGCACGATTTCTCAACATTTCCAAGATCAGCACAAGCACCGCGTTTGACGGTAAAAACTTATATACATTGAGTTTTCAACTAGAGCTCCTCCTACAAACTGCGCAAATCTACCAATACTTCGACGGCTCCTACCCTAAAGTGGTGGACGACACCGTAGACGCCCGGGCTTTGTACTGCAGCGAGTCCTTGATGACGTTCAGTATGCTGCTAAGGAACATGACGCACGCGAAGCAACTCGGCATCCGCTCCTACAAAGAGAGCGCCACTCCAGCGCTTGAAGCCCTGAAGCACCTCATCGAGGTATATCAGCCGAAGGACTTAGTGACTCAGTCACCTCCAGCAGGCTCCTGCAGCAACTCATGGAAACAAAGATGGGGCATGGGGAAAAGGCGAATTCGTATATTAATCGTTGTCAGAACATCCCTGACCAAATCACGAAGCACGGAAGCGCGATCTCGGAGGAAATCTTTGTCAACATCGTGCTCCAAGGACTTGGGCATGAATGGAAACCTTGGAAGGCGCTACTCCGACGACGAGGTATAATCTCATAAGCTGCTCTATGTGCCACTCTCCTCACTGAACAACAAGACATGGAATCGAGCAGGACAGCCTCGACTCCTCGACGAGAGCGCCTCACCTTCTACGCGGACAACCGTGAAGAGCGACGACAACCAGGCGAGGCGCCTCTACTGCAAAATTTGCAAAAACTTCGGACACTTAACGGACCGATGCAAATTCCGGTCCAACAATCGCCACCCAAACCCCACTCACCATAACAACTGGGTTGGCCGACAAGATGCTCGTCATTTTCTGCCTCAACATCAAGTCCCCCGTCCACCTGCACAACAATAGCAGTAGCAGACACAAGGAGCTAAGACGGGAGAAGCGTGAAACGTAATCGCCAACATGGCGGCACGACGACGCACAAGAGCTACTTCGCCTGACAGAGATGAGGAACCCGCCGGCGAATTTATACAACCTGAAGTGGACTACAACAATCCCTTCACTGACAGACACTACTACTATGAGGATGAAGACAGGCAAGACTTGCACCAACCAATCCAGCTGCGAGAGAGCCCACCTCACTACCACGATCAACGACCAGTCCCCTTGGGATGGCACGAGCAGCAAGACTTTCTCACGATCGACACAGTGACTAATGTCACACCACGGCTCGCACTGCTCCTGCGTGGCAACAACGACAATCACAACAACTGGTACCTGGACAACTGCCGTGGTCAACACATGGTGGGATCACTCCGCTACATTTCCAACGTTAGCGCCACCCCCATTGCCACCTTTGTCACCGTCGCCAACAACAATCAGCTTCGGGCAAACACGCAAGGCATAGTCGTGCTTTAGGCACGAGACAGCAGCACGCACATCACCTTCAACAATGTGTTGTATGTCCCAAACCTGCGCTTCAACCTGCTCTACGCGGGACAACTTTTCGTCAGCGGAGTCACCTTCACGACTGACCCTTACTCCCGCGAACTCATTCTTAACTACGCTCCCCCCGACACACCTGTCGACGGACACAAATAACTTGGCCGAGCGCGTTCCATCAATGGAGTCTACGTGCTCGGCTTCGACATCTCCAACTGCAGAGCGACGTCGGATGAGCTCGTGGATCTAATTCCCCTAGACTTCGCTTATAAATCCAAAGACCCCTGGAAGCATCCTGATGCATGACCGTCGATCAGACGCAGTCCTCACGCTCGTGAGATGAACCTGCACCAACCCGGCCCCTACGGACGCTGCATCACTTGTTTCACACCCACAGCGAGCCGTACCAAAGAAGTTGAACGAGATCTTGCGACAATAGAAGAAGAAGAAAGTGCCGCAGTGCGTAACAGAACGGAGCTTGCAACAACTTCTTACCACATCTTCAGTGCAGAACAAGAAGATTTTGGCGTAAAAGGAGAAGAACGCCCCGGTCCCGCAACCGAAACTCTTCATTGGGACTTGGAAGAGGCGATGACAGGAACCTTTGATGAGGAGAATCGCCCACTCTCCTACACCCGCAAAACACACCGCCAAGTCTACAAGGACTAGAAGGATCCTGACTCACCAGAAGAATGATGTGTCAAGGAAGAGAAGGAGAAGGCAAAGCAAAATGAGAGAGAGAAATTTATTCAGGAGAGACTTGCGGCAGGATGGGACGAAGAATCAGCAAGGAGAGCACCCACTGAAGGATGGGGATGGGGTGGCACCGAAGGCGGCACGAGTGCCTCCGAAGCAACATGGGGATCAGCAACTGGTGCCTCTGGCACCATCAGCGGGTGGGGCACTGGCGGAGGAGGCTGGGAGAACGTCGGAGCTTGGGGTGTGACTGAAGGAGAACTTACCCGAGAAGAAATAGAGGAGGCATAGAAAGAAGCGGCCGCCGAACGCACCCCATCAAGAGTTGTAGTTCCCCTTGGCCGAGTCCCGCACAATCTGCCGTCACACCCCCGCTCACCTACACCTGGGAGTCCATCAGGACAGGACTCGAATGCGGAAATATCCTCGCGACTCCCCCACGCGACGACTATAGAGCCAGCGTAACTCCTGTGCAGCCATGGCTCCTGCGTAGATCTCAGCCTCACAACTGGAGCTGAGAACAGAAGACGAGCGTGTAGACCGCCAAGAAACTGAGCCGGAGCCAAGGCTGAAGGTGTAACCCTGTGACGACCGCTGCGTAGCCAGGTCGTCAACCCAAGACGCGTCTGAGTGTCCAGTGAGGACAACTCGACCCCATCCTCCAAGCACCAGCCCCATGCCCGATGTACTGCACAAGTAGCGCAACACCCTCTTAGCAGCCTCCCAGTGCTCTCGCCGGTGTCTCCCAGGCGCAACGTAGCGAGCTAGGATGCTAAGAGGGTACGCAAGGTCAGGTCGTTCGCAGGTCATCAGGTACATGAAGCAGCCCACTAGCTCTGGATATGGGCCACTAGGCTAGGGACTCGTCCGAAGGTGGAGCTGAGAGCAAGTGACTGGTAGGTAGAGGAGTGGACTGTGGTGAGGAGAACTGGAAGCCGAAGTGCTGAAGGACCTGCTGCACCATGTGTGACTGAGTCAGGGTAATGGTGCGGCGTGCTCTGTCCCGAGTGATCTGCAAGCCAAGGTAGCTGCACAGTTCACCCAGGTCTGTGCACGTGTGTCTCTTCTGCAGCTCCGACTTCACAAGGGCGAGTGCCTCAGTGTCAGCAGTGGCAAAGACCAAGTCGTCGACATACACGAGGATCTAGAACGACGGTAGAGAAGTGTCGGTGCGAAGAAACAGCGACGGGTCAGCAGTGGAAGGAGCAAACCCAAGAGCCGCAAGTGTCGTCCTCAGTGTGTCGTGCCACTCATGAGGCGCCTGGCGGAGACCGTAGACTGGCCGCCGGAGGCTCCACTAGGTACCAGGAGGGAACGACCTAGTGAAGCCAGGTGGGCGGCGCAGCCAGATCTCCTCGTGTAGGCTGCCCTGTAAGAAGGCTCTGCTGAAGTCAAGAGAGTGAAGCTCGTAGTCACGCTGAGCGGCAACGTGCAGCAGCACCCGAAGAGTGGTCATCTTCGGGGTAGGAGAGAAGGTCTGGAAGAAGTCAACTCCCTGTCGCTGACTGAAGCCTAGTGCAATCAACGTAACGAGCCTTGAAGACAGGCAGAGAACCCGGCGGCCGCTTCACCCTGAAAATCCACATGCCATCGACTATGTTCGCCCCAGGAAGGGGAACCTCGTCGACGTAGGTGCCTGTGGACTTCCAAGATGCCATCTCTACGTCCATGGCTGTCTGCCACTGAGAGGAGTAGGGACCCGAAATCGCCTCTGCGTAAGAGCGCGAGGTCGGGATGTCCAGTGCATCCGGGTCTCCCTCAGGTGCAAGCAGCCAGGCCACGAGATGAGGTACAGCGGCCGTAAGAGACTCAAAGTCCTCCTGCGTGTCCTCAAGGACGTCCGTGCCAAGAGCACACTCACCTCCGACGGACGGAGGACAGACAGACTCAGACTCAGCAACAAGACTGGCGGCGTAGTCTAGACGACACGCAGCAGCAAAGTCCATAAGCTCAGCAACTAAGGCAGACGCAGCAGTAGACTCAAACGACGGGTCAGTGACAACAGTAGTCAGGAGACGGGTGACAGTGGGGCTGGCAGTACGAAGACGGTCGGACTCAGGGTCCGGAACATCAGGAAGAGAGGACGCATGTTGAGACGGCAGAGGGACGCGCTGGGGAACAGAGGAAGGACGGAGTGTCATAGTGTGAGTACCTAGCACAGGAGGAGGACGCGGACGCGGGACACGACGAGCACGGCGAACAGGGGAGGCAGGACGAGACACAGGCTCACGACGCTCTGTAAGGGAGACCGGCTGCTCAGTGTAAGGAGATGGGGCAGGCAGCGGTGAGTCCGGAGGAAGGGCAGTGGACGAAGGAAGACTGAGAACATGACGGAGAACCGACTCGGGCGGGAGCTCGGACAGCTGCGGCGGCGGCAAGAAGAACGGTTGCTGCTGGGCGTACGGGCGACGCGACGGGCTGGGGCAGCCTGCACGGGCGACGCGACGGGCGGCGCGACGGGCTGGGGCAGCCCGCACGGGCGACGCGATGGGCAGGGGTAGGGCGGACGGGCGACGCGACGGGCTGGGGCAGCCCGCACGGGCGACGCGACGGGCCAGGGCAAGGCATACGGGCGACGCTGAGGGCTGGGGCAGCTCGCACGGGCGACGCGACGGGCAACAGGGGCGCACAGGTGGGGCGGCGCGACGGGCAGCAGGGGCGCGCGGCGCGACGGGCAGCAGGGGCGCGCGACGCGACGGGCAGCAGGGGCGCACAACGCGACGGGCAGCAGGGCTGCGCAACGCAGGGCAGGGCAGAGAGCGCGCTAGGCAGCGCTACGCAGGACAGGGCAAGGCAGCGTGGCAACCAGTAAGGCGGCACGCTGGCAGGGCAGCGCGACTGGTGGGGCAGCGCGACGGGCAGGGTAGGGCGCTACGAGCAGGGTAACGCGCAACGGGCAGGGTACGATCGGGTGAGTCCTAACGGAAACGGTCCTGGAAAAGGACCTGCTCTGATACCATGCTAGAAAGTAGAAGCGGGAATGAATGAACTATGATGCAGTTTGGTACAAGTACTAACCCTAATTGGGTTGTACCCCATACAGGCTACCCCACTACAGCCTACACAACACAATGTTCTGACAGTTTGTACCGTATACCTAGGTACTGTATTACATTGATGTACTGGTACTTGATACATGCGTCTACCCACAGCTATAAAGCAGCTCATAAACTTGTATTGTACTTCCCATACAACCCTTATAATTTATGTCATCCAAGCATTTTATATTGTCAGCTGGTATGAATGATTTTTTTTAATATATACATGTATATAATTGTCGCTTTCATCGCTGTAATGCTACTATGATGCATCGATGGTTTTGTTTTTCAAATATACAGTCAGTTATTGTTTTTTCATTATATACTTTTTGATTATTTTTTTTTTTTTTTTTTTTTGTTCACTAGCATTGCTGAGCCACCTGCCATGTGGTGTTTCTATTCACTTTCCCCAAATGCATCTGGAATCAGTTTAGTCTATCTATTGTGCCGACTGTAGCTTATAACAAGGGAAGCTCTTACACTGTAATTTTGATCATCTGCTGCATGCCTGCCAACACTGCCACTCTTCCTCAATTGAGTTCGTCGAGAATTCTTTTTCCATTGCGCTTCCATATGCCACACGAATCCCGACCTTCCTCTGTTCCGGTCACGCTAGTGACTTCAATCCAGCCTGGAACGACCCAGAGTACGAAGCGCGCATTCCTATCTGTGGCGCGAGGAGCCAGAAAGGTAATGGTTCGATGTAAGGCGTCAACTGCGTTTTCTCGATGTTGCCATTCGTCCTCAACGATCGTATCCTTTTCAGGTCATTCCGTCCTCAGTCAAGGCTAACTCGCTGCTGTAGTATTTTAGCAGCAAGTAGCTTATCGCGTTCATACATTTCTAAGCTCTTCGCCATCCTCGAGTCACCATGAGCTCTTGTGGATTGCTTTTCCCGCTGCTCTGCGTCCTTGCTTTCCTTCCATTTAGCTATGGCTCCGTGCAGGAAGGTTCAGTGTTCACGTTCAAGCTTCGCCATCAGCATACAGTTTCAGCAGATAACCGGCCTAGCACCTTCGGTTCTTACAAACAGTGGCTGGAAATGCAGACGCTGTCACGAGCAGCGGTTATTTTGAGACGCATTCGCAAGGTGCTGATGCCTGCTTGGCACGCTCCATCCTGCAACAGTGTACTGTCTATCCGTTCCGTTATTCATTGCCTTCACTTATTTGTCTAATTCTGCACAGAGAGCCAAGACTTCCGGATCTAGAAGGCTTGAGGGAGGAGGTCAGGAGTCAACCCTTCCGCTCAATGGAGGCGTTGAGCAACTGGGGTAGGTCACCAGTCGTCCGTTTATTTTCTGAATATGATGTATATATGTGTCCTGACGCAGCCCGTTTCAACAGGTCCTATTACGTTACACTGCAGCTTGGTTCTCAGAAAGAATCATTGAACACCATCATTGACACTGGAAGCGACCTGTTGTGGGTCAGGTGTACTGGCTGTGCAAACTGCCCTCGAAATACAAGAGTAAGGGATATTTTTTAAATCAAAGAATCTGCATCATGTTATAGTCCTGATTACCACGTTCTTCTACATTCAGGCTCGGTCGTTCAATGCTCAGCAGTCAACGACTCGTCAGAGAATCGATTGTGCTGAGTGCAAAGCGATCAATGAGACCACCTGCGCTGGTCCATATCGGGCGGGGTGTGGAATCGGCTGCACAAGGCTGGGAGTCCGAGGTCGCTGCATTGCTGGATGTGGGTAAGTGAACTGATTTTCCAGCTATAAGTATGATCCAGGAACATTGTTAATGTTTCCATGCCGTCGCCTTTGAGCAGACCTAACGGCACAAGTCGCTGCAATTATGCTGTCATATATGGTGATGGAAGCTACACGGGTGGAGTTGTGATGCGTGATGCCTTAACTCTCCCTGGCCGCCCAGCAGAGATATCAGCACCGGTTGCGTTTGGGTAATCTGAGCTAATTTTTGTGGACAGTTTGCAGTATCTGCGGACTTGGTAACTAACCCCCTGGTTTTTGTTTTCAGTTGTGATTTCCATGAGTCCCAAGGGCTTCTCAAAGATCCCTTGATTGGTCTAGTTGGCCTTGGCCAAAGCCCTCTTTCCATTCCTTCACAGCTAGCGCAAGCGGGAGTTCTTCAGGGGAATATAATATCACATTGTTTGGGTGGGGAGGATGGTGGCGGATTCATAACCTTTGGCACACCTCCTATGGCTGACTCGAGCATCCAGTTTGTCCCTATGGGGAATGACACCACGTACGTACCTATGCTGCAAATGTCCAGGCTGGGCCTATTTGTTGTCTCTGACATGTGTTTCAATGTGCAGGGTGTACAATGCAACAATATTCGGTATTCAGGTGAATGGGGTGGATTTACAAATCCCTGCTGGCACGTTTTCTGGAACTGGTGGCATAATTGATAGCGGCAGCACTGCCCTCACACTCCCAGAAGCAGCGTACACTCCTCTGAGAGAAGCAGTAAGTTCCCCTCAAAGCTTCCATGCCCTTTCCTTCGAACCTTTTTTATTCATTCGTTGGGTGTTATTGATAATCATTTGGTATATCATCATCTGATACAGGTAATCCAAGCTGTTGATGGGAAAGCTCAAAGGCTTTCTCAGGAGGAAATTAATCAATTGGCTGGTGGGAACGTCGCATCTGTTTTGAATCTGTGCTACAATGTTTCTTCAAGGTATTTGTCTTGCCTTCAGATTTTTATGCATGCTGTTCTGTTTTTGGCTTCGTACTTAGCATACCATTTGTTATATTCCAGCGATATGGCGACGCTGCAGACTGCATTTCCAACAGTGGCAATCGTGATGGATGGTGCCAATCTGGAGTTACCACCCCAGAACTACCTATGGCTTTTTGTGAGTACCCATGGCCTGCCTGCTGCCATACACCAGCATGTGTAATATTGGCGGGGCAGGGATGATCGAGTTCTTTTGTTTGCTGGCCTGCAGGACAATTTGGTGTGTTTCTGTGTGTACGACTCAAACAGTGTGGTGGGCCAACCCATCACTATAATTGGAGGTACCATGTTGAGGAACATGACACTTAGCATGCATGTCTCATGGCATTTTGGCAGGGCACCCTTGCTGACATGTTTTCATTCATTGCGGATGCAGATGTAGCTATGCGCAACAAGTTGGTTGTGTACGATAGAGGGGCAAGAAAGATGGGGTTTCAGACGCTGGATTGCAAATCTTCCTAGGTTCAATTTAATTGCAGATTCATGTGATAGTAAAAATATGGAATGCTGGTGAATGATTTTTTTTGTTAGGGGAAATACACTGCTCAGCTGTCAGATCACGGTATGTGATAGATGAGGTGAGACTAGTCGAGATGTGCTTGTGAAGATTGTCAGGATTCACACAGCGGTCATATTCAAAGTCGCGGTTTGGTGTCAAATCTAGCTTGACCACCTCACCATGGCACATAGAATACCTAGCCCTGCTGGAGCATGTGAGAAACTCCCAACGGAGTGGCCTGTGTATTCTATTCTGGTGTCGAGCGTTTCCAACGGAAGTATGGAAAATGTCGAGTGTGGGACCTCGTGGTAATTTCGATGTTAGATAGTAGTAGTTCTCGATATTCTCGTGTGATCCATCTGATGCATTTCGCATGATGGAAACAGTTGCGAATCTAGAAGCGGAGCTGTACCGCGTACGGAGAGACCGACGCTTGCTGCTTTCAAACCTCTTAACGTCGCTAGCGGCGATCGGCTGGGCAGACTCGGACCTGGACAGGATCAATGTGGATTACATCCTGTGGTGCGCCACGTCAGGTACTCTTTGGAGCACTGACAGAAACTGACAGAATGAAACTATTCCGGTCCGTCCTTCCTCGTTTACTGCTAATTGAGTTGTGAGTGAAGGGCGGCTCAGCTACTTTTCCAGTTACAGCCGTCAGATTTAGTACCCGTAAAGAACCTATTCGCCTATTGGATATTTTCGTATCGGGGCTTGATCCATCCTGCTTTCGTTTGACCTTTCAGGAACACGCGTGGATATTAAAGCAGCCATTTCCGCCCAACCAACGGTCACTCCGAGGGGTGAGGTGAGAGCTCGACTCGTCTTCCACTTGTTTCGGTTATACGATGTCTCAGATGGCTGTTTATTGATAATTAAGGTAGCATTAACTTGACTCCTGTACACGTCTGGATACTCCTGCTCCAGGTCAGATCCAGTCGGCCGCAGGGAAACAAAGCTCATAATAACAACCTCCACGTCCCTCTACACCCCTTATCGTGGCTTCATTGCCGTCATTTCTCTTTGCCTCTCAACCTCTCCGTATCCCATTCAACTCCACCTCGCAGGCAGATTTCGTCACCGCCTCCACAGTCATTCTCTCCTCCACAGAGCCCTCCGGCCCTCCGCCTTCTCGCCTCGCTCCCGCCTTTCCAGTCCCCTCCCGCACAGTTCCAGAGTTCCCTGCTCCTCCTCGCCTCCCCCCTGAACCCCACCATCCCCGGCCAGCCTCGGACTTTGGCTCTGCTGCTACATACGCGCCTCCCGCTCCCAATGCTCCTTCTGCACCCGCTGCTCCGTCGTTCCGTTCTGCTGTTCCTTCAGCTGCTCCCGGTCATGTCCCGAGCCAATCCTTTAGAGCCCACGAATTCGATTCAGCAGCAGCAGCAGCAGCAGCAGCAGCAGCAGCAGGAGCAGAAGGCGGAGCAGCAGCCGGAGCAGCACCAAGGAGAGGCTGGGGAGGAGGAGCGCGTGCAAAACCGTCAGTCAGAGCCGAACCAGAAACCCTCCTAGCCCCCCCTCGGCCTCTCTTCCCGCTCTCTCCTCCAGCGCAGCAGCAGGCCCCAGATTCGCCTCCCCCAGTCAAGCCTAAGGCGCAACAATTAGCCAAGAAGCTGTTCGCCACGCCGTTCGCGGCGTCACCTGAAGGCTATTCCACTGAAAGTGATGTTCGCTGCTCCACAGCGACCGATGCGACAGGGGCGCTGAACTGGGGGGGATGGGGACAAGTGGGGGCGAGTGGCTTGGGGTATGAAGGGTACGGGTACGGACAGGAAGCAGGGACAGCAGCCGCAGCGGCAGCAGATGCAGCGGCAGAGGCAGCAGCAGCAGCAGCAGCAGCGGTGGCAGCAGCAGCGGCGGAGGCGGCAGCAGGAAGAGGAAGAGGAGGAGGAGGAGGGAGAGAAGGCGCAGGAGGAAGAGGACCGAGGGAAAGTGTAGGAGGGAGAGATGGAGCACGGGAGAGTGTGGCAGTGACGGCAGCAGCGTCAGTGGAATCAGCGTCAGTGTTTGTGGCTTACTCTTCCTCTGCCTCTTCTGTTCACTCCATGTACGCCCTCTCCCAGGGGTCAACTGGCGCACCAAAACCAGCTGGAGCTGCAGCACCAGCCGCCCCAGGTGGTGCTGCTAGGGAAGCCCCAGCAGGAGCAGGAGGCTCACCAGATCTAGCAGCAGCTTGGGGAGGCCAGCCTTCCCCAGGTAAGCCCTCCCAAGCATCACCGTCCAGTTCAATTCACCCAAACGCCTCAGCATCAGGGTCTCCACACCACGTTATTGGCACCCCAAGCCCTGACCCTATTCGGCCACTGATTTCGAGCCCTGTCAAGACACCAATTCAGGAAAAGCCTTCATCGTTGCAGCTGCAAGATCCTCACAGTCCAGCACACACTCAGTATCAGATTCGGTCGCGATCGCCTCAGCCACTCTCCCCTTGTTCACCTGCAAACGCTGGCAGGAACCCTGCTCCCGCCCAACCACCATCACCTCAGTATGACAAAACCCTACCGTCTGAATCACTCTATCCTCCTCCTTCCCCTGTAGGAAGCAGCAGGAGTCCTATTTCCGCCCAGTCTTCACCACCCCAAACTCGATACGAACCCTGCTCGCCACCGCCTGAACCACTCTATCCTCCGCCCTCCCCTGCAGGAGGCAGCAGGAGTCCCGCTTCCGCCCACCATTCTTCTGCTCCCCGATCGGCGGCAGCAGCAGCTGCTCTGAGTGCCCTCGGTGCTGCTACTCTCGCAGGTGCTGCCGTCCCGGCTGCTGCAGCCACTCCTGTGGATGCATCTGCGGGCATGCTGCCCCACCAGCATACACAGGCCCACGCTCCCTATTCCCATGGCCCTTCCCACGCCCCTTCCCACGGCCCATCTCCGCATAGATATGGTTCGGATAGTGTGACCAGTAGTGGAACAGGAGGGGGGCGTGAGTCGGCCGCTAGTAGCAGGGGCGGTGGCAGCGCTGTGGGCGTTTCTGTGGCCAGCAGTGGACATGGGTTCAGTGAGCGGATGAGTGGTGGTGCGGGTGCCGCAGCAGCAGCTGCTGCTGCTGCTTCTGCTGTGGGATCTAGAGCAGGGGCAGCATCAAGGGCTTCTAATGCCCCTCCTGCCACCCCTGCTGCTGCCACCACCGCCACTGCTGCCGCTGCCACTGCTGCTGCTGCTGCGGCTTCTGCAGCGGAGGTTACTCCTCCTATCCCAACCCGGCTGGATTTCCAGTCTCCTGTAGGGGAACCAGGAAGCAAGAAGAGTGAGAGTGGGAGAGGCAGAGCCGAGGAGTCTGGCGGAAGGGGAAGTGCGTTAGGATCTGCCTGGAGATCTGGTGGGGCGAATACGAAGCTGCCACCTGGCACTGATGGGTATTGATGATGATGATGATGATGATGACGTGGCGTCTTTCGATTCGTCTTCGTGTTCGGATTCTTCCGAAATGTCTTCTACACTAGTAGCTGGCGGTGACGGCGATTCGCCAGCTGGCACAGGAGATGGCGACGCTGCCAGCTCAGCAAGGTTCCGGCTGAAGTGGCCTTTGCGCCAGCTGGCGTCGGGGTTGACGGTGGAGGAGCTTCAAGCGAGCGCATATGAAGTGATGCTGCTGTCAGCAGCAGAGTCTGGGTGAGTTGTGAGTTACACTTTTCAAAGCGAGAATTCTCAAAAGTGACACGAGCAAGCGCCCGTGAAGTGCTGCTGCTCGCACCAGCTGGCATCGGGGCTGACGGTGGAGGAGCTTCAAGCAAGCGCGTATGAAGTGATGCTTCTCGCATCAGCAGTGTCATGGTGAGCAGTGTGTCTTGGTTTGAATTGAGATGACTATTGACTCTGACTTAAAGTTACTTCAAGCAAACGCATATGAAGTGATGCTGCTTGCAGCAGCAGAGTCTGGGTGAGTTGGATGCTTTGAATTTTCCTGAGAAGCAGGGCTGGATTCAAGTAGACTGACTGACGGTATCAAGGTTTGAGACGTTTTTCTCCCTGCTGATGCACGACGAATCAAGTGCCCTGCGCTGCTTGTGGTCATGCACTCCATTCCCGCATCTTCTCCAGATCCTAATCTGCACTGGCACATGCTGCCACCAGTGTAGGCAGCAGCTACAGCAAGAAGTGGGGGTAAACGCAGCTCAGTTCAACTCTAAGCAGCCAAATCTGTGCTCTCATCAAGTCTACTTCCTCTGCATCCTGCTCCGCTCCCCCGTCTTTTCCAGGCTCATTAATGCACCAGCGCCTGGTACCACCAGTGCTGCCAGCAGCGGCAGCAGCAAGAGCAAGCCGCGCCGGCCCGAATCCCCTATGGAGCCCAAGTCCAAATCCCCAGGTTGCTTCATGTCCCTCTCCCCTCCCTCGGCCCCTCCAGGCTTGTGTCTGCACCAGCACCTGGTGCCACCAGTGCAGCCAGCAGCAGCAAGAGCAAGCCGCGGCGGCCGGAATCCCCCGTGGAGCCCAAGTCCAAGTCCCCAGGTGGCTTCATGTCCCGCTTCGCCAAGAAAGTCGGGGTCAACGTGGGGCATTTCAAAGCACCCAAACCTGCTGATGCTGCCGTGGTGGTGGTGGGGGGGGGGGAGGAGGTGGGGAAAGAGGCGGTGGGAGTGGTGGTGGTGGGGATGGGAGTGGAGGGGAGGAAGGAGGAGGAGGAGCTCTGTCTCCGGAGCTTGCTCGAATGCGGCAACAACTAGGGGTGCGTGCTTGGTCGGCACTTTCTGCTCTTGCCTTGTCCTACCATCCTTCTTCTCCAGTCTCTGTTCTTCCCAGTCTAACATATTAATGCCATCCATCCCCCATCAGCCCCCTCAGAAGCAGCGTCCTGCCGCTCTTCATTCCCTCTTCATCACTTCCCCTCGTCCCCGCTTCTCTCTCGCCCCTTTTCCACAGGTACCCGAGTCTCTCCACGCGCTCGTCCTCTCAGCCCTCTTCCTCCCCCCTCCATCACACACCGTCGAAATGCCATCCCCCATCAGCCCCCTCTCCGGTGCGGCAGCAGCAGCAGCAGCTGCCGCCATTCCTCCCCTCCCACTTCCCCTCTGCTTGCTCCTCCACCTCTCCCCCATCCCCGCCTCCCTCTCCTCTTCCTTTTCCCCGGGAGTTGGTGCACTCAAGGCTGCTGCTTCCTCTCTCGCTGCGAAATTCTCCAATCTGTCGCCAGACCTCCGCAGGGCATTCTACCACAGACAGGTACGCGCGTGCGTGCGTGGGTTTTGTGTGTGTGTGTGTGTGTGTGTGTGTGTGTGTGTGTGTGTGTGCATACGTGCGTGTGTGCGTGCATGATGTAGAAAACAAAACATTTTCCTTTGTGCCACTATCCACATTGATTTCCCACACCTGCGTCCTCTGCCTCTGTGTGATTCGTCCCTTACATTGTCATCCTTTCTTCACTCCCCCTCTCCATGGGTCAACCTCCCACCCCAATCCGCTGGTCATTTTTCTACCCACCCCAAACTCCACACCAGGTGAAGCTGCTGCAGGAACTGCTGCTGGACGCCACAGGCGCTGCTGCTACGACTGTGCAATTATCTTCGTTGTCAATTCCCCACCCCCATCTGCTTGTCAAACCCCCACCCGCCGATTGTCACACCTCCACACCAGGTGAAGCTGCTTCAGGAACTGCTGCTAGACGCCACAGGCAGTGGCGCTACTGCTGGGCTGCTGCTATGGGTATTATCCTCACTGTCAATACCTCATCCCCACCCCATCCGCCTGTCAACCCCAGGTGAAGCTGCTGCAGGAACTGCTGCTGGACGCCACAGGCAATGCGAAGCAGCAGGGCGCAGGAAAGGGAGGAGGGGGAGGAGCGGGAGGACAGGCAGCGGGAGGGGATGATCGTGCTGAGGTGGCAGCCGCTCTGGATGCCATGCTGGCACTTGTGAAGGTGAGCTGGGTACTGACAGGGCACCTCACACCACAATGAGTGCATATCATATCATATCAGTCTGTCCAATTGATGCTAAGAGTGCTTTCTAAACCTCTATTTATAACCTGCATGATAGTCTGTCCAATCAGGCACCCTCTTTTCTGTATTCCCCTTTTCCTACCACTTGCCTTTGTCCCTTTCTCCCCCCCACGCCCACTCATCCAGGGTCACGAGTTCATCACCTCTCCGCCATCCCTTGAGGCCAAGTCAAGCCGGAAACTAAGCGAGCTGCGCTGCCTGTTCCTATCCTCTGCTCCCCCTCTCTCAACCTATCCCTCTCCCCCTCTTTCAACCTATCCCTCTCCCCCTCTCTCAACCTATCCCTCTCCCCCTCTCTCAACCTATCCCTCTCCCCCTCTCTCAACCTATCCCTCTCCCCCTCTCTCAACCTATCCCTCTCCCCCTCTCTCAACCTATCCCTCTCCCCCTCTCTCAACCTATCCCTCTCCCCCTCTCTCAACCTATCCCTCTCCCCCTCTCTCAACCTATCCCTCTCCCCCTCTCTCAACCTATCCCTCTCCCCCTCTCTCAACCTATCCCTCTCCCCCTCTCTCAACCTATCCCTCTCCCCCTCTCTCAACCTATCCCTCTCCCCCTCTCTCAACCTATCCCTCTCCCCCTCTCTCAACCTATCCCTCTCCCCCTCTCTCAACCTATCCCTCTCCCCCTCTCTCAACCTATCCCTCTCCTCCTCTCTCAACCTATCCCTCTCCCCCTCTCTCAACCTATCCCTCTCCCCCTCTCTCAACCTATCCCTCTCCCCCTCTCTCAACCTATCCCTCTCCCCCTCTCTCAACCTATCCCTCTCCCCCTTTCCTGCACCACCAATGCAGGGTCACGAGTTCATCACCTCTCCTCCGTCCTGTGAGCCCAAGTGGAGCCTGAATCTGATTATATGCTGTTTGTTAATCCCACTCCATTTTTTCTCCTGGCCTCATCTCCTCCCTCTTTCCCTTCCCCTCACTCCCACCAAAACAGGGTCACGAGTTCATCACCTCGCCTCCTTCCTTTGAAGCCAAGTGGAGCCGGAAGCTGAGCGAGCTGCGCTGGCTGCTGGTGGGGGGATTCGCCTGGGGCGGCAGGAGAGGAAACGCGGCAGCACTGGTTGCAGCAGGCGGTGGCAGTGGTGATAGGCAAGGGAAGCAGCTACCCGTGCTGCCTGGTGCCTGGTGTCCCACCAGAGCCAGCTTAAACGCGTCTCTCTACCATCAGCTGCTGTCTGCCTGCTGTGATCCCTCCGACTCGGCCTCTTCCATTGACCTCCTCTTTGTAAGCACCTTACAGCACTGCACAGCACCCAAGGCAATTAGGGTACGCCAATGGTAGCAGGCAGTCACATGTGCTTCCTGGTGCTGTCCTGGTGTCCCAACAGAGCCAGCTTAAACGCGTCTCTCTACCATCAGCTGCTGTCCGCCTGCTGTGACCCGTCCGACTCTGCCTCTTCCATCGGCCTCCTCTTCGTAAGCTCAGCTCAGCTCAGCTCAGCACAGAAGACATGAACCCTGTCTTTCTCATGGCTCATCTATTCTGAAAACAGGGGCACAGGGGACAGCTGTGTCCTGCTCTTTCTCTTCTCTTCCCCCAAAATGCTCCTTGTGATGACATCATACCTTGTTGTTGTTCTCTTCTATCTCTCAAACGGCCGTTTGTATTAGATCATCCATAGGTACATGCAAACGTGCAAAAACAGATGCGGACAGCTGCTTGGGTAGCTACAAACTTTCCAGTAGATACAACATTCCCTGTTCTGCCTCTCTCTGTCTGACAATCTGCAGGAGATGGAGGAGAGAATTGAGGCCCTCAGACCCACGTGGCACCCTTTAGGAGTGACACCTGTCACACACAGTGCCCTCCAAGCGTGGACCCTCTGTCAGAAGGTACACTTGCACTGCCAGGTGGCAGTCTAACAGAATTCACGAGTCACCACTCCACTGCATGCGTTGTTCGCTAGGAACATCCTTCTTCCTCTCCTTCCTCTTGCGGGCTACAGTTCCATCTCTCTCCCACCCGCTGTCATTATCAGCAGCATGCTTTCTGAGCGGGGGGAAGTTATCTTCCTTCCCTCCTCCCTCCTTTTGCAGGCTTCAGTGCCAACTCCCTCTCACCCGCTCTCATCACCATCGCCAGCTGGCGGCCTGCCAGCTCAGCAGCAGCAGCTTCTGCCAATCAGAGCCGTTCTTCCTCTCATCTGCCAATCACTGCGCCGCTTACCAACCACTGCATGTGCACGACCATCATCCGCAGCAGCAGCAGCATCAGCTGCAGGAAAAGAAGAAGCAGCAGCGAAAGCAGTAGCAGCAGCAGATTGCAGAGAGGAACCTTCAGCGAAGGTTCTCCTTCACCCGTTCGTGCAGTCAGTGTCTCGCTTCCTGTCGTCGCTCCTCACTGACGACCACCACACCCTGCTGGAGGTGAGTGGTCTGTTTGTTTCAAGTCAATTCACAACAACAACAAAAAATCACATGGCTTGATTAAGTGCTGGAGTCTTGCCGCAGCCTGGCAGCACTGGGGCCTGCACCCCCACTGCGACACCGCTGCCTCTTCTCTCTCCTCCACCCTCTTGTTGTCTCTCCTGCCCTGTCCTGCCCCACTAAGCCTCTGAGTCACAGGCCTCTTGCACCGACGGTACTACTGGCGCGAGTGCAGACGAATTGGCGGCACTAGAGTCAGCTCTGGGCTCGTATCTGTGCTGCTGTGACCTTCCTCCTCACTCCGTGCTTTTTCCCCCTCGTCCCTACCCTGACCCCTGGCCTTTCATCCTCTTCATTCCCAGGCTTCCAGCAGCTGCGGTGCGAGTGCAGACGGATTGGCGGCACTAGAGTCCGCTCTGGACTCGTACCTGTGCTGCTGTGACCTGCTGGAGGCGGGCCGGAAGAGGAGCAGCCGCAGACACACGGTGAGCGGTGCGGTTGGGGAACGGGAATGGTAGGTCCTGTCATAAATGTTTCAAACTGGAGTTCATGCACATGGTGGTTCTTTCCTCTTTCAACCAGGCCTGCATTGTCTCAAACACCCTCTATGTTAGCATGGAGCGAGTGGAGGAGGTACTGCATTGTCTCTTTGCTCCTCTCCTCTCCCAGGAGGGCCACTTAGCATGGAGCGAGTGGAGGAGGTACTGGATCTCGTGCTCACTTCTGCCCTCTCCTCCTCCCACTGTGTCCTTCTGTGCATGTGCATTGTCTACTCTTTCTCACCTCTGTTTCTCAGGCCCCTGGAGCACCACCAACCATGGAGCGAGTGGAAGAAGTACTGGAGTTCGTGCACATGTCAGTGCTATCCTCCTTCAACCGCGCCTGTCTAGACGCCATGGCAGCAGCAGCAGCAGCAGCCAAAGCCCAGAAAGACGCACAGGACCAGGACGGTGACGGTAGCTCCTCCTTCTCTTTCCCAGACTCTTCCACGGACGGACCTGCTTCGGATTTTAGAGCAGCAGGGGCGGGCGGAGAGGTGGGATTGGCTCAAATGGCTGAGCTGGCAAGCGTGATTATAGAGAGGGAGGCTGGGGGCATGGCGGGGCTGGGCGAAGGGCGAGCAGGGAAGGGAGGAGGGAGAGGAATAGGAGGTGGAGGGGAGGGAGGGGCGGCGAGGGGTGGATGTGTTGCGGTGTTTAGGCGGCTGGGGGTGTATGGGACAGCAGCAGTGGCAGCAGCAGCGCTACATCAGCAGCTGGATTCGCAGCTGGTGAGTTGTGTGAGCTTAATGGACGCTGATTTGTGATTATGATCAGATTGCTTCGTTTTAAGAACTCTCAAAAGCAACCTGGGTTGCCACGAAGTTCTGTTTTGGTCTGCAAACCCTTCCAACTTCTGCAGTTTTTTTTTGTTCCCTAAATCATGTTGCATCTCTTAATGCCTCCCACCCACCAGCATCCCTTCCTCACAGTGGTGCACCGCAACTGCTGCAACGTGTTTTTCCTCCAACCCCTCTCCATACATTCTTAGCACACTCCACCACCCCCAACTCCTCCCTGTACCTCTGTTCCACCAGGACCCATTCCTCTCAGTGGTATCAGAGCTGCACTCTGACTGCTGCAAGGTGTTATTCCTCCAACTCTTCCTTGTCTATTCTCACCACACTCCACCGCTCCCAATCCCTCTCCCCTGTGTGCCTCTGATCCATCAGGACCCGTTCCTCTCAGTGGTGTCAGAGCTCCACCCCGAGTGCTGCAAGGCATTCTTCGTGCATTCTTATCAGATTCCACCACTCCCAACGCCTCCCCCCTGTCTTCTTGTTATCCATCACCCACCCATCAGGACCCGTTCCTCTCAGTGGTATCAGAGCTGCACCCCGAGTGCTGCAAGGCATTCTTCGTGCATTCTTATCAGATTCCACCACTCCCAACGCCTCCCCCCTGTCTTCTTGTTATCCATCACCCTCCCACCCATCAGGACCCGTTCCTCTCAGTGGTATCAGAGCTGCACCCCGACTGCTGCAAGGTGTTCTCTGCCGTAGACGCGTTCGACAGGCGCGTGCAGCAGGTGGTGCAGGCAGAGGTGCGGGCGGAGGAGGAGGAGGCGAAGAAGAGGCAAGGAGAGGGGCATGGCGGATACGGTCATGCGGCCCAGATTGCCAGCGAGCTCAACCCATATCAAGTGAGTTTCTACGATCTTCAAGTGTTGAGTGATGTATAAATGCTTTTGACAGGCACCTGCTGCAGGTGGCACAGGCCGGGGGATGTGTGGGAGGAGGCATTGGAAGAGCCGAGAGCCGATGCGAATGCCTTCTACTTAATTCTAAAACATGTAATCCATTTGTTTCTTTTCTCCCTTGATTCCTTGTTTCCGCCTTCCTTGCAGATCGACCCTGTGATGAAGCGTCTCTTCTCAGCCTGGGTGTCAGCGCAGCAGCAGAAGCTGCAAGTGTGGATGGAAAGGGGCGTGGAGGCAGAGGTGAGAGATGGGGAAGGGAGGGTGCTGGTCAGTTGAATCTCGGTACACATTTTCCACAGTACTACCAATGTTTGCAGCAGCAGAAGCTTCTCCTCTCCTCTCCTTCCCTCCGCATGCTCTCTCCTCTTACCCTCTCCTCTTCCTTTCCTATCACCCTCACTTCCTCTGCCCCGCTTCTGCACACATTTGAGCCAGCATCAGATACACTCAAGCACAGGGCTTCTGCAGTGGATGCTGTTTCTGAAGCGCCTTAACAACCTTCTCTGCCCTCCTCTCCTCTCCTCGCTTCTCGTCCCTCCCATCACCCTCTCCTCTCCTCTGCCCTGCTGCTCCTGCAGACGTTTGAGCCAGCATCAGATACACTCAAGCACGGGGCTTCTGCAGTGGATGCAGTGCGGCTGGTAGAAGAGGTGAGGCTTGGGTGGTGGTTGGAGAGGTGTGCGTTGGGTGTGAGAGAGGTGGTGTAGTGTGCCTCTACAGGTGACAGCTGTTACGCCTTTTCTATCCATACCTCAAGCACGGGGCGTCTGTAGTGGATGCTGTGCAGCTGTTGGAAGGGGTGAGGCTTGGATGGTGATGAGCGTTTGACTGGTGATGAGCGTTTGACTGGTGAAGGCTGCAACTGTGACTCAGTAGCTTTCCCTCCCTCAAGCGCTGAGCTTCTGCAGTGCATGCTGCAGCAGACGGTCCACAACACCAACATCCTCTTCCGCTCCTCCCTGTTGCTCCTGTCATTCCTCCTTTGTCCATCCCCTCCCTCCGGTCTCCACCATACCACAGGTGCATGAGCATCTGCTGTAGCATGAGCAGTTCTTCCGCCTCGGTTTTCCCCTCCCCCCCGCTTGCCCATGCTACAGCAAATGCTCCACAGCGCCCACACCCTCATGACATGAGCGCCTATGTTGCCAAAACATCTCTGTGACAGGTCCTAGAGGCCTGGGCCTCCTTTTCCACCTGACCATGCTGCAACAATTAGTCCACAGCACCAATACCCTCATGAGCACCTACGTTGCCACTCATCCCTCTCGTCTGATCCCCTGCTCCAGGTGCCAGAGCAGCCGAGAAAGTTGTTGCTGCAAACCTGAATAAATTTGAGGCAATACAGCACGTCAGTTTCGGGATGAAAGTGAATCGAGATTTTATCAAGTCACCAACCCAGCGATCCCCTTTTACCTCTCTAGGATGTCGCGCCGGATATGGAACAAGACTCTTCTGACCACTAGTCTTGCGAGCAGCCGGCCTGAACACACATATCCAGTTTGCGAGCGATTAAGATCAAGCATTGCGAGGATAGAAGATTCCACTTCATCTCAAGTGACGCGTCAGAACATTTCTCGAATCAAACGCAAATTCACATGGTGAACTTGTCGTCAGTTAATGACTCGTTAATGACTCTTCTAGGTACGGACGCCGAAGACTTTACGGATTCGACCTCCCTCGTGCTGAAAGCTTGGACTTAAGAAAGGGTAAGTCCGTAAAGGCTTCGGCGTCCGTACCTAGAAGAGTCATTAACTGACCACAAGTTGGTCATGTGAGTTGACATTTGATTCGAGAAATGTTCTGACGCGTCACTTGAGATGAAGTGGAATGGTCTATCCTCGCAATCTTGTTCTTAATCGCTCGCAAGCTGGATTTGTGTGTTCAGACTGGCTGCACGCAAGACTAGTGGCCAGAAGAGTTTCGTCTCATATCCGGCACGATTTCATAGAGAGGTAAAAGGAGATCGCTGGGTTGCTGACTTGATGAAATGTCGATTCATTTTTATCCCGAAACTAACGTGCTGTGTTGCATCAATTCGATTCATGTTTGCAGCAACAACTTTCATGTTAGCAATTCTTCCGCCTGGGCCTATGTTGTCAAGATCGCTGCTCTCGGCCCTAGAGACCACCTCAAAGCTACCTCCCCCCTGTCCTCCCTTGCACCCCCTACTGCATGTCCTAGAGCAGTTCTTTCGTCTTGGCCTGCCCCCCTGCCTGCCCATGCTGCAACAAATTGTCCACAGCACCGACACCCTAATGAGCGCTTATGTTGCCAAGATTGCTGCTCTCGGCCCCAGGGACCACCTCAAGCTGCCTCCTTGACTCCCTGTCTCCGTGTACTCCTTGTCCTCCCTTGCACCCTTTACTGCAGGTTCTAGAGCAGTTTTTTCGCCTTGGCCTGCCTCCCCGCCTGCCCATGCTACAACAAATCGTCCACAGCACCGACACCCTCATGAGCGCCTATGTCGCCAAAATCGCTGCTCTCGGCCCCAGGGACGACCTCAAGCTGCCTCCGCCCCCTCTCACGCGCTTCAAAGAGGACTTGGCCCAGCGGCTGGCTGATAAGGCGGAGAGAAGGGCTGAGAGGGAGGAGCGGGTGCAGAAGGGGAAGGCGGGGTACTTGGAGGGGCTGTGGCATGTGAGGAAGGGCGTGGGGGGTGGGGGAGCGGGAGTGGGAGTGGGAGGGAGAGGTGCAGTGAGGGCTGTGGATGCGGCGAAAGCGGCTGCAATTGATGCGCTGACTGTGAAGAAGCTGTGTGTTCGGATCAACACACTGGAGGTGAGAATTGGGCTCTTCGTGTGCGAGCAACTGATACCCTTGATGTGGAAAGCTGTGTGTGCGAATGAACGCACTGGAAGTGACAATCTGGTTGGGTGTGTCACGGGTGTGTGTGTAGAGCTGGGTGTGTCACGTCTTGTGTGAGAGTTGGGGCTGTCGATGCGTTGTGTTCGGAAGGTGTGCGTGCTAATCAACAAATCTAGTCAACAAAAAAGAAAGATCTGGTTGCTGCATTGTGTTAGGAAGGTGTGTGTGCAGATTGACTCTCTCGGTGGTGAGAGAGACTGCTGAGAAGCAGCGTCTTTCCCACCTGGAAGGGAGCTGAAGCATAGTTGTCTGGGGTGGGGTTGCAGGCGAGAGTAGGTCTCAAGAAAAAAAAAAAAAAAAAAAAAAAAAAAGGTTGGCTGAAGAAATGAAAACCGTTGGCTCCACGAATGAAAGAAGACGACTCAAAAAAGGAAACGAAACCATCAGCCCCTCTTGTCTTCTCCTCCTCTCCTCTATCCTCCTCACCCCCCTCACACCAGTTCGTGACAGCGGAGCTGGACAAATCTGAGAAGGCTCTCTGTGAGCGCTGGGACGAGTACGCTCCGCACCTCAAGATCGATGACATGGCAGGTGAGCATGCTGATGTGGCACCTGAGATTGCTGACATGGCACGTGAGAATGCTGATGTGGCAGGTGAGCACCGACCGAACCGAATACTCATTCCTCCGTTCCCCTGGTCCTTATCCTCGTCCTTTGCTTCACCTCACCGTTTCCTTCTCCCCTGCTCCCCTGTTCCACTGTTTGTCCCTTCTTCTCCACCCTCTTGCAGCCGTGGCCCCGTCGCAGCTCGCCTCCTCCCTGGCCTTCCGCCTCTCCACCGAGGGCGTGGCAGGACTCAAGAGGGGAAGCTTCTATGAGCAGACTACCACGCTCGCTGCACAGCGCATGCAGACCCTCTCGGACTACCTCGGTGAGTGCGCGTCCGAGCATGCAGCCCCCTATGAGGTGTCTCAAGAAAGGCCCTCACTGACCACTACACTTGCAGCACAGCGGATGCAGACCCTCTCGGACTACCTCGGTGGGTGTGTTGAAGGGGTGGGGTGTGTGACTTTGGGGGGAGAGGGGGGGACGTATGTGTGGGCGGGTGGGCAAGTACGCTTTTAAGAGCAGACCACCACGCTTGCAGCACAGCGCATGCAGACCTCTCGGACTACCTCGGTTAGTGCCTATTTGATCTTGCTCACTTGTATCACCTCTGTCATTCTGGATTTGCGTAATATTCCATGTAGCATCCGACCTTGGTTGGTTGTCATTTGAACAGAGACTAGCAGCACGAAACTGTTTACTTGGATCCAGATATGATTCTTTATTTGATATGATTCCATGTCTCCCTTCGCATTGCTCCAACCAGGCACCAAGGTCCACCTTGACTCAGAGTCGAAGGGCTGCAGTAGTTGTAAAGACGCTTAAGCAAAGGAACAACAGTGAAAAAACGAGTGTGAAAAAACGCAGATCTGAAAAACCCTTAGCTTCCGAAAAGCCTCCTTGCGTTAACTAGTTTCGGCGGATGGGCGAACCCAATCACGCCTTTATTTGATATGATTCCATGTCTCCCTTCGCATTGCTCCAACCAGGCACCAAGGTTGAGTGGTGGGACCTGAGGGAGGCGTTTCTGGGCCGCTAGGTGTACCTTTTTTGATTTGAATACAACAAGGTACCCTCCCTGTTTAACTGATCCCACGCAGGCACCAAGGTGGTGCGGTGGGACCTGAGAGAGGCGTTTCTGGAGGAGTTGAATAGAGCTCTAGTTAGGTGCTATAAATCCCTCCCGTAGATCTAGTTCGTGCCAGCAATCGTATGTCGCATCTTTTTCCTTGCATGCAGGCACCAAGGTGGTGTGGTGGGACCTGAGGGAGGCGTTTCTGGAGGAGCTGTATCGTGTGAGCGTGGAGTCATGCCGCATGAGCAACCTCATGCTCAAGCTAGACCCGGTAAGAGTGTGTGTGTGTGTGTGTGTGCGTGCGTGCGTGTGTGTGTGTGTGTGCGTGCGTGCGTGCGTGCGTGCGTGCGTGCGTGCGTGCGTGCGTGCGTGTGTGTGTGTGTGTGTGTGTGTGTGTGTGTGTGTGTGTGTGTCCTATGGACTCGTGTGTGTTTCTGGAGGAGCTGTTTCGTGTGAGCGTGGACTCATGCCGCATGAGCAACCTCATGCTCAAGTAAGAGCTTGTATTGTTGTTATTGTTATTGTTGCTGTTGCTGTTGCTGTTGCTGTTGCTGATGCTGATGCTGATGCTGATGCTGTTGCTGTTGCTGTTGCTGATGCTGTTGCTGATGCTGATGCTGATGCTGATGCTGATGCTGATGCTGTTGCTGTTGCTGTTGCTGTTGCTGATGCTGATGCTGATGCTGTTGCTGTTGCTGTTGCTGTTGCTGATGCTGATGCTGATGCTGATGCTGATTCTGATGTTGTTGCTGTTGCTGTTGCTGTTGCTGATGCTGATGCTGTTGCTGCTGCTGTTGCTGTTGCTGTTGCTGTTGCTGTTGCTGTTGCTGTTGCTGATGCTGATGCTGTTGCTGTTGCTGATGCTGATGCTGATGCTGATGCTGTTGCTGATGCTGATGCTGTTGCTGTTGCTGTTGCTGTTGCTGATGCTGATGCTGTTGCTGATGCTGTTGCTGATGCTGATGCTGATGCTGTTGCTGATGCTGATGCTGGTGCTGATGCTGATGCTGTTGCTATTGCTGTTGCTGTTGCTGTTGCTATTTTTCTCTTTTTCTTATCATTTCGTTTCTTGGCCATGCTAGGATGGATCACTGATCATGTACAGTGTGTGCCATGCTGATCTGTATCTTCATTGTTTCGGTTCTTGTATCCACTTACAGGTGTTAGGCGAAATTGTGGAGACCGTCTCAGACTCTCTGAGGGACCGTGTCGTCACCTCTCTCCTGCACTCTGTTCTGGTAATCTGGGGATTTCATTTTCTTACGTTTGTGATCATACTTTGGCAATCCATTTTTTCATCTTGTCCTAACGTACCTCTGACCAGCACATGCGAATTGTGAATGTTGTTCTCTTCGATCTTTGAAACCGTTTTTTAAACCCTCCCACTCCACCAGGAGGGCCTGCTGCGTGTGCTTCTGGATGGCGGGCCTCTGCGGGTGTTCGCCCAGTCAGACTATGATGCCCTGGAGGATGACCTCCGCATTCTCAAGGTGAGCAGCTGATGTGACATGAGGTGGCATGTGATGGCATGATATGATGGGGGCCCTTTGAGGGTGTTCACCCAGTCAGACTATGATGCCCTGGAAGTTGACCTCCGCATTCTCAAGGTGAAATACCCACATGGCATGGCATGGCATGACATGGCATGGCATGGCGTGGGATGGCATGGCATCAGAGGTGTCATGACATGATGCCCTGGAAGGTAATCCCTGCGCGCTCAAGCTGAGAAGCTCACATGTCTTGGCATGGCATGCTATGCATGGCATCATGGCGTCATGCCATCATGTATGATCGTGCCATGACATATACACGATGCACATTGTGTGACACTATACCCTTGTAACCTTCTCCCTCCCCCTTCCCCCGTTATCCTCCCTTTGCTTTCTTTCCTCCTTCTCCCTTCCCCCTTCCCACTTCCCCTTCCCCATTCCCCTTTCCCTTGCCCCTTTTACCTCCCTCTTTTCTCCTTCCCACTTCCTTCTCCCCCATTTCCCCTTCCCATTTCCCTTCTTTCCAGGAGTTCTTTGTGGCGAATGGCAAAGGCTTGCCACAGGAGGTCTTTTGAGATGTTTCAAAAGTCGTCTACTTATATGCGGTTTTTATATTGATAGAGTTTTCCCTCCCCCTTTACTCATCCCCCAGGAGTTCTTTGTGGCGAATGGCAATGGCTTGCCACAGGAGGTGGTGAACAAGGCAGCAGCTCAGGTGCAGCAAGTGCTCAACTACTACTCCCTCGACGTGAGTGTTTTGTAGTGTATTTGTATCTCTGTAACATCTTTTAGTAACGTCTTTTTTATGTGCCACATCCATTCTACAACTGCCTGTTCCAGTGACCTTAGCCTCAACTAAGATTTTGTTGTTATCTGTGCATGCCATTATTAATATCCCACGTGTTCGTCAACTCTCTTCTCCCCCATTCCAGACTGCTGACGTCATTTTGGTGTACAAACAAGCAGCGGGTGCCAGTCAAGCGGCAGGAGGGGCATTCCGGGCGTCATCGTTTGTGAAAGGGGGTGGCGTAGGGGTCACTGGGCACGATGCACATGTGCTTCTGCGTGTGCTTTGCCATAGGGCGGATCGGGAAGCTTCTAAGTTCCTCAAGAAGCACATGCACTTGCCTAAGTCATAGTACCGTAATTATGCAGCAAATGAGGAAAAAAGAAGAATATAGTAATGCTGGGCACAATATAGATATTTGCCCGTTTTCCTTAGCACAGGTTAGTGTTCTACATGTAACCTATCTCGTAGTAATTGCGTGTTCTGTGTTAGCACAATCACACAGTACCCACCGCTTCCACCGTCCTTGGAACCTGCTGCTTGCGTGGCTTTGTCTCATGCTGCCATGTCAGCAGGAAACTGCCACGCGACAATGCATCCCCACTGTCATGTGAACACGGCAGACGGAAGTCGTCATCTTTTACCAGAACTAGCTTCCACTACACCTGCCGTGTCAGCCACAGTCCGCAGCTGCTAATAAACATAGCAAGATGTGGTGGAAAAGATTCCAGTGCGTTGCAGTAGGTTTCCGTTTGGTAAGAAGCGGCTAGTATATTTACTTTTTTGAAACGCTACGCACCAAACATAACCGTGCTTCATGACTTGGTAAGAGGCGCACCGAGTAGCCTCGATAACATCGAGGTTTGAAACTGCAGTTCATTCCTTTCATCTGCTTGGATAGCAAGCACAAGCTGCTAACTTGTTAGGGCGCGTGTCTTTTGGTGTAGAGGTTCGAAAATAAGGTCGACCTTATGCTGGTAACTCTATTCGTCAATTTCGTACAGTCAACTTCGCACGCATCGTGTGTCCTCCCTGGTCAATGGGTGTGAAGTTGGAAAACAAACTTGGGTCGACCTCACGTTCAAACCTCGAGAATGCGAAATCCGCGACGCTCGCAAATCACATCTCGCGCACAAGCGACTCCAATCAGAGGATGTCAGGGTCGCGCTGTCAAGGCGTGAGAACCGGGTAACCTTCGCTGGTTTAGCGCGGCTCGAATGTGAGTGTAGAAAGTCGACCCTCAATTGTCGAACTTTTGTGTGCCATGTGATGTTTGTGAAAGTTGGAAACGCGGCTCGAGCCCAAAAGTTGAGATACTCGAGTACAGGTCGACCTAGGTTCAAACCTAAAAAGTCGACTTAAAATCGTGAAATTTTGGCCAAAAACCAAAAGACACGCGCCCTTAGTCCAAGTCAGGGACGACGTGTAAGCTGCTCGGCGAAACGGAGCTAGTCACAGTCGTGCCCGTGCACTCCTCCTGTCAGGGTCTCTAAGCTTGCTAATTAGCTGCGTTATAAGCGGTCTCGTTACCCTTTCACTCGTGGCCTCCGAGCATGGCCTCCTCATCGTCCTTCACTGGACGGCTTCAGCTGTCGACCGTCGCGCGGTCGGCTCCTGCTGCTTCGCCCGTGTCCACCGTAGGCTCGCTCCGGCAACAACCTGTTTCCGCTGCTGGATCGCACGTTCATTCCGCTCGCTGCTCGCATGAACCTGGTGAGCGTCGCTGATCGCCGCTTTTCACGCTGTACGTGCTGTAAGCAGCGACGACCAATGCTGGTCGCGTTGAACCTGAGAACCTGCGTTTCTTCTGCGCTGTCGCATCGTCTTTCTCTGGTCTGAAACGTCAAAGAGTAAAAGAAACGGCATTGTTCATATCGCTTGGTTCCGATTCCACGCATTTGCCTGCAGTTGCCAGGTTGCTAGATTTAAGAGATGTGACTCGTCATCCATGCCTGTCGCCGGCCTTTCAGGCGGCTAAAAAATTCTCTTACGTGCCTCTTCTTACCTGATTCCGCTCGTTTGTCTACTTGCGATCAGCGATTTGCTGTTTTCTGCTGTTGTTCGTCGTCTGAAATCCACGTGGTCAACCAATCAGTTGATCTGTCCAGGGATGTTGCACCAAGCAGCCGATTTGCCGAGGAAGGCTGCTCAGCCGATCCTACAGGACAGTGCTCACCATCCTCCCTCTCTTTCCCGCATGTTCCTCCCGCCACAGATAATGCGAACTCCAGCACGGAACAGCACAGCAACGTTCCCAGCACCACACAGCCCAACACCACCACCAGCAGCGCCAGCAGTCGTCGTCAGCTGTTGTGTGGAGCGTGCGGAACGGCGGTGGCAGCGGCGGTGGCGGCGGTGTCAGGCGACGCGAGGGCTGAGATTCTCCCCGCGCCTCCCTCCACCTCCTCCGTCTGCCGCAACTGCCAGGGGGCCGGCGCTGTCGTCTGTGAGTGTTCTCCTATTGATGCTTCTCAGATAGCATTCGTTGTTTTAATGCCCCACCGGATACCTTCCCCCCTCCCCCTCCCCTTCCCCCTCCCCTTCCCCCTCCCATTCCCCTCCCCTCCCCTTCCTCCTCATCCTTAACCCCCCTTTCTTCCCATCCATGCCACCCTTCTGTGAACAGTCACGCCTTCATTGCACCATAAAATTTCCTAGACACCTCAAAATCTTAGTTTTGAGACGCCCAATTAGGACATAAGGCGTGACATGGACACATCCATGGCACGGTGCCACCCTTCTCTCAGCCTCCAAAGCCTTTTTTCCACTAGAAGCTGTGACTTTCTGCGTAGCCCACTGGTGTGAGCTGCCTCATAAATAAATGTTGACTTGTTTTATAACACCTTGCAGATAAGAGTGCATAAAGGAAGAACTGTGCTTTGAAATTTCAAGCGCTTGTTTTCTCACTCGAAGGCACTTCTCTCGAACCACCTTGGGATAGGTACCTCAAAGCCCTCTTCCTTCAATACCTCTCTATGCGGCATGCGTCATGTGGAGTGGCATTGCTGGGTGTGCGGGCTGTGGCTCAAACGTCGCCTGCTTTGGATCCCTGGCTATCCCCTCTCTGCCATGCAGGTGACATGTGTGGTGGCACTGGCAAGTGGAAGGCACTGAACCGCAAGAGAGCCAAGGACACGTACGAATTCACTGAATGCCCCAACTGCTACGGTAAGATTCCATCTTCTTTCTTCCTCCCGTGTTCCATTTTACCTTCCTGCAGTGAGACACGTTCAGGGTGGCTTCCTGTAATCTGAATCATTGTCCCCAACTTAAAATGATATAGGTATCACCTTGATTTATCATCCCATGATTTGCATCACTGTGTTCTGATTGGGCAGGTCGAGGCAAGCTGGTGTGCCCGGTGTGTCTGGGCACGGGAGTGGGGAATGCCAAGGGGCTGCTGCGGCGGCCTGAGTCAAAGCAGCTTCTGGATCAGATGTACCATGGTCGCCTGCTGCCCCCTTCCTAGGGGATCTGCTTCCCCCATCCTAGGCAGGACAAAACATTTGGTTTCTTGTTACTAGCAGTGCATTCATGTTATAGTCTGGTGATTGTAGTGAAACCTGTCACGCAATTCAGCTATTTAAAAAGTTGTGTACGAGCTTTACACAATCAGTCTGACTCGTCTGTTGATGTGTGCTCTTAGCATTCGGCAACAGGGCGTAAATGGTTTGGTGTCATCTTCACGAGAGAGCAGTCAGAAGAAATTGAATGCATGAGGTCATTTCCCAAGGTGTACAGTCACCACTGACATCCTCGATAATATGATACTCACTCGGTATCTTACTGCATTCCCATTCGGTACCATACCTGCACCAGGCCAAATTGTCGCGCCTCGTCTTCGCCGAGGGATGACGTGGACTGACCCACTGAACCGACAACTTCTGTGGGCCTTCCAGAAGCAGCCCCTGTTTCAGGGGGGATGCATAAGTGCGAGAAGGTGACGAAAGGCATCTTCTGACGTGGACTTGATTTGTGATCCGTGGCCGATCAGGCTCGGACACAAACGGCACGAGTGCCACGTGGCGAACGGATGGTGTGGATGAATGGAGCCTCCCTCCCTCCTTCAAATCAACCGAGTTCGGAGTTTTCTAACGTTAACTCTTACCTCAGAGACATTCTTAGGTGACCTGGTTCGTTCCTTCGTGCAAAAACGGTAAGTGTGCATTCTTTTGAGAGCTAAGCACTGGGGACAGTAGCAACCGAAAGTGAAACCGAATACAGCTGGAGGATCAGTCCCATCCCAACCTGCTTCTAATTCAACCTCGAGATTCCCATTTTTCCTCAGCTACTCCTGAACGCAACACGTATTTCGGCAGCGACGGCCCCAGGCAACACTTGCCAGTTCTCTTTGTCACATCTTTGAGTCGTCATCGCTTGTGTTTCTGCAGCTGAAGCAAGGCGGTATCAGCTGCGTGAAAGCAAGCGCATCACGCTTTTTACCGTTTTGTCAGTTTTCCTTCGTCGATTCTCTCTAGCTCCCAGCGAATTCTCTTCCGAACGACAATGCCGTCACATCACGCCCTTGCCCGAGGGCCTGTCGCTGCGAATGCGTCTGCTTTGCAGCAGGCGCTTCGTCGGGCCGATGCTTCCCAATCAAGGCCGAACACGCAGTCTCTAGCCGTTCGTAGCCTGAGCCAATCAGGGAATCTGAGATACAGCAGATTAAGGAGTGTTCAGAGCCTCGCTGGGACCAGATTGGTCAATTTCATATCTGTCGTCGCAAAACCGACGCAAACTCGGAGAGTGACGTCAGCGGTGGCGACGACTGATGCATCGACGACGACTGCAGGCGATAGCTCGGGTACGTCTCAAGGCACAGCATTATGTGTGTAGCAATAACGCAAGAACGTTATCCCAACGATCGCCATACGCTTGTACTTCACACAGTCGAACCTATTTCGGCACAGGTATGCCAGTCATCGTTGTGAAAGTTTTTTCCTGCTTCTTACGTCCATTCATGCAGGATTTCCGTCTTTTTTTGAAAGAAAATAAAAGAAAAGAAAAAAGAAGAGCTTGCCTTCTGAGGTTCTCACCTGACGTTTTCGAGACTCGTCTAATTTCCTGACTATCACACTTTCTTATTTCTTGGGAACCCTCGTGTTTAATGTCCGTGCGGCCCATGTCCGGTCCAAATCACCAACTTTTATTTTCCTTTATTTCCCTCGGCGTGGGACACATTGCCTTCCATTTTCTTTCAAGTCTCCCTGCTTTCACACGTTCCTTCCCTTTCCCAATTCTGATAACCACCTTCAGTGGATACGACCGTTGAGAACCTGGTGGTCATTGGTTCAGATCAGACCCGGCCGAATACACCACGTTGCATTATCCTCAAAGTTTCTCGACTTTCGCTCTTTCCTTCCCTCTCACGACCTCTAACCTCCTTCATTGGAGACCACCGTTGAGAATCTGGTGATCATCGGGTCAGGCCCGGCCGGATACACCGCCGTCCATTACCCTTACGGTTTCTCTGCTTTCTCTTTTGACTTTTCTCTGACAATCCTCTACCTCCTTCAGTGGGGACGGCAGTTGAGAATCTGGTGATCATCGGGTCAGGCCCGGCCGGATACACCGCCGCGATTTACGCCGCACGGGCGAATCTGAAGCCGGTGCTGTTCGAGGGCGTGCAGGCCGGCGGAGTTCCCGGAGGGCAGCTTATGACCACCACGGAGGTCGAGAACTTCCCGGGATTCCCGGAGGGGATTACGGGACCCGACCTTATGATCAGGTGTGTTCCTTTCTCCCGCAAGTGCCAGATGCAACTGTCAGGCTCCACCGTTTAAAGAACAGGCGAATTGTCATAATGTGGAGTAGGAGACAAGGAATGCTGAAACACAAAAGTACGCAATTTTCCAGTCAACTCAGCAGACATGATTTTACCTTCCTTCTTTCCCCTTACCTCTTCCCCCTTCCCCTTACCCATTCTCGTGCGCGCAGAATGAGGCAGCAGGCGGAGCGGTGGGGCGCAGAGTTGCACACCGAAGACGTGGAATTCGTCGATCTGCAGACGCGCCCCTTCACAGTGCGCAGCAGCGACCGCGAAGTGCGCTGCCACAGCGTCATCATCGCCACGGGCGCCACTGCGCGCCGATTGGGCCTCCCCAGCGAGAAAGAGTACTGGTCGCGAGGGATCTCCGCGTGTGCGATCTGCGACGGCGCGAGCCCGATTTTCAAGGGCCAGGAGCTGGCTGTGGTGGGCGGGGGGGATACGGCGGTGGAAGAGGCGCTGTACTTAACTAAGTACGCCAAGCACGTGCATCTGCTGGTGCGGAGGGACATTCTGAGAGCCAGCAAGGCTATGCAAGACCGGGTTTTTAAGAACCCGAACGTGACTGTCCACCTGAACACGATCCCTGTAGATGTGGTTGGGAATGACAAGGGGCAGATGGCGGGTTTGAACGTGAAAGACGCGCAGACAGGGCAGGAGAGGATTATTCCGGTGAAGGGGCTGTTCTATGGCATTGGACACAAGCCGAATAGTGACCTGCTGGCGGGGCAGGTGGAGCTGGATGGGAGCGGGTATGTGATGGTGAAGGACAACGCCGTGGAGACATCTGTTCCAGGCGTGTTCGCTGCTGGCGACCTCAAGGTGAGTTTCTGGCCCGTTGATAAGGTGCCCAAGGTGAGCGCGAGCCTCTGCTACAGGTTCGTGGCGTGGGGTTGGGCAGGGCAGGTGGAGCTGGATGGGAGCGGGTATGTGATGGTGAAGGACAACGCCGTGGAGACGTCTGTTCCGGGCGTGTTCGCCACTGGCGACCTCAAGTTGAGGCTCTTAAACTCTTTGCGTCCTCTTGGCTCGTCTGGGTGCTTGACAGCTCTTTCAGCCGTGTCTCTCCAATCTCCTCTCCCTGGACTGGACGTCTCTCACCTCTCTCTCTCGCTACTCCCTCTCCGCTCTCTCCTCTCCCTTCTCGCCTTTTTTTTCCCACATTCAGGACCACGAGTGGCGGCAGGCCATCACAGCAGCAGCGTCGGGGTGCATGGCAGCGCTGTCAGTGGAGCGATACCTCACCGCCAACGACCTGCTCATCGAGTTCCACCAGGTGAGACATGCGGTGCTGTAGGTGCTGAGGTGCTGGGGTGATGGAAACAGCATTACGGCCTTAGGAGGAGCAACAATGTTGGCAGGAGCACCAGCATGAGCAGCGTCGTCGGGGTGCATGGCAGCACTGTCAGTGGAGCGATAACTCACCGCCAATGACCTGCTCGTCGAGTTCCATCAGGTACGGCTTTCACACTGGCGAGTGGGGGCAGGTCCATCGAGTTCCAGCCAATGTCAGCAGTGGCAGCACACTGCGTCGGGGTGCATGGCAGCGCTGTCAGTGGAGCGATACCTCACCGCCAACGACCTGCTCATCGAGTTCCACCAGGTGAGACATGCGGTGCTGTAGGTGCTGAGGTGCTGGGGTGATGGAAACAGCATTACGGCCTTAGGAGGAGCAACAATGTTGGCAGGAGCACCAGCATGAGCAGCGTCGTCGGGGTGCATGGCAGCACTGTCAGTGGAGCGATAACTCACCGCCAATGACCTGCTCGTCGAGTTCCATCAGGTACGGCTTTCACACTGGCGAGTGGGGGCAGGTCCATCGAGTTCCAGCCAATGTCAGCAGTGGCAGCACACTGCGTCGGGGTGCATGGCAGCGCTGTCAGTGGAGCGATACCTCACCGCCAACGACCTGCTCATCGAGTTCCACCAGGTGAGACATGCGGTGCTGTAGGTGCTGAGGTGCTGGGGTGATGGAAACAGCATTACGGCCTTAGGAGGAGCAACAATGTTGGCAGGAGCACCAGCATGAGCAGCGTCGTCGGGGTGCATGGCAGCACTGTCAGTGGAGCGATAACTCACCGCCAATGACCTGCTCGTCGAGTTCCATCAGGTACGGCTTTCACACTGGCGAGTGGGGGCAGGTCCATCGAGTTCCAGCCAATGTCAGCAGTGGCAGCACACTGCGTCGGGGTGCATGGCAGCGCTGTCAGTGGAGCGATACCTCACCGCCAACGACCTGCTCATCGAGTTCCACCAGGTGAGACATGCGGTGCTGTAGGTGCTGAGGTGCTGGGGTGATGGAAACAGCATTACGGCCTTAGGAGGAGCAACAATGTTGGCAGGAGCACCAGCATGAGCAGCGTCGTCGGGGTGCATGGCAGCACTGTCAGTGGAGCGATAACTCACCGCCAATGACCTGCTCGTCGAGTTCCATCAGGTACGGCTTTCACACTGGCGAGTGGGGGCAGGTCCATCGAGTTCCAGCCAATGTCAGCAGTGGCAGCACACTGCGTCGGGGTGCATGGCAGCGCTGTCAGTGGAGCGATACCTCACCGCCAACGACCTGCTCATCGAGTTCCACCAGGTGAGACATGTGGCAAGAAGAGACAGGATTTTCAGATAGCATTCTCTCACCAGAAGCACTTGTTTTTCCTTTTACCTCCTGCATTTCCTTACCTCTCATGCAAGCAGAAGGAGAAGAATAAGGAGAAGAAAGAGCTGACAGAGGGGGGCAGGAAAGAGAGACCAGATTGATGCAAAACATACCCATACTATATTCGTTGTTTTCTCCTCCCTCTTGCATTCCTCTCCCCTTGTTGCGAGCAGAAGGAGGTGGAGGTGGTGGAGAAGAAGGAGCTGACGGAGGAGGACGTGGAGGAGAGGTTCGACCCGTGTCTATCCCCCTCTTTCACTCCCTGTCCCCCGTCCCCCTCTCATCACGTATATGTTCCTCTCTTTCTCCTTCATGCGAGCAGAAGGAGGTGGAGGTGGTGGAGAAGAAGGAGCTCACAGAGGAGGACGTGGAGGAGAGATTCGACCCGCTGCTGACGCGCCACAAGGGGCAGTACGCCCTGCGCAAGCTCTACCACGAGTCATCTCGCCTCATCGGAGTCATCTACACGTCGCCCACTTGCGGCCCCTGCAGGACGCTTAAGCCCATGCTCGCTAAGGTAAGCGATTGTAGTGGTAGGTTTGGGGGTCCTCCTCTCTGCTGATGCGCCACAAGGAGCAGTACGCGCTGCGCAAGCTCTACCACGAGTCGTCTCTCTTGATTGGTGTGATTTACACGTCCTACACGTCATTGGAGTCATCTACACGTCACCTACTTGCGGCCCCTGCAGGACGCTTAAGCCCATGCTCGCTAAGGTAAGCGATTGTAGTGGTAGGTTTGGGGGTCCTCCTCTCTGCTGACGCGCCACAAGGGGCAGTACGCGCTGCGCAAGCTCTACCACGAGTCGTCTCTCTTGATTGGTGTGACTTACACGTCCTACACGTCATTGGAGTCATCTACACGTCACCTACTTGCGGCCCCTGCAGGACGCTCAAGCCCATGCTGGCTAAGGTAAGCTATGGGGTAGACTTGGGGGTCCTTCTCGCTGCTGACGCGCCACAAGGGGCAGTACGCCCTCCTTGAGCTACTTTTGAGAGTTCCCAAAAATGATGTGCCACAAGGGGCAGTAGGCTGCGGCTTTAATTTTTTTTTTACTTCACAAGCTCTACCATGAGACTTCCCACTTGACCGTCAGATCCACTGGGTGGGGGGTTGACATTGAGGAGGGCCCTGAAATTGATGCAAACTCTTGTTCACTCTCGTTGACGCGTTGACTGGCGTTGACTTGCAGTGCAGGTGGTGGAGGAGTTCAATCGCCAGATTCACTGGGTGGAGATTGACATTGAGGAGGGCCCTGAGATTTATGCTATCCAACATACCCCCATTGCTTGCCTCCTGTTGACTGGCGTTGACTCATCTTGAATCGCAGGTGGTGGAGGAGTTCGATCGCCAGATTCACTGGGTGGAGATTGACATCGAGGAGGACCCTGAGATTGCCGAGGCAGCAGGGATCATGGGCACGCCTGTGGTTCACTTCTTCAAGAACAAGGAGAAGATCAAGTGAGTGCTCGTCTGCCTCTATAGCCTTGTCTCCCTGAGCTCTCTGGTCTACTGTAGGTGCCTCACAGTCGCAGCAGGGATCATGGGCACGCCTGTGGTTCACTTCTTCAAGAACAAGGAGAAGATCAAGTGAGTGCCTGCTAAGTCAAATCTGGTCTGCCTGTGCCATTTCCAGTAAATTACTCACGGAATTCTTGCCAACGCCCCTTTGCTGGTTAGCTACTGCAACAATATCATCCCCCCCTCTTCCCCACTTGCCTGCCATGCTCCCCCCCTTCCAGTGAGATCAAGGGTGTGAAGATGAAGAGAGTGTACCGGGAATTCATCGAGGCAAACAAGTAATGCGCTGTGGAAGGGAAAATGTCAATCTGCAAGTGCACATAGATGTACATGTGCAAAAGCAAGAGAGAAATCCCTTGTGACTAGAATAAGTAGGTTGGAGAAAGAGCCATCCCAACCCCTCCCAATCCATTCCAACCACCTCAACCACCCCAACCCATTCCAAACAAACCCTCCTCACCTCAACCTCTTCCCTTGAAGCCCATCCCATCCAATCCCAGGCACAGCCTAAGTGGAACGGGAAGAATGTAACTGCAGTAAACTGTACTGCTTTAGCATCCATGTGCCTAGGAACTTGTGTGATGTAACTAATATTCTTGTTGAGTGTTTAAAGTATACAGTGTGATGTACAATATGGTGATGGTTCACCGCAGAAACCGACACATTGCTCACAACTATTAGTGTGTACCAACTTATGGTACCTCCGATCATCCAGCACGAATTCGAATTCATGACAAAGAATGAATCAAATGCATCTAGTACAAATATACCTGCCACTCCACTCCTACCTAGAGCATGCTTACCTATCTTGCCCTAAGACACATGCCAAAACCACAAAAGATCACCATCACCATCACTAGCCATCCCCGTTTAGATGCCTTAGACCCATTACACCCACTGATATGGAAAATTTAGGGCGTGTAACATTGCGATGACCAAACCCAAAATCCGACCATTTGGTTGGGGCGTGCGAATGCGAAGGGAGTAACACGATGGCGAGGGATGCGAGATTTTCCCGCCAAATGACCACGATAACGACCGATTCAGCAAACGCCCAAACCAAGCGACCGTACGTGCGATCAGTTTAGTCACGAAAACATCCCACGCCGTGATTGTCACCCTGCAGAATTAAAATTGGGGAGACACCCACAGGTAGCATTACGTGGTAGTCCCCGAAATTTGTCTCGCGAAGGTCTATGAGGTTGCTAAACACCACCCCTCCTCGTGTCCCGTATAATCCACTCCTGTTCGAATACTGAATTTTGGATTAGACCTATAAATTCTTAATACGGGGGTAGTTAAGGGTGGGTGCCCCTAAATCGACCACGGTCATTGAAAATCTACAGAGGACGCCCCAGGTGTTTATTACCACTTCCCTCGCATGTCGCCCAACATGACCAAATGGTCGGATTTTGGGTTTGGTCATCGCAATGTTACACGCCCTTAGTGTCCCTTGGGAGCTGTTCCTCGTGCCACGTCAGCATCATCATCATTGTCAGGGATCCTCTGACCAATCACCTGTGCCCTGCTGACATCAGCTACTCCAGATAAGATTTCATCCACAAAGGATGCTCTTGCCCTTGCTGCTCGCGACTGCTGCTGCTGCTGCTGGTGCTGCAGGGAAGAGTGATGATACTGTTCTCTGCTGCTGCTGCTGCTGGCCCCTGTTCTTCCTCCCAAGCCTCCTGCTCCTGCCATCCCAGACCTGGCATTGACGCTCGGGGGACGTGCGGCCCGAACCAACGGCACAGGTTCGTTCGGCTCTTGCTTTCTGTCTGCACTTCTACCCCCCCAGTCCAAACCACTGCTCCTTTCAATTCCACCTAATCCTCCCATGCCCCCTCCCCCTCTTGTTCCCCCACCCACACCCCCCCAGTCAAGCCCTGAATCCCCAGGAGGGCCGGCCCGGTGGGCCCGTTTGGACTGTAGCAGGCTGCCAGCTGGCATCTCCGCTGCTGCTGCTTCCCGCTGCCGCTTGCGACTCTCTGCTGCTGACAGTGGTGGTGGTGGTGGTTCTGCTGCTGCTGCTGCTGGCGTTCTTGTTGCTCCAGCAACAGTGGCTTTGCTTTTCTCTACCAGATTAGCCCACTTGGAAGGAGCATCACGGGGCAAAGTGCCTCGCTGTTGTTGCTGTTGGTGCCCCTGCTGCTGCTGATGTTGCTTGTGGTGGTGCTGGTTGTGCTGCTGCTGCTGCTCTCTCCCCCTCTCCCTTGAACCCGACCTACTCCTATCCCCCATTCTCTCTTTCTCCCTATCCCGTTCCTTCACCCTTACCCTCTCCCTTTCCTTCTCCCTTTCCTTCTCCCTTTCCTTCTCCCTTTCCTTCTCCCTAACCTTCTCATACTCTTTCACCTTATTCCTATCTGCCTCCTTCACCCCCTCCCCTCCTCTCCCCTCTCTCATCCTAATTTCCCTCCTCCGTTTTTCAGCTTCCCTCTTCACTCCACTCAATCCGTGCCTCCTATCCCCTTCCCTCTTCACACACCACATGAAGAACCCCATTTCACCGTTCTGAACCCACACGTTCGTCCTCAGCTCCTTTACCACCTCTGGAATGTCAAACACTGGTCTCTCCCTCTTCTCCGGTACCCTGCTAGACTCCCTCTCCCTGCTCCCTTCCCTAGCTCTAACTCTTTCCCTTTCTCTCTCCCTTTCCCTCTGCATTCCCCTGTCTCTTGCCCTGTCCCTATCTCTATCTCTATTTCCATCCCTGTCTCTATCTCTATCACTGTCCCTATCCCTGCCCCTGTCCCTGTCTCTGTCCTTCTCTCTTTCCTGGTCCCTGTTCCGGCTCCGCCCCCTGTCCATACTCCTTCCCCTCTCCTTGTCTAATTCTCTCTCCCTGTCCGTCGCCCTATTTCTTTCCACACCTCCCGCTGCTTCCCTTATCACTGGCCCATCCCCATCCCCTCTCTCCCTCTCCCTTGTCCCCGAGTCCTCCACATTCTGAATCCCCTCAGCCGGTCTCGTCCCATGCTCCCTCCCCTCAGGCGCTCTCATCTCTTCTTCTCCCTTCGATACCACTGCTCCATCCTCTCTCTCCCTCGGTCCTGCTGCTGCTTCAGGCACCTTTTTCGCACGAGACTCTAACACCACCTCCTCTCTTCTTTCATCCTTGTGCGTCTGGCCTGCTGCTGCACGGATGTCTGCTTTCTCTTCTCCTTCGGGCACCTTGTTCTCGCGAGACTCTAACACCACCTCCTTTCTGCTTTCATCCTTGCGCTTCGGGTCTGCTGCCTCATGCATGTGTGCCTTTTCTGCTGTTTGCACTGGCAAACTCGCTTGTGCCTCTATCCTAGCTTTCGCCTCGGCTGCTGCTTTCGCATCTGCTGCTGCTTTCGCCTCTGCTGCTGCTTTCGCCTCTGCTGCTGCTTTCGCCTCTGTTGCTTCTGCCGCTGTTGCTACCGCATCCCCTGGTGCTGGCATTGGTGCCCTTGCCTCCTTCGGCCTCTCCTCTCTTTCTCTTTCATCCCGCACTTTCTCCTCCCTCCCTCTCTCCTCCTTCCTTCTCTCCTCTCTTGCTTTCTCCTCCCTCACTCTTTCCTCTCTTGCTTTCTCCTCCCTCACTCTTTCCTCTCTTGCTTTCTCCTCCCTTAGTCTCTCCTCTTTAACTTTCTCCTCCCTCACTCTCTCCTCCCTCACTCTCTCCTCCCTCACTTTCTCCTCCCTCACTCTCTCCTCCCTCACTCTCTCCTCCCTCACTCTCTCCTCCCTCAAACTATCCTCCCTTTCACCTCTCCCACTCCTCTCCTCCCTTTCATCTCCCCCACTTCTCCCCTCCCCTCCTTGTCTCCTCTCCCCTTCCTCTCCACCCCTCCTCCCTCCCTCCTCTCCACCACCCCTCTCCCGCTCAGGCAAAAACCTCAAATCAGCCCTCTCCCCCTTCACCAACCCCTCCCTATAAGGCCTTCTCACCCTGAAAACCACCCCTCTGTCCCTCGCATCACACAGCAGAGCACACCAGGGCTTGCTCTGAGCCAATGTGGCCGCATTACCCACTATCCACAGTGCTTTTCTCGCCCTAGTCAACGCCACGTTCATCCGCCGTTCATCTGCCACGAATCCGACGGTCCTCCTCTCTTCCCTCGACGGCCGATCGCCGGTGTTCGGTTTTCCAAGGAGAGAGGGGGAAGGGAACGAGGAGGAGGGATGGCGATGGGAGGAGGGATGGGAGGAGGAGTGGAAAGAAGAGGGGAGGAATGGGGAAGGAGAGGCGCGGACGGTGGAGAAGAGGAGGATATCAACCTCCCTGCCCTGAAAGCCGTCCACTGTGTTAAACTCAATGTCTGCTGCTCCCCCACGCCCCAGCGCTCGGCTAAAAGTGTCTCTTAGAAGAAAGAGCTGCTGCTTGTAGGGCGTGATGACACCCACCCTGCCTGGTGCACATTCCTCGGGAAACCTGGTAGAAGGGCAATGCATTCATACAGTACAGTGGAAGGTGGGGAGAGGAGCAGACAGGTCACTTAGAAGGAAGCGCTGCTGCTTGTAGGGCGTGGTCACACCCACTCTGCCCCTCTGGGAACCTGATAGAAGGGGCACACATGCATACGGTCCAGTACAAGGAATGGAGAGGAGCAGACAGGTCACTTAGAAGGAAGAGGTGCTGCTTGTAGGGCGTGGTCACACCCACTCTGCCCCTCTGGGAACCTGATAGAAGGGGCACACATGCATACGGTCCAGTACAAGGAATGGAGAGGAGCAGACAGGTCACTTAGAAGGAAGAGGTGCTGCTTGTAGGGCGTGGTCACACCCACTCTGCCCCTCTGGGAACCTGATAGAAGGGGCACACATGCATACGGTCCAGTACAAGGAATGGAGAGGAGCAGACAGGTCACTTAGAAGGAAGCGCTGCTGCTTGTAGGGCGTGGTCACACCCACTCTGCCCCTCTGGGAACCTGATAGAAGGGGCACACATGCATACGGTCCAGTACAAGGAATGGAGAGGAGCAGACAGGTCACTTAGAAGGAAGAGGTGCTGCTTGTAGGGCGTGGTCACACCCACTCTGCCCCTCTGGGAACCTGATAGAAGGGGCACACATGCATACGGTCCAGTACAAGGAATGGAGAGGAGCAGACAGGTCACTTAGAAGGAAGAGGTGCTGCTTGTAGGGCGTGGTCACACCCACTCTGCCCCTCTGGGAACCTGATAGAAGGGGCACACATGCATACGGTCCAGTACAAGGAATGGAGAGGAGCAGACAGGTCACTTAGAAGGAAGAGCTGCTGCTTGTAGGGCGTGGTCACACCCACTCTGCCCCTCTGGGAACCTGATAGAAGGGGCACACATGCATACGGTCCAGTACAAGGAATGGAGAGGAGCAGACAGGTCACTTAGAAGGAAGAGCTGCTGCTTGTAGGGCGTGGTCACACCCACTCTGCCCCTCTGGGAACCTGATAGAAGGGGCACACATGCATACGGTCCAGTACAAGGAATGGAGAGGAGCAGACAGGTCACTTAGAAGGAAGAGCTGCTGGTTGTAGGGCGTGGTCACACCCACTCTGCCCCTCTGGGAACCTGATAGAAGGGGCACACATGCATACGGTCCAGTACAAGGAATGGAGAGGAGCAGACAGGTCACTTAGAAGGAAGAGGTGCTGCTTGTAGGGCGTGGTCACACCCACTCTGCCCCTCTGGGAACCTGATAGAAGGGGCACACATGCATACGGTCCAGTACAAGGAATGGAGAGGAGCAGACAGGTCACTTAGAAGGAAGAGCTGCTGCTTGTAGGGCGTGGTCACACCCACTCTGCCCCTCTGGGAACCTGATAGAAGGGGCACACATGCATACGGTCCAGTACAAGGAATGGAGAGGAGCAGACAGGTCACTTAGAAGGAAGAGCTGCTGGTTGTAGGGCGTGGTCACACCCACTCTGCCCCTCTGGGAACCTGATAGAAGGGGCACACATGCATACGGTCCAGTACAAGGAATGGAGAGGAGCAGACAGGTCACTTAGAAGGAAGAGGTGCTGCTTGTAGGGCGTGGTCACACCCACTCTGCCCCTCTGGGAACCTGATAGAAGGGGCACACATGCATACGGTCCAGTACAAGGAATGGAGAGGAGCAGACAGGTCACTTAGAAGGAAGAGCTGCTGCTTGTAGGGCGTGGTCACACCCACTCTGCCCCTCTGGGAACCTGATAGAAGGGGCACACATGCATACGGTCCAGTACAAGGAATGGAGAGGAGCAGACAGGTCACTTAGAAGGAAGAGCTGCTGGTTGTAGGGCGTGGTCACACCCACTCTGCCCCTCTGGGAACCTGATAGAAGGGGCACACATGCATACGGTCCAGTACAAGGGATGGAGAGGAGCAGACATGTCACTTAGAAGGAAGAGCTGCTGCTTGTAGGGCGTGGTCACACCCACTCTGCCCCTCTGGGAACCTGATAGAAGGGGCACACATGCATACGGTCCAGTACAAGGAATGGAGAGGAGCAGACAGGTCACTTAGAAGGAAGAGCTGCTGCTTGTAGGGCGTGGTCACACCCACTCTGCCCCTCTGGGAACCTGATAGAAGGGGCACACATGCATACGGTCCAGTACAAGGAATGGAGAGGAGCAGACAGGTCACTTAGAAGGAAGAGCTGCTGCTTGTAGGGCGTGGTCACACCCACTCTGCCCCTCTGGGAACCTGATAGAAGGGGCACACATGCATACGGTCCAGTACAAGGAATGGAGAGGAGCAGACAGGTCACTTAGAAGGAAGAGCTGCTGGTTGTAGGGCGTGGTCACACCCACTCTGCCCCTCTGGGAACCTGATAGAAGGGGCACACATGCATACGGTCCAGTACAAGGGATGGAGAGGAGCAGACATGTCACTTAGAAGGAAGAGCTGCTGCTTGTAGGGCGTGGTCACACCCACTCTGCCCCTCTGGGAACCTGATAGAAGGGGCACACATGCATACGGTCCAGTACAAGGAATGGAGAGGAGCAGACAGGTCACTTAGAAGGAAGAGCTGCTGCTTGTAGGGCGTGGTCACACCCACTCTGAGTCGCTTTTGAGAATTCTCAAAAGGTGCACACTCCTCTGGGAGGCTGAGAAAGAAACACACATGCAAATAGGGACAGGAGGGGAGTTGAAAAGAGTCATGAGCATGCAGCAAAGGAAGAATGGGCACCTACAAGAACCTGGAACTCTCGTCCTCTCCTCTCCCCCCATCTTCCACGTCAAATACACACAGAGCAAGGCAGCAGTGCGAGCACAACAACGCGAACAAAAGCTTACCGTTGCTGCAGCAGCCGATACAACTCCAGAGCTGCTGTCGCTTCCGCCTCGTTGCAGACAGAAGGGGCTCCCACCGAAGGGGCTCCTGCTGCTGGCCCTCTAGTCCTCTCCACGCCATCCTCCACATCAAACACACACAGAGGGTATGGAAGCAGCATAACCCCACCAGCAGCATCTGGACACACGCTCACCGTTGCTGCAGCAGCCGGTACAGCTCCAGGGCAGCCGTTGCTTCAGCCTCATTGCACAGAGAAGGGGCGCCTGCAGGCCCTCTCGTCTTCTCCACGCCATCCTCCACATCAAACACACCATACGGCAGCAGCGGGGCCGTTGATCCTACACTGTGCTGCTGCTGCTCAGCCTGTAGCGAATCAGACTGTAACGAGGAAGGCGAGGGGAAGTTGGATGGTAAGGCTTGGAAGGGGGAGGACCAGGAGGGGGCGGTGACACAGGGAGCGTCAGAGAGGAGAGACTGGTAGAAGAAGGAGGAGGGGAAGCGGGAGATGTGGGGATTCATGCGGTACTGTGTGGACAGCATGGTAACCGGGTAACCAGACGTCTGCAGGCGCTCGAAGAGGGAGCGTTCGTAGCGAAGGTTGGATGCGGTGCGGGAGAGAACGGTGGCTGGGAGCTGCTTCGGGTCGCCCACCTGGTGGAGAGCGGTGAAGAGGGGTAGAAATGGGTGGAGAGTGTAAGGGAATGAGTACAGAGCGGTGAAGAGGGGTGATTGGAAGGAGAGAGAGTGCTTGTAGCGAAGGTTGGATGCCGTGCAGGAGAGGACTGTGGCTGGGAGCTGCTTGGGGTCGCCCACCTGGTGCAGTGCGGTGAAGAGGGATGAAGAGGGGTGGACAAGGGTAAAAAGGAGTAGAGGGGAATGAGTACTCGTGACTAAGGTTGGATGCAGTGCGAGAGAGGATGGTGGCTGGGAGCTGCTTGGGGTTGTCCACCTGGTGCAGTGCAGTGAAGCGGGGTAAGAATGGGTATAAAGGAGCAGGGGGGTGAATGCAGTGCTGCTGTGGGCCATTCGTCTCCCCTGCAGGACAGAAAAATCGCGAGGAACTCAAAAAGAGGTGACTACTGAGACGACTCAAGAGTCACACGAATGAGTGCTAATCAAGCAAGTATGCAACCAAGTATGCAACCAAGTATGCAACCAAGTATGCAACCAAGGCGCACAAAAGTCACAAAGATGGTGCAAAAATGTGACCATGCTAATCCAGCAAAAATGCACCCAAGTCAAAACGCACCATGATGCAACGGCTGCTGATTCGGCTGAGCAGCTGGAGGGGAATCAGCGTGGCGGGCTCCAATGCCTGAGCGGCCTCATCAATCACCACGGCATCAAACAACCCTTCCATCCACGACGGCAGCACCCCACCTGACCCTCCACCTGAAAAACCACCTGAAGCTCCTCCTCTCACTCCTCCCCCCATGCCTCCTCCCCATCCCCTCCCTCTCACGCCCAGAACCCCCCCTCCCATCCCCCCACCCCCACCAAACCTCCCACCACCAGCGCCACCACCTATCCCCTCCGCTCCTCCTCCCCCTCTCCCTCCCTTCTCCCCTGCCCCCTCCCAACAGGCTGTAAACACGTCCCCTCCACACGCATTCAACGTGGTCACCACTACTTCTGCCTCTCTTATAATCTCTTTTTTCACAGCTGCCCGCCGCGCTTTATCCTCTTCCGCAGCTGCCCGCCGCTCCTTCTCAGCCGCTGCCAGGTCAGCCGAAATTTCCCGCTTCTTCCGATAAAGCAGATTAAGCCTCGCTTTAATAGTCTCCTCCCCGTGCGATATAATCTCCTCTGCGATCTCCTCAGCCGTTTTCTCCTCCTCTCCCCCTCCCCTGCCACCCTCCCTTCTCCTCTCCCTCGCACCACCACCCTTCCCTCCATCCGCCTCCTCCGCTCTTCCCTCATCCCCACCCTCCCCATCCTCCCCTGAGCGTTTCTTGCATCTAAGTGCCTCTACTGCTCTAATCACCTCAAAGGCCCGTTCTAACTGCTGCCTTAACTGCGCCACTCTCTCCCTTACAGCGCTCTCTGTTCCCAAACCACCAGCACCAGCAGCACCAGCAGCACCACCAACACCAGAAGCACCACTGCCTGTGCCCCCACGAGTGTCAACACCACCACGAGCGCCACCACCACCAAACGCCCCATCACCAAACACGTCCCTCCAATCCTTCTCACTCAAAACCCCACCACCCTCTCTTCCGCCTTCGTTACTATCACCGCCACTGCCTACAGTCACACCTCGCGCAGCTGCTTCTTTAGCTAGCCTCTTAGCCACCAGCGTATCAATGTGAATATGTAGAGAGTCTGGATGGACGGCTGACACGTTCCCTACGCGCACAACCGACGGCTGAGATCGCACAGTCTCGTCCTCCCCATCCTTGGCTGCTTCTGCATGGGCTCGGAAGATCCTAGATATGATTTCATCCACTGCAGCATTGGATTGCGCACACACCAGCACCCTCGTTCGCAGCTTCTTCCCCCCTGCCCCTCCTGCCGCCCCTCCCCCTCCCCCTCCCCCGCTTCCCCTTCCTCCCACTCCACTACCTCCTCCCGCTCCCCCTCCTCGACTCATCCCTCCTCCTCCCCGCACTCCTCCCCTCCCTCCCCCTCTCATTCCCCCTCTCTCCAAATCCATAGCAACAGCAGCATCTTGCCACATACGCGCCATAGCCACTGCAGTACTCACCCTCTTCCCCTCCCCACCCAATCCCCCCCCTCCCCCTCCCACCCCACCCGCCCCACCCCTCAACCTCGGCGCCCTCCCAAGCTGCCTAACCCTCGGTTCTTTCAGATCCCAACCAGCACCCCTGTCTTCTCCCGCTCCCCAGTGCTCCTGACTCCCTGGGTGTGTTTTCTTCTTGCAGGCTAGAAGGGCTGTTATGATGGCAACGATGGTGCGGGTCTTGCCTGTCCCTGGCGGGCCCTGCACCAATACCAGCTGCCGATTCGCCTCTGTACTGCCACCACCAACACCATCAACACCAAAACCAGCAGCACCAGCAGCAGAAGAAGCCGCAGCAGCAGCAGAAGAACGACCAGCAGAAGCAGCAGAAGCAGCACCACTGAAGCCTGGATTGCTGCCGGTTGACCCATCCTTGTTGGTTCCAACAGCCTGCTGAATGGCTTGCAGCTGGTGTCTGTTGAACTGGGCCTCGTACTGGTGCCTGAGAGAGAGTGGCAAGGGCGTTCCTTCCAGAGACTCAGTGGCACCACCAGCAGCAGCACCACCAGCACCAGCAGCACCAGCAGGGGCAGCACGGAAGCAGCTGGGCTTAAGCAGAGGCGGCAGCAGAGGCAGGTACTGGGCGGCAGCGAGCGCCTGGAACTCGCGCATGTGGGGCACGAGGGAGAGGATGCGCGTGACGTGCCAGCAGCTGCGGTCCCCCAGTAGTTGCTTGCAGCGCGTGAGGCGCGGCGAAGCGGTGGGTGGGAGGAAGAGACGTAATTGGATAACCATAGCTCGAGATTCCCTCTCGTATTCTCTCCTCTCCACCTGAGAAAAGAGGGAGAAACCGGAGGGGACGAGGGGGTGGGGAGAACGGGAGAAGGGGAGAGACTAAGGTCAGGCATGTAGGTATGAGCAGCAGCGGCAGGTACTGCGCGGCAGCGAGCGCCTGGAACTCGCGCATGTGGGGCACGAGGGAGAGGATGCGCGTGACGTGCCAGCAGCTGCGGTCCCCCATCAGCTGATTGCAGCGCGCGAGGCGCAGCGAGGCGGTGGGTGGGAGGAAGAGACGCAGCTGGATGATCATCGCCCGAGATTCCCTCTCGTATTCTCTCCGCTCCACCTGAAGAGTGATGGGGAAAAGGGAGGAAGGAAGTGGGGTGGAAGGGGGGGCAGGGCAAAGGGGAGATGGGGAGAGAGTGAGGGAGGGAGGGAGGGAGGGAGGGCAGCAGCAGTGGCCGAGATTGTTCTCCTCACAAAACGGCCTCATTCAGATCAACCTCACCTTCGATAATTCTCACCTTGGCCAGCACATGAAGCGCTGCGGCAGAAGCATCACCCCCACCAGCAGCTGCCGCTGCCGCAGCAGCAGCATGGTCGGGCACTTTCCGGGTGAGCAGCACGAGACCATTCTCCCCACAGAAGGCCGCAGCAGCATTCTCCCCACAGGATTCCCGCATTCAAATCAGCCTCATCTTTGATCATTCTCACCTTGGCCAGCACATGAAGCACGGCGGCAGAAGCATCACCCCCACCAGCAGCTGCCGCTGCCGCCGCAGCGTGGTCGGGCACTTTCCGAGTGAGCAGCACGAGACCATTCTCCCCACAGAACGCCCCCATTCACATCAACCTCACCTGTGCTGATTCTCACCTTGGCCAGCACATGAAGCGCTGCAGCAGAAGCATCACCCCCACCACCAGCAGCCGCTGCCGCAGCAGCAGCATGGTCGGGCACTTTCCGAGTGAGAAGCACGAGATCATTCTCCCCACAGAAGGCCCGGGACCCGGACGAAGCTCCTGGTTCGGCCATGAACCTCGCTAGCTGGAAATCATCCACCCGCTCTATTGACAGCATTCTCAGAGCTCCCACATATGCCACCTCCGCCCCTCCCCTCCTTTCCCCTGCCCCCCCTGCTCCCCCTGCTCCTCCCGCTCCTCCTCCTCCCGCTCCTCCTCCCCCACCCGAACCTACAGCATCTTCGTACGATCGCCGAAGCTGCGCCTTGAATTCCTCCAGGACTAGTGGCTGGAAGACCCGAACGTATTCTGCTACCGAACCAAACTCGTCCGGCACCCGAACCAGCCCCCGGCTCGCCGAACCTGCAGGCTCGGAACCCGACACCACCTCGTAGTAATCCATGGCCAGGATCTTCCGAAACCAATCGTCTAGCTTCGGCAGCGGCGGCTTCTTCCAAGCCATCCAGTCCTGGATGCCGAGCCTACCCGCCAAGCCTCCCGGGCCGGTCCGGTCCGAGCCTAGCGCGATGGTTTGGTGGCGTTTGATCTGGTCTGCAACGCGGTTCATGCCTTCAAGCCCGCCTATCGAAAGCTTCCCTCCTGGCCTTCTTGCCTTGGCTGCTTCTCTCTCCAATTCTGCATCTAGGTCATCATCTGCTAACACCTCTAGAAGCACCGCTGCCTTTGCTTTTCCTGCCCCTGCTGCCCCTGCTGCCCCTGCTGCCCCTGCTGCCCCTGCTGCCCCTGCTACCCCTGCTACTCCTGCTCCTGCTCCTGCTCCACCTGCTACCCCTGCGCCTGCTGCTGAACGTGCCATGGCTGGTGGGACAGGGGCTTTGCCGGATAAGCCTGCTCCAGATAAACCTGCACCAGATAAACCTGCACCAGATAAACCTGCACCAGATAAACCTGCACCAGATAAGCCTGCACCAGATAAACCTGCACCAGATAAACCTGCACCAGATAAACCTGCACCAGATAAACCTGCACCAGATAAACCTGCACCTGAGGGTGATTCCACAGTAAACGCAAAAGGGTCCGCTGCTGCACCAGTGCCCCCTGTCCCGCCCTGCTGCTGCACCTGCTGCTGCTTCAGCCTCTCCGCCAGCTGTCGCTCTCTGATTTGCCGCTGCACGTCCCCCAGGGCACTGTTCCTCTGCTCCACCTCTGCCCTGTGCGACTCTCGAATCGCTGACAGCTTGCCCCCTCTGCCTGCCCCTTTCATCACACCTGGCTTTCTGCTCAAAAGACTCCGCGGCTTCTTAAAAACGACCCCTCCTGCTCCAAGCCTTGACCCTGCACTCGATTTCCCCATGCCTGCACCCGCAGTGCCAGCAGCAGCAGTGCCAGCAGCGTCTGCAGCGCCAGCACCAGCGCCAGCACCAGCGGCTGCTGCAACCTGCGTGCGCAGGTATTTCTCGAGAGTGTTTCGGCGCCGCTGCTTCGCTGCCTGAGAGGAGAGGAGAGAGGCTAAGGGTGTGACGGAGTGAGGGGTGGAGGAGGGCGGGGAAGCAGAGGAGGTTGCGGGACCTGAAGAAAACGGGAAAGATGGTGCTGACTTCGCAAATACACCTTCCCCAGATGCACCCACCCCAGATGGAGTCTCGGTCTCTGCAAGCCCATCTTTACTGCCTCGCTTCAGCTGCCCTATTGGCACCTCATCCTCCTCCTCTTCCTCCTCCTCATCCTCCTCCCCCATCTCCTCCTCCTCTTCCTCCTCCTCCTCCTCCTCTTCCTCCTCTTCTTCCTCCTCTGTCTCTTCCTCCACTAGCTCCTCCAAACTCATATCACCCACTCGCTCTTTCTCCTCCACTCCCTTTATTTCCTGCTTCACTGCTTTCACCCTGGTAGTATCCATCCCACCAGCTCCCATCCTAGCACCGTCCTCCTCATCCTCTTCCAGATCTATTGTCTCGACCACTCCTCCCTTCCCCTTACCGGCAGTCCCTATTCCTGCTTCTCCAACACTCCAACCCCCATCCCATCTCCCTTTCCCCTCCACTCTCCTCTCCATTCTCTCCTCCTCGTCCTCTCCCCTCCTTTCCTCCCGCCCCTTACCCTTCTCTTCCATCTCCTCCTCTTCGTCCTCACTAAACAAGTAAACCAAATCTTCAATTCCCTCTCTTCCACTCTCCTCTCCCTCCTCCCCGACGTCCACAGCCGGAACCCGCAGGTTCGGGAGCGGCTGCTTCGGCGGAGGTTCGGCATCCGAAGCTGAGACAAGCGATGCTGCATGCTGTACTGCTGCCAGAAGCCTATCCTTCTGCTCTTGAGACAAGCTTGCCCCAACACTTAGCTTAATCCCAGCAATCAGGCAGCTACAGAAATCCCTCAGCAAAACAGCCCACTTCCACCTCCCCCAGATCCCACCTCCCCCTCTACCACCCATGGCGTTGTTCACGCCGGTACTATCACCGATTTTTTTATTATCTTTGATGTGGTTACCACCAATAAGGTTCCATGTAACCTGTAACGCTTTCAGCACTATTGCTGAAGCATCCACCCACCGATGCAGTATAGACCCGTCCTTTACAGTCACACAAGCTGCCACGTCAGCCACCCAATCAGCTTCCTCCTCTCTCCCTCCAGCCCCCGCACCACCCATACCTCCATCCCCAAAACAAGCGGTCCGTACCCCTGCCGAGCCTCCACCCCAGGTTTGGCCGATGCTCCGTTCCAGCAGCAGGTTCGGATTCTCCGGGGAAGAAGCAGCGATGGGGAAGAGTGAGAGTTTACCATCGCAACCAATACTTGGAATTTTGAAAAGCCCAGGGGCAGTTGGATGAGGGGAGGCAGTGGTGCCTGTGGCAGCAGCAGTGGCAGCAGCAGCAGCAGCAGCAGCTGCTGCTGCTGCTGCTGCTGCTTGTGGTGGGAGAAGAGGAAGGGAGGAGGTGGGTAACAGCCATGGGCAGGATCTCGAACAGACGGACAAATACGAGCTTCTGTAGAAGGTCAAGGCAGGGAGGGGAAGGCGAGTAGAGGAACAGAGGAAGGAAAAACATTACTATTGAGTCGTCTCAAGAGGAAGGGAGGAGGTGGGTAACAGCCATGGGCAGGATATTGAACAGATGGACAAATACGAGCTTCTGTTGAAGGGCAAGGCAGGGAGGGGAAGGGAAAAGAGGCAGAAGAAAAGAGAGGGAGGCCAAAAAATGATGTCCTATCCACACATACCATGACACCCTTTTCAGCAAAAAACTGATCTCCCAGGAGCATTTCTGAGAGGTTACCTGACCGCCAGTGGTGATGGTATCAGCACACGCCCTGCAGCGCCACACCAGGAAAGCCACCATGGGCCACAGCACACGAGACACATCCCACCCCACCGCTCTCCACTCACACATCCATACTTTCCCTCTCCTCAATATGTATACACATCTCTACTAGTAGGTGGTTACCTGACCGCCAGTGGTGATGGTATCAGCACGCGCCCTGCAGCGCCACACCAGAAACGCCACCATGGGCCACAGCACACGGGATACATCCCATCCCACCGCTCTCCACACCTCCTCCCTCTCCCTCTCCTCCCTCTCCCACTCCCTTGCCTTCTCCTTCGCCCTCCCCTCCTCATGCTGCTGCTCCGCTTTTAGACCAGCAGCCGCCGTGCCATCAGCAGCACCAGGCGTGGCAGCACCGGGCGTGGCAGCAGCAGCAGCACTACCACCACCACCACTCGCCACACTTGGCTTGGTAAAAAACTTCTTGATCCCCATTTGTGCCCCTACCCCTACCCCTGCTCCAGCCCCACTCCTCCCAAACCCTCCAGATTTAGCCTTGAGGCCGGGTGAGGGAGGAGAGGGGCTGGGTAGAGGAGTGGAGTGCGGTGGAGAGATGCAGGAGAGGTGTGCGGAGGGAGGGCCGAGGAGCTTGGAAGCATAGAAGAGAAGGCCCTGTATGATCGATGCTTGCTTGCCTGTGGGGTCTAGGGCGAGCTGGTGGGTAGGGGAGGGACATGAGGAGAGAAGCGGAGGAAGGGAACAGAACAGGAGGGGAGGTGAACAATGAGAGAGGGCAGGAGCAGAAGGGAACGCCCTTGATGATTGACGCCTGCTTGTCTGTAGATTGCAAGGACAGCTGGTGGATGGAAGGGGCACGGGGATAGCGAGGCGGATGGGCGGATACAAGGAGGGAGGGGCGTGATGGGCGGATACAAGGAGGGAGAGGGGCGTGATGGGCGGATACAAGGAGGGAGAGGGGCGTGATGGGCGGATACAAGGAGGGAGAGGGGCGTGATGGGCGAAGGGAGGGGTGCAAAGCTTATCAGCATAGAAGAGAAGGACTTGGATGATCGCTGACACAGACAAAGAGTAGCATAACCTGTGCCCACCACCATCACAAGACCCCATGTGCCCACCACCATCACAAGACCCCATGCGGCCATGCCTGATTAACACCCTCCATCCACAAAGCAACACCCGCATCTTACCACAGCAGCTGCCTTGGCGAATGCCCGAACGAGCCCGCGGGCAGAGGCAGAGGAGGAAGCGAGGAAGGCGAGCTGGTGGTCAATGCGGTGGTCCCTGCAGAGGGAGGTCAGCAGCTCACGAGCCATGTCCCTGTTGGGCTGGGAGGAAGGAGGCGGACGGAGGGGGAGAAGGGGTGGAGCGGGAACAGTGGGGAGAGGAATGCACAGGGAAGGGGTAAAGGAAAAAGAGCTGGTGGTTGATGCGGTGGTCCCTGCAGAGGGAGGTGAGGAGCTCCCGAGCCATGTCCCTGTTGGGCTGGGTGCGTAGGGGTGGGGAGGGGTATGGGGGGTGCCTGCAGCAAAGGGAGGTGAGGAGGAGCTCACGAGCCATGTCCCTGTTGGGCTGGGATGAGGTGAGGAGAGAGGGTAGAGGGGGAGAGACGGGAGAGGGATGCACAGCACAGCGAATAGGTAAGGGAAGACGAGTTGGTGGTCGATGCGGTGGTCTCTGCAGAGGGATGTGAGGAGCTCTCGAGCCATGTCCCTGTTGGGCTGGGTGTGAGGGGAAGAGGAGAGGGGGTAGAAAAGGGAGAGCGGGGAGGGGAAAGGGGGGAGCGGGCGGGGAGAGGGGGGAGAGGGATGTACGAGAGACGGGTGAAGGTAGGCGAGTTGGGACGAATAAGGTAGACTTTGAGCTCACGGGCCATATTGCTGTAGGGCTGGGGAGGAAGCGTTGAAACACGGGGGGCGTGGGAAGGTGACGGAAGAGCCTCGAAAGGCTTTTCCTTTTAGCCCAACAGGAATATGGCTCGTAAGCTCAGCAGAGGAGATGGTGGGAAGAGCGCAGCAGAGGAGATGGTGGGGGAGAAGAAGTCGGGGGGTGGGAGGAGGGTGTGGGGTGAAGGAGGGGAAGAAACGATTTGGTGGAAGAACCTCAAACTACATGAACGATTTCAGCGCTCAAGTTACTACAGTGGAATGAGTAGGAAGAAGAGGGTGGAGAGAAGAGGTGAACTGACCAGTTGGGAGTCTATGAGGAGGAAGATGAGAGGCTCTGCCAGGCTGGCATGCCACATCAGCAGCTTGAGCCGATTGGCGCCTCTGATCTGAACGAGGCAAGACGACACGCTCCTGCGATACAGTGACACGTGGCATGGGAAGGAACGGGATAGAGGAGGAGGGAATGGGATAAAGGAGGAAGAAGGAGGGTATTGAGGGGGATAGGTGGAGTAGTGGGGGAGACCAAGAGGGATGGAATATGAATGGGAAGGATGGGGATAGGGTGGATGGGAAGCAAACGGAAGGAACATGGGAAAAACAGGTGGAGTGGGAGGAAAACGAAGTAAATAGAGTGCAAACACCCATCCACCCACCCACCCACCCACCCACCCACCCACCCACCCACCTCTGCAGAATGACGCTCAACTCCTCCTCATGTTCTGCTGCCGCCACCGCATTCACACACCCTGCCTTCGCCCCTCGCCCCCCTCCCCCAGCCCCAGGAGCCAATCTCCAGTGCAGCGCCGCTGTAACCACCGCACTGCTGGTAACCGCCAGGCTGCTGGTAACCGCCGGGGTGCTAATCTTACTCCCAACAACACCAGCAGCACCAGCAGAACCAGCAGCAGCGGCATCACCAGCAGAACCAGCAGCAGCAGCAGTGGCGGAAGCAGAGAGGCAGAAATGCCCTGCTGCCCAGACGGCTGCTCGGAGTAACGGTTTTGGTAACCACTGGGGGGGAGTTCGCTCCAGTAGCTCCACCCAGAGGGCCGGGGCGCACTGCCACCTGTCGCTCTCTGCCGCCGCCACCTCAGAAAGCAGGTCCAGCTGGTCCTGAGGCAGACCCTCCGAGATTGAAGAGGAAGAGGAAGAGGAGGAGGACGATGAAGAAAATTGGCCTGTGCTGGTCTCAGCACCAGCAATACCAGCATTACCACCACCACCACCTCCCTCCCCTCCCTGCCCTCCCTCCTCCCCGTCCCCAGGGCAAACCAGCGACCGAGAAAACACGCTCGGAGCACCTCCCGCTGCAAACCCCGAGCTTAAACCCGAGCCTGCGCCCGGACCTGAACCTGCAAAGGCTCGGGCGAGCGTGAGGGAGGTGAGGGCGGCAGCGTCGGCAGTGATGATTGCTTGGGCGAGGTGGACGGCTGGCAGGCGGAGGGGGTCGGGGAGAGATGCGTCCTTGACTGCCCCCACGAGGGGTGGGCCCCAGATGTCAGCACAGTCGGTGGGCGGGAGAGGCGGAGTGAGGAGGTAGGAGTGGAGGATGAGGTTGAATGCGATCTGATGGGGGCGAAGGGAAGGGGAAAGGGAAAGGGAAGGGGAAGAGGAAAGGGAAAGGGAAAGGGGAAGGGAAAAGGGGAAGGAGAAGGGGAAGGAAAAATGGGAAGGGAGACAGCCATAAGGCCAGCACAGTGAGCAGAGGGGGTCGGGGAGAGATGCGTCCCTGACTGCCCCCGTGAGGGGTGGCCCCCAGATGTCAGCACAGTCGGTGGGCCTGAGAGGGGGTGTGAGGAGGTAGGAGTGGAGGATGAGGTTGAATGCGATCTGATGGAAGGTGCAGGGGGAGGGGAGAGGTGGGGAAGGGGAAGGTGACAACATACCAACCGGGCAGGTGGGGCCGGGGAGTGGGAAGAATGGGGGAAGGAGGGAGAGGAGGGAGACAGGGAGAGTGGAGCTGAGATTGGCGTCAAAACCTACAATAATCCAAACCAAGAAAGAAAAAAAACACCAGTGAAGTTAACACGAGAAAGCGACTTGCAGTGCACGTGAGTGAGTGAGTGAGAATGAGGCACCTACCCGGCGAGCGATCTTGATGGTGGTCGTGCTGAAGTTGCGGCTGTTGGGCAGCTGAATGAGCAGGAAGAAGAGGATGCTGCGCCGCTGCCTCTCAAACTCCTCTGTTTCCAGAGACTCAACAGACTGTAATAAGAGTAGAAAGTGGAGAGAGGAGTGGGACGGTGGGAAAAGAGCCCTGAGTATGGTTTGGATGAAACAACAGGGAGCGGCTATTGGGAAGCTGGATGAGCAGAAAGAAGAGGATGCTGCGCCGCTGCCTCTCAAACTCCTCCGTCTCCAATGATTCCACCGACTGTTTGCAACGGGTCGAGGAAGGGAAGAGAAATGGCTCAAAAGACTCCAACAGGAGGGAGGAAAAGGGGAAAAGGTTTGGGAATGAGCAGCTTGCGTGCAATTAGAGGGAGGAGCTGATGGGCAGCCGAACGACTTTTGAGACGTCTCAAAAGAGGAGCTGATGGGCAGCCGAACCGAACGACCTGATGTGGCTGGAAGCAGGATGTGGAAAAATACGAAGGGGAAAGGGATGGTAAAGATGGAAAGAATGGGACGCATGCAGAGAATGGGTGGGACGAAAGGATGGATGGAACGGCAGGCAAGATTTGGACGGACCTGCAGGAAGGGCGGCAGGAGGTCGAGCAGGAGCTTGTGGGTGGGCTCGTGGGAGGAGTTGAAGCACTGCGAGATGAGCGTGTTGCGCACCACACCGGGCGGAAAGGCTGAATGCAACCAGAGCTTGTAGCCTGGGAAGAAAGATGATCGGGAATGAATGGAAAGAATGAGAGCAGAAGGAAGGAGTGGGCGGGAGGGTGGGTGGGTGGGTGGGCTCGTGGGAGGAGTTGAAGCACTGCGAGATGAGTGTGTTGCGCACCACCCGGGGGGGGGAAGACCGAGCGAAGCCAGAGCTTGTGGCCTGGAGGAGTGGGGGAAAGGTGAATCGGAGGAGAAGGGGGAGGAGTTGAAGCACTGCGAGATGAGTGTGTTGCGGACGACACCGGGTGGGAAGGCCGAATGCAGCCAGAGCTTGTAACTGGAGTAAGGATGATGGAAAATGAAGGGAAGGGAAGAGGAGGACGGGGCGCACGGATGGTTGGGTGGGTGGGGTGGGCTCGTGGGAGGAATTTGAGGAGTCGAAGCACATGTAAGTGAGTGTGTTGCGGACCAGAGCTTGTAGCCTGCGAGTGGGAGGGAAGGCTGAATGCAACCAGAGCTTGTAGCCTGGGGGGACGGAAAGAGGGGGGTGGGGAGGTGGGAGACAGTAAGTGGGCTGGTGGTGGAACAGGGACTCTCTCTCAGACACCCATATTCGACATCAAAATCAGGATCACCCAACCACACACCCACCCCACCTGTGACTTGCAGCATCATCCTGAGGCAAGCCAGAGCAGGCCGAAAAACAGACGTGTCCTCCCCCACGTGGTTCAGCACTATGCTCACAAAGGCAGGATACCGCTCCACCACACCCTCGTCCAGTGCTGGTGGGGCCATGAGAGACAGGCTGCGAAGGGGATGGGGGTTGGAAGAGGTTGGGAGAGGTTGAGAGACGTTGAAAGGTTGCAGGTGGGGGAGGCGTCAGGCATAAGGGAGGAGGGAGCACAAAGGCTGGATGGATGGCACTCCACCACACCCTCGTCCAGTGCTGGTGGGGCCATGAGAGACAGGCTGAGAGGGGAGGGAGGGGGGCAAAGGTTGAGAGAGATTGAGAGGGGTTGAGTGATGGTAGGTGGGAAAGGCAACTTCAGGGAGATGGGGAGCACAAAGAGGCAGGGTAGCGTAGCTCTCCCCACTAGGCCCTCATCCAGTGCCGGTGGCTCCATGAGCGAGAGGCTGAGAGAGGGGTTGGGAAAGGTTGAGAGAGGTTTGGAGAGACTGAGAGATGGACCGCGCACACAGGGTAGCCCCTCTCAGGAGCATTAGAGTTGAACCAAAAGCACACCACACCACACCACACCACACCACAGCAAAATACACCACACCACAGCTAAATACACCCACACCCAACCACACCACACTCACATCGTGAGCAGTCCCTGCCACATATCCTCCTTTGAGTGCACCACTCGAGGCCGCTCGCCCCCCTCCCTCCCACCCCCCACTCCTGCTCCACCTTGAGCATTGGCAGCGGCATTGGCGTTACCAGGAGCACCAGCTCTCCCCAAGCCTGTTGCCAAGCCTGTTCCCGAGCCTGTGCCTGTGCCAGTAGCGAGTGTGCCTGTATCGAAGAGGTCATACTCCAGGGCGTGCATGCACTGCTGCAGGAGAGGGTCGATGGGCCTCAGATCTGCTGCTGTTCTGTTTGGTGTGGGGGAGAGGTGTGAAGAGGTGAAGAGAATGAGAGCGCGGGAGTTGAATAGGATGCAGAGAGGTCGTACTCCAGGACGTGCATGCATTGCTGCAGGAGGGGTTCGATGGGCCTCAGATCTGCTGCTGTTCTGTTTGTGGTGGGGCGGGGAGAGAGACAGAGGGAATGGACAGGGCGAGGAGAGATACCTACCAAAACATAAAAAGGTGAATGTCAAGTGGGATGTTGGGAGGAAACGGCGGGGTGGAAATGAAAGAAGAACATACCTACCTAAACATAAAAAGGTAAATGTCAAGTGGAATGTTGGGAGGAAACGAGGTTATGTAAGACCATTTAAATCACATGAGAAGGGAATACAGAGGAGAAGCAAGCAAACGAAATCAAGTGTACGCACTTGAACAAGCTGAAAGGGTTTGCCTTTGAGGCGGCTCATATGTAGAGGAGATGAAGTGAAAGCATAGAGAATGAAATTAAGCGTATGTACTTGAAGAGACCGAGGGGCTTGGCGAGGGTATAGACGATGGCGCGAGTGTCCTTGTTGGGATGCAGCATGAGATGGTACAGGCCCTGAGGTTGAAGAAAGGGAGTGCAAAGAGAACAGGAAGAACCGAAGTCAGGCGTGCATTGAGAAGCCACGTGTATAAAGTGAATTTTTAGACGTCTCAAAAATTCACTTTATATACATGAGGTTGAAGAAAGGGAGTGCAAAGAGAACAGGAAGAACAGAAGCCAGGCGTGCATTGAGGACACGGCTCCTAGTTGACACAGCTCCTAAAAAAGAGCCCTCTAAGATGCACTGTGGGATGGTACAGGCCCTGGGGGAAAGGGGCGAGAGTGCTGCATGAGGGTGAAGGCCATGACTTGGAGAAAACAAAAACATGATCACGATCACGATCACCAATCCCGAATCATTCTCACTCACTGGGTATCTCTGGCGTGGGGTAAGGGACAGGTCGAAATGCCTTTCCACGAGCACCAGCGCAGGGCCAGCGAGGGCAAACACCTCTGCATCCTCCAGTACACACGGGTACATGAGCAGCTCGAACATGAGGCATATCACCCATGAGGCACATCACTCATGGCCCATCCTCCCTTCTCTACTCACTCACCGGGTATCTCTGTCCTGGGGTAAGTGAGAGGTCGAAGTGCCGCCTTTCCACGAGCACTAGAGCCGGGCCAGCAAGAGCAAACACCTCTGCATCCTCCAGTACACACGAATGAGCAGCTCGAACATGAGGCAGATCACTGAGTCCCAACCCTCCTCCCTTCTCCACTGACTCACCGGGTATCGCTGTCCCGGGGTGAGGGACAAGTCGTAATGCCTTTCCACGAGCACTAGAGCAGGGCCAGCGAGAGCAAACACCTCTGCGTCCTCCAGCACACGCGGGTACATGAGCAGCTCAAACATGAGGCATATCACCCCCGGCCCGTCCCTCTCCGCATCCAAGGCCTGCCCTCCAGCCATGCCACTGCTCCCAGAACCGCTAGCAACACCACCGGCACCGCTCGAAACACCACCAGCTCCGGACCCTCCACCAGCACGACCCACCAGCGCCCTCAGCTCCCCTGCAACCCTCTCTTCATCCAGCCGCCTCAGCGTCTCCAACACCGGCCGCACCACCTCCTCCACATACTCCTCCTCATACACGCGCTTTGCCGCGTGGTATCTGGCCACACAGCGCGTGCAGGCGCGCATCTCCACCGCCATGCGCGCCCAGAGCGCGTGTAGTGTGGCGCGGGTGTCGGGCGGGCCCGAATGGTAGTGGTAGAAGGGCTCCAGGAGGGGCTGGGTGAGGGCACGGTGGCGACACCAGAGGTGGGAGGAGGAGGGGAGCGCGGAGAGGAAGGCAAAGGCATCGGTGAACCTGGGAGAGGGACGAAGGGAGAGGGGTTGGTGGGGAGAGGTGAGGGAGCGGAGGAGGAAGAGGAAAAGGAGGACAAAAGAGTTCCCGAACCAGGATGAAATCATTAACCAAAGAAGGTGAATGGAACATCAGGTCGCTGATCGCACTGTTGAACCGAACATGCCGCATTCAACACTGTTTTCTCGGCAGACACTCTAACAGGTTCTCTAGCTGCAGCATTTCTTCCCTTACCAGCGATCCCTCCCCCTCCTTCCCCGTCCCCCAATACCTAGTCCCAAAGACGCGGTCTTTCGCCCTACCATTCCAGAGCCATCAGTTTCTCCTCCCCCCTTACCAATGACCCCACCAGTACGCAATCACAAGCACACACTCTTCTGTCCCTACCATTTCACCTTGAAAGCCATCGTTCAGCTCTCCCCTTACCAATACCTTCCCCAGTACGCAATCACGAAACACGTAGCCTATTGTCCCTACCATTTCCCCTTGAGAGCCATCAGTTTCTCCTCCGCCTCGTCATCCTCTGGAAGCTCCCCCAGCGCCTCCTCTATCCGCTCCCACCGCGCCTGCAGCTGCTTCTCCGCCGCCTCAGGGGTAAGATTTCCCCCCGATCCCCTTCCGCTTCCCCCAGCTCCCCTTCCAGATCCAAACTCATCCGCTTCCCGCTTTCCGCCAGATGATGGAGCCATGCTGTGCTGGGTGTATCAACGTTGCACCTTCACGTTCACACTAACACAATGACGCTGCCAAGATTCTACGGTACCGTAACTGCTTGTAACGAATCCGTAGTGCGTGATCAATCATGGGCAATCTTGAGGGTGTCTCGGACCACGTGACGAATGTACCACTTTCTGACCGCGCGCGGTTCAGCCTGACAGAGTCCGGTTCAGCCTGACCGCGTACGGTTCAGCATGACCGCGTACGGTTCAGCCTAACCGCGTACAGTTCAGCCTGAACAGCCAAGACTGATTACACGTCGACTGGTTTGGGGTCCAAGAGTACGCTGATCATGAGGCGAACATATCATGCTTCGCTTCAATCAAAATGATGCAGTGTTTCCTACTTTTGAGTGGACTCAAAAAATAGACTGGTCCCAGAGTACGCTGATCATGAGACGCACATATCATGCTTCAATCAGCATGATGCAGAATTTCCTCAACTAGACTTCCTCATCTGCAGTCTGTGGTTTAAAAGACATGATCATGGAGGATACCTTGCGGGAATGGTAACATGCTGATGATGAGTGGTCTGATGACGAGAGACGTATCGTAAAACGAAACTCGTTTGCCGTCAACTCCCTATCATGAACTCGATGATACCAAGGATCAACATCCCAAGAAGATCCGCGCCGTCAAAACGCAGGGATAAATTTGGTGTTTTCGAGTTACGATATGCCTTCCTCGCTTCCTCTAAAGCTCCATCTAAGTAGTTAGCGTAGTCAGCCATCCCGCCGCCATGATGTGCTGAGATGATCGCCCATTTATGCCTTGGGAGTGTCAGAAGAATCTCTTGAGGCTGCCATGAGTTGAGGCGTGTCGTTTGCATGCGGCTGAGTTCGGTTCGTTGCGTTTCGTGACGATCCATATAGTAGCTGGTTGTGTCAGATTGGATTTGGAGCGATCATGAAGTGTTTAGGGACAGCCATTCCATTGGTTCTCTCGATGGTGCCGTGAGCGTCACGATGTTGGCGGGAAGCGAATTCAACTGGCCACGTAAGAGAATTCATACAGTACACAGTGAATGGCTTTCACAAATGAGAATGCTTTCTCTTGTAATTTGGTACAATACATAAAGCTTTCCAGCCCACTTCCTTCAAATCTATTATTCAATTAACACCTACTATCTAGCATCTACTCAATGGAGCACTCTAGAGGAACTCCATCCTCTACCACAAGCTCCATTGGCGTGGCTCCCTCCACCGTTTCTCCCTTCACCTCTCCCACCACCTTCAAGCAGAAGTCGACATCAATAGAGTCACACCCAGGGCTCTGCAGTGCTTCATGCAGCCACACCCTGCACTGATCCACCACTTCAGTCACATCCATCTGACTCAACCGCTTCCCAAATCCAGAGCTGTGCTTTCCTTCAGCCTCCTCCAACCCACATCCATCACCACCATCACCACCACCACCTCCAACCACTGCCATGTCAGCTCCTTCCCAAAACGTATCGCACGCACCCAAATCTCCCCCCAGAAGTTCAGGAAGATCCGTCAAATCCAGCAGCAGTGGAATCTGTGCAAGCTCCCCAAGAATATCATTAACATCAGCCATAGAATCTCCAACGTTCACCTTAGCCATAGACCGACCTCTCCTCTTTAATCCAGTCCGTTTCTTACTCCCAGCAGCACCAGCATCAGCTTTCACTGTCCGCTTCCCTGTCAGCAGAAACATCCGGTCCTCCTCTGACTTGCACTGACACGCCAGGCACTGACACGGCGTTTCATCTGACGTGGCGGGTTTCAACTGCTTCTCCAGAGCCTCCCAAAGACCCCCCTCTTCTGATCCCGAGTCGACGTCCAGCTCTTCATTTGCTGCTAAAACCGCGGACGCAGGGGACGGAGGATCCACGCGCCTAACTTTGGATGGCTGCTGCTGCTTCTCCTGATCCAGCTCCTGTTGCTGCTGCGGCTGCTGCTGCTGCTGCGGCTGCTGTTGCTGCTGTTGGAACTCGCCGCTTGCTGTCGGTGAAAACTCCAGGTCCCGCTTCCGCTTTCCCAACAGGGCATCGTCAGGTGTCAGTCGTTCGTGGGAAGTAGCGGCAGCAGCACCAGGAGCAGCAGACGGAGCGAAAGGAGCAGCAGACGGAGGGATGGGAGCAGAAGAAAGAGCAACACGCGCAGCAGGAGCGGAGGAGAATAGTTTTCCGCTGCCGCCACATCGGCGCAGAACGAGACCGGGCGGCAGCTGCAGCAGAGAGATGCGCATTGGCTGCAGCGCCGGCGGTGGAGGGGGAATCGCCACGTGGCATTGCTGAGGTGTCACCTCAGAATCCGACGCGACGTGGTTTCCCAAGGCGGGCTCGACGAGAAGCTCCGGGAACTCGTCGCCTGCGACGCCCAGCGACGAGAAATCGACGTCACCACCAGTAGCATGGAACGCGTCGAGAAGGAAGTCGCCAGCATCGCTGAGCGCATCGCCGAGCGCATCGCCAAGGCATGCATCGCTGAGTTTGCTCTCGAGAATCACGCGAGTCTCCTTCACGAAGTCTGGTTTCACTGCAATCTGGCTCACGTCGTTCGCGGCAAGCTCGGTCGCAGTCTCCCCTGCAGTCAGCTCGACGGCAGTCAGATCCCCTGCAGTCAGCTCGAAGGCAGTCAGATCCCCTGCAGTCAGCTCAACGGCAGTCAGCTCGTCAACCAGATTGGCCTCGGCGATCAGGGTCGTCCCGTCCGTCAGATCCAAGTTCAGGATCCAATCAGCGCCGTCCGCGGCAACCGCAGCCGCGTCAGCAGACGATGAGCCCTCCTCGACGATCAGATCTTCCAGGTTTCCGAACGCGTCCACAGGAGCCTCGTCGACGTTAACGTTATCGTTAACGTCCAGTTGATTGTCGGACGGAGCAGACAGGAACTCCGGAAGTGGGAGGTCGTCGGGGAAAGAGATTCGCGCGGAGGTCGCGAGCAGTTCGGTGGGAGCGTCGTCGTTGGAAGAAGCAAAGTCGTGCGACATTCACAACGAGAGCGCTATAGAAAAGCGGTGATTGAGCGATCAGAGAGCGATCGGACAGCGAGGCTTGGCTCTGCGGAGGCTGAGACGACGAGTATACTCAACGGCGAGACAGTCTACTTGCGAAGAGTTCAAACACAAAAGCGCACAGGGAAATGAAAACAGACTCCCATAATATGTACTACGGTGACCAGCTAGGCCGAGGACCGCTCATTAGCAGACTGAGGCGTCTCAAGCAGAGGGCAAGGGAAACACACAAGCACAGCTGCCATTGTGCTGCTGGGTTTTCTGTGGCGTGCAAAACGGTTTGTGACGGTATAAACGGTTGACGCGGTGTGCTTTGCTGATCCGAAAGTTTTAGAACCAGAAATTTGAGGATCCACCAGCAGCGACACGGAATGCCAGAAATTTGAATGGAATCGACTCCGACAAATGCCCGGAGGAATATGGTCGCAGGGAATGCCATATTTGGTTCGCAGGGATTTCGCATAGAAATTTGGGTCGTGAAGGTCACAAAGCGCAAAGGAAACCCCTGGGCGAAGTAGGCGGACGACCCCCGAGAATACCGAGGGCCAATCCACGAGCGATGGCGGGAAAGTGCGGAGAGTAGCTACCATTGGCCGCAGGGGGTTAAGGTTAAGGTTAAGGTTATATAAGGTCTTAACCGTGTACAGAGAAAAGCATAGAGCACCTAGAAATATGGTCTGTACAACCAATCGCCCAGAGGCGTACGTAGGAAAACACGTTATTTCTCTATCCATTGGATAACCGCCAGCCCAGCCGGGGAGCTCTCTATGCTCAAAAGGAAGAGAGGGCTAGGGGGGGCGGAAAGGGTCCCCAAGCAGCCAGGAAGAGCGGAGGTCTGGGTGGATAGAAGGGGTTCCGTTGTGGTCGAAGACGAGAAAGCGAAGTCGAGTGGCCAGCTTAATGCGAGCGGCTGAGCGTAGTTGTTTTTTTCGCTGACTGTTTCTTCCTGCGCCATAGGAAAATTTTGAAGGCAATGAGGAACTTGGCCAGTATGAGTTGGAGGATCTCAAACAGGGAGGAGGGCGAGTCTTGGAACTTGTGTTCGCAGCGTGCATTCCAAATGGCTTTTGTGGATGCCCCAACCAGGAGGCTCCAAGGGGCCACCTGGCCAGCTCTGGAGGCGAGCGGGAAGAGCAGGAGCTCAGGAGGAGGAGAGCAGTGGAGATGACGACGAGCGACGGAGGAGAGAGCGGAAATCACTGCCGGGGCCACCCCACATTCGTAGAAAATGTGGGAAATAGTCTCCGTGGGTGCGGCAAGGCAGAGAGAACAGATCCCCCGGTCTGCGGCGAAGTTGAAACGCGAGTCCGAAGGAAAAGCGCGAGTGTAGAACCGGAACAGGACGTCGCGCTGGAGGCTGGGTTGCTCGCGTAAAAAGTCGTGGGAGAGGTCGGGGAGAAGGGGAGGAGGAGCGGAAAGGACGTGGATCCAGCGGGCGGCGTGGTCGAGGGGAAGCTGAGTGTAGAGTCGGCGGCGAATGTCAGCTACGCTGGGGCATCCGTCCTGTAGGATGTCGAGCCGCGCGCCGAGCCCTGAACCTGTATGGAAGGGACCTGCAAGCCAGGACCCAACGACGTGTACCGCGGAGAGGGCACCTATGTGGAAGGTGCCGTCTCCAAACGCCGGCCGGACGATAAAACGGTTAGGATGGACACGGTAGAGAGAGACTGAGAGCGACGACGGAGGGGAGAAGGCCGTGACCTGAAGAGCGAGAGTGGGGGAGGTCTCGGAGTCTTCTTTAGGGACGAACCACTCCCCAAGGGCTGCCGAAGGGGGAGGGGGGGAGCGAAGGGCTGACCACTAGGGCTTAGGGATGGCACGGACGAGTTCTCGCCAGACTCTTCGTCCAGAGGAGGAATCGGCTGGGGGAAACAGTGAAGTGAAATGTTTAAAGGAGACCACACCAAGTGAGTGGAAGATGAGAGAGATCAAATGGCCGATGCGAACCTGCATGGATAGGAGGAAACGTTCACGCATGAGAATCCCGAAGAGCTTCCCATTCGGTTTGAGAATAAAACGGTTGAAGGCGGTGGGCTCACCCATTATACACAAAGGGGTGAGGCGAGGTGGGGCGACGACCGGGGTGATCTCTATCAAGGCGCGTAGTTCGGCGAGTGCTCGACTCAAGATTACCGTTGGCAAAATGCCTGATTGAAGGATGGCAGGGTGTGCTAGGAGACAGTGTGTGCCAAAAGGGAGGCAGACGGCGGCTCTTGCTACTTCCTCTGATGGTGAGACGCCGAGGCGGCGGAGCGCGCGGTGAGCGGCTAGAGCGCGGATTTGGGTGGAAGGGGCGATTGCTCCAAGGCCTCCATGGCGAGTGGAGTTGTACAGGAGCCGGTTAGGGATAAGACGGACCGCGAGTCCGTGTTCCTTGAAGCGCGAAGAAGATATGAAGTTCCCGACCAAAACGTCTAGGCGTTTGATAATGTCGGGGGAGGGGGGTTGAAAGCGGCCGGGGAAGGAGATAATAGAGTTTAAGAAGACCGACGTAAGTGACTTGCGGCAAGTAGCTGTGGCACGAAGGGCGGCAAGGAATTTGGCCATGCGCTGAATGCGCGAGAGAGTCGTGGACCAGGTAGTGTCGCTGGGTTGTGCGCGTTCGACGTAGATGCCAAGGATGCGCTCAGCCTCTTGAGGAGTGCGAATGGGAATGGGGCCAGCCAGGAGGATTTGTTCCGGTGCAATGTGGAAAGGGATAATTGAACATTTGTTCCAGTTGGGGTGTTCTCCAGAGACTGCGGCGAAGGTCCGAAGGTGTATAAGTGTGGTCCCAAGCTCTCTAACAGAGGAGAGAAAGATGGTGACATCGTCAGCATAGCAGGCCATGAGACGGCGTTGCGTCGTAGAGAGGGGGAAACCTGGGAGGAAAAGCGACAGGTAGCGTTGTAGGATTTCAATGACACACACAAAGAGGAGGGGGGCGAGAGGGCATCCTTGTCGGACCCCCGTGCGGACAGGGAAGTTGGGTCCGGCGAGGTTGTTAACGGAGATGCAGGTGGAGGTGTTAGTGTGCATGAGGCGGACCCAGGCGATGAACTGCTCGGGAAGTCCCACCATGGCAAGTGCTCGGAAGAGGAAGGCCCTGTCAACCAGGTCATAGGCCTTGCGGAAATCAACAGTTAAGGCGAGAAGGGGGGTTTTCGTGGTTGTGCTCCAGTCGAAAATGTCAAGTGTGTCGTTGATCGTATCGCCAATTTTCCTGCTTTTAATGAAAGCGGTTTGGGAGGGGTGGATAATCTGAGGGAGAGCGAGTTGCAGACGGTTGGCGAGGCAAAGGGCTAGCACCTTATAATCCGAGTTCATGAGGGTGATAGGGCGGAGATTGTCAACCATAGAGGAGCTACCCCTCTTGGGAATAAGGACGGTGCGGCCTGACAGCATTGACGGCGGGAGGGTGGCGGAGATGTGCGGTGAGGAAAAGAGTGAGAAAAATGCAGGGGCGAAGCGGGTATTATACTGTCGGAAAAGCTCGCCCGGGATACCGTCAGGGCCGGGGGTTTTGCCGCGGGTGAGCTGGCTTAAAGCTTTGCTAATTTTCAGAAGGGAGAAGGGGGCTTGCAGATGGTTGAGAAGTCGGGGAGGGAGTGAAGAGGGGGGGATGTGTGCCCAGAAGGCGGGATTCGGCACGTCTGGGGTTGCCCCACTATATAGGGACTGGAAAAATTTGGTGCATTCAACGGTCATGGCTCGCAAATCTGAGATGGTTTGTCCATGTGGAAGTGTGAGCGATGAGATTAAGGAGTCTTTGATGCGAGAATTGAGTCCTGCCAGCAAGGAGGAGGTTCCCATCTCCCTGTGGCCTTCGACTTTAAGCTTTGCTTTTAGAGCGAGCTCAGCGGTTCTAGATGCCTCATATCTTGTTAGTTGGGTGCGGGCTTTGAGGAGCTGTGTGGTCGCGACATGGTCCAAGGGGGAGAGGGCGGATTGGAGCTGGAGGTGGCTGATGAGTTGGACGAGGTGGTCGATAGTGCTGGTAACCCGTTTGCGCTCTTCGTTCGAGAACCGTTTGAGGCTAAGGGTAAGGCCTAGTTTCCAAGAGTCCCAGGCTTCGGGGGAAGGGCGTGATGGCAGGGAGGGGAGGTGAGATTCGATTATGGTAGTGACTTGGGGGCGGTGAAGAAGAGAAGAACTAAAGCGCCAAGGTCGCGGTGCCATTGTTGGGTTGTCGAATGTGAGGGTGCAGAGGGGTGCGAAGGAGTGGTCAGAAACTTCGGTCGGGGTCCAGAGGTATGAGGCTTCAGAGGTTCGTGGGAGGAATAAATTGGAGAGGTAGATTCGGTTCAGTCTGGAGGCAGGCGGGAGAGCTGTACCAGCACTGGCTCGGCGGCCAAAGTAGGAGAAAACGGGGGCGGCAGGGTGGAGTGAGCGGTATACGTCGAACAGTGCGTGCGATACCAAGAGATTAGACACCATGGTAGCCTCGCTAAGTTCGTGACTAAGTAGCTGGCGGTTACGGTCTAAGGGGGAGACCACCGAGTTGAAGTCACCGGCGAGGATCGTGGCAGCAGCTGCAGTGGGTTGCTCCAGTGCGGGAGTCAGGATGGATCTCCACCAGGTCCGGCGGTCAGTAGCGGGTCTCGGCGCATAGATGGCAAGGAGGCGAAGTTGCTCCCGCAGGAAGTTGATGTGTACGGAGAGGAGGCGGCCATCGGCAGAGGGGGACGGGGAGGTGAGAGTTACTGCTCTGTTGAAAGATAAGATGGAGATGCCACCGGGTTGCGGGCATGGGTGACCGTTTGAGTTTATTGCATAGCGGGTGGGTGCGTGTGCCGAAGAGTGTGGGCGGAGTTGGAGTGACAATTTAGGCAAGTTTTTTGAGAGGCGTGTGTCCACTAAAATGAGAATGTCTGTGCGTGGTGAGGAGGTGGAGAGCCAGCGCTTTAAAGCGTTTCGTTTAGCCGGCGTATTGATACCATTGATGTTGAGGCAGCGAACTCGTAGGGGCGTTAACATTGAACTAAGTGGGAGCCCACCGCGCAGAAGGGTGCGCGGATCCACGGGCATCGGTGTTTATTCAAGAGGGGAGAAGATTGGTGGTGGCTGTGGGTACCAGTAGGGCTGTCAGCGAGTACAGGCTGAGGTTCGTGGCGGCTAAGCTTGCGTGGTGGTTTTATTCGGACAACACCAAAGTCACACTGGGAGGATGGCAGAAGGTGGTTGGCAGCATTAGTGTGTAAAGGTGCAGCACACAAGTAAAACTTGGGCAGTTGTGCGTTATACTGGGGAGATGGTCGGTATTTAGCGAAGGTGATCGGTAGCGAAATGTCAATGAGGGGTTTGAAGGTGGAGTAATTGGTAGTTTGCGCAGATGGGAGATTTGGCGTGAAGATTGACAGAGGAATCGGTGTTACGTTCAACCTAACAAACACGATCGTACTCACATCGGTTAAAAATCTAAGGTCTAAATGAGAGCCAGCAAGGGGACACAACAAGGAGGGAACAAGCAACGGATGATAGCCAAGGAATGCATGCTGCTGCGCTAAAGACGATCGCGAAGGAAGGCAGCCACCGGAGCCTTCTGCTGCAGCAGGGTGAGTGCGCGCCAAGGGTCAAAGTCTTCCTTGGCAGCCGGGCGGTGAGCGGAGGCCTTCACGCGGGTGGCGTGCAGGTCGGACTGAATATGCTCCATGGCGCTGTCGAGGGCAGCGCCGCAGCTGAAATCGCAGAGGCCCTCTCAAAAAGTGTCGGTCCGAAATGCAGCCGGCCAGCTAGGTGGTCCACATTGTGTCATTTGACCCCCCAAAAGTGTCCAAAAAGAGTCTTCACCCAAAATTGAAGGGTCTAAAAATGTCCGAAAATTAGCCAAAACGCGAAGTATCCGGAATCTGTCCAAGAAGTCTCCGATTCATGTTACTATGCAGAAGGTCGGGGATCGATGCTTGCCTGGTGCACTATACCGAACACAAAATTGTTAGATTAGGAAAGAAAACGAACACTCCCAATTATAAGTTGCTTTTTACTAGCTAGAATCGATCTCGCGATCTCCCAATCGCACGCGCGATTCGTAACCACTACGCTAACTCGGTTGTAAACCAAGCAAGTTGGTTCAATTAAACTCAAAATCCAATCAAAAACTCCTTCGCAACATGTTGACACCTGTTGCCAGGGTTGCCACCTGTCACACCACCTGCCACACAAACGCCTTCCTGTGCAGGTTAGGCTCGGAAAACATTAGCCACAGCTACCTACACACCTTACCAAACTCATCCCCCAACCACTCTCGACTTGTCCATCCCTTTCAGATCTAGATGCTCCATTTTTTAAACTGAGCTTTTCACTCGAGCATTTCTTGCCCAACATTTGTTCGCACGATCTGTTTTGGTTAGCCTAGCACTACGACTTTTGTAGAACCAATCTAGCTTTGCGGATGTTATACATTTAGGTTTATAAATCCAGTTTCTGCTTTTCTATGCAACAATGTCATGGTGTTCATCGCTTGCTGAGATGTGCGCGGTCCTACGTTTTTTATTCATTCATACAACCAGAATAACGCATTCCATGACGTCGTTTACTTATACCGCTCCTATTTCCAATATCTATCTATCCCCAGTGCAGCATTTGACGGTCTTCTTTTTACGTAACAAGTTATTCAACTTCGGGCGCTGCTAAGGAGCGCTACGGGCACTGCTAAGGAGCGCGATGGGCGCTGCTAAGGAGCGAGACTGACGCTGCTACGGCGGGTGCTGCTAAGAGACGAGATGGGTGCAACTAAGTGCTCGACGGGCGCTGCTAATGCGGCTGCTGCTTAGAGGCGCGATGAAGAGCGGTAATTACATTGTTTAATTCAATATGAACCTGTGTGTTAACGGTTGCTAATCATCGCTTACCTTCTGATGTTTGTTTCAGTTGCATTTGGTGAAGATTTCCTTCATAGAGGGTGAATGTGTCATCACGCAGGTCGGTTTGTTTGATTCAATGTTGGCATTTTTTGTGGTTACCGACTTATACGTACATACAAGCTTCACGTTGATTTCGCGGTTTTGTTTGTTTCCTCCCCTTTGAAAGTGCTCGCAATCTGAAGGTTTTGTTTAATATTTCACAGCCGCCATTTAGTTCTCTATCACTAAGGTACGCGTCGGGCGCTGCTTTGTCAGGACGCTGCAAAGGGTCGTGACGGGTGCTGCTTACCCTGTTGCTGGTAAGAGGCCCCATCAAAGGTGGTGCTCAATTTGCTTAATGATTTGTTGATATAGCCAGTGTGTCTTTGTCAGAATATTATGCTCTAGCCTGCAGTGGGGTGCTCTATAGCGAGTACAACCCTTCTAGGGTTAGCTATTTGTACCACCATTGTTGCTAGTGCAAACTCCTCCTTTCTTCATTCTTACTTTCTACAGCTAACTTTGACATGCTATCAGAGCAGGTCGACCCTCCTGGGTCGATCCTGTGGGTGGGCCCACCACCTAATGCTTCCGCTGCTTTACTTCCTGCCGGGCGCCTCGGGCGCGCGACGACTTCTTCCTGCCGAATTTTTTTTTCTAGGGTTTCGGCGGTTTTCATCCCGCCGTGCGCTTGGGGCGCGCGGCGGTTTCCCACCGTCGAAGTGCCCCCCGTCGCCCGTCGGAGCGCCCCCCGTCGCCCGCCAAAACGCCCCCGTCGCCCGTCGAAGCGCCCCTGGGGCCCGCGCGCGGCCCGTACGGGCTGCGCCAGGCCCGCGCGCGGCCCGTACGGGCTGCGCCAGGCCCGCGCGCGGCCCGTACGGGCTGCGCCAGGCCAGCGCGCGGCGCGGGCAGCCTGCGCGCGCCTCGTCCGTCCCCCTCTCGCCGTCCCCCGCGCTCCTGCCCCTATCCCACCCGTTTTAGGGTTTGGGGATGTAGAGTGTGGGGGTGGCGGGTGTGGGGGTGCCGGTTGTGTGCCCCGTCCCCTCCTTCTCCTCCTCCTCCGTCTCCCGCTGCTGCAGCTGCCGCTCAGGGGGGTGGTTGTGTGGGGAGCCGAAGGAGTGGTCCTAGGGGGGTGAAGGGGGAGTGGAGCTAGGGGCGCAGCAGGGGGTGTGTGTCGAGGGGTGTGGGACTGTTGGGGGAGGTTGAGCGGAGGTTGCCGTCGTGTCGTACGCAGCGCCTGTACTCCGGGGCACTCATTCCCGGTAGCTCAGAGAGCCGGTTGCGCCGTCGCCTGTGGGTCCGTTGCTCCTGCCGCGCATATTAGCCGCGGAGCCTGTTACTCCTGTACTCCGGGGCACTCATTCCCGGTAGCCACGTTGTCGCACCAGAGCCGTCTGTTGCCCGTGTGTCTGCATCTTCAGTCGTCGCCTCCTATCTACTCTCCTCTCACCAGCCCTCCTCCTCCTCACTTGCCCCCTGTGACTGCCTCTAGCTTTGCTCATAATTGTGAACCTTAAACTATTGCTTCTTGCTTGTGCTCAGAATGTGTGGTGACATCGTGATCCACCCTGAGCTTGTACTACTTTGCTTGCTCTGCTGATTACACCCCACTTTGACTATGGGGGTGTGTCAGAATATTATGCTCTAGCCTGCAGTGGGGTGCTCTATAGCGAGTACAACCCTTCTAGGGTTAGCTATTTGTACCACCATTGTTGCTAGTGCAAACTCCTCCTTTCTTCATTCTTACTTTCTACATCTAACTTTGACAGTCTTGTACTTATTGGTTTTTCTTGTATTCAGAGATGTATTAATCACCGTGTAAATGGAGATGTTTGTTTCAATCGTTTCTGGTGACTATTTTCAACCTTGTTGGACAATGTGTCATCAGTCACCACGGTTTGTACGTTTTAGTATAAGCAATTTTGTAGTTATTATTTTTTGGAATGGACCTTGTGGCTCATTCAATATTGTTCTTCAATCCGTGCAGGTTATTTTTCTTTTAAGCATTAACTAATGGGGGTTCGTATATTTATCTGGCAATGCATTATTTAGTTTCTAGCAGTTTGTATAAGTAGAAATGCCTTTGCATGTTCTTTATTAAAAATCATGTAAACAATGGTTGGGTATAAATTTTATTGGTAAAACGCATCTTAGTATATCGGGTACGTGATGTACACATATTGCCTTCGCTTTTCGTATTGTCCAAATGGACTCTTCGCGGACTCTTTGGTCGGACCTAAAACAGACTCCGGAATGTAGCAGGCCTTGGTCCAAAAAGTCTCTTTTTCTGCACGTCCGGAATCCGTCCAGAAAGAGTCCGTTCGGACTCTTGGGGACAACTTTGGGACGCTGGAAAATGGAGATGGGGCGCATGTCCAATATTCGACCCAATCGCCCAGCCCGATGTAGAGGAGGCCGGGGTCGTTGCGGAACGCAGCCGGCGCGGCATGGTTCCCCAAGAGGTTGCCTGCAGGAGAGGGAGCGGTTGGGGGGAGGCGGGGGGGGCAGGGGGGGCGAGGGGTAGAACGGAGGTGCAGGAATAAGGGGGGCAGGGAGAGTCGGGGGAGTGGGGCAGGTGTGGGAGGTGAGGGTGAGAACCGAGGGGGGGGGGACCAGGAGGGCTGAATGGCAGCAGGGGGAGGGGGGTGCAGGGAGGGGGGGAAGGCGCGGGGGAGGGGCGGGGGTCTTCGGAGGCCCAGGTGGGGGGGGAGGAGAGACCAGAGGGGGGTGGAGCGGCCAGCTTGAGAGCGATGTGAGAAAGACCAGGGGGAGGGGGCTGTTGGAAGAGGGGGGGAGCCTCGGTGGGGGTCGGGCGGCCCGGTCAGAGCGCTGGGGACCATTGCAGTTGGGTTCCTGAGAGGGAGGGGGTTGGACAGAGTGGGGGTGGGGGGGGCAGGCGAAATTGGGGGTAGGGGGAAAGGATAGGAGGGGAGTCGGGAGAGGGGAAGGGGGGGGGGGAGTCGACATGTGGGGTGAGCAGGGAAGGAAGCTGTTTGAAACGGGGGGATGGGACATGGGGAGGGGGGCGTGTCCGTGCCAGCAAATGGGAGGGGCAGCGGGGCCGTCCTCTGGGGAGCCCCTGGGAGGAAAGGAATCTGGAGTGGGGAAAATGACGGGAGGGGGCAGAGGGGGGGAATCCATAGGAGGGTGCAGTCTGCGAGGGGGGGGGAGAGCAGGGGGAGGGTGCGGGTGGGGGGCGAGCAAGTGGGATGGAGGGGGTCTGTCCTCCGAGGGGGAGGGGGAGGGTGTGTTGTGGGGGGATGGAATGTTGTGGGGGGAGGGGTTGGGGCGGGTAGGGGCAGGGAGTGGGGAGGCATGGGTAAGGCAGCGGCTCCGAGACGCGGAGATTGCATGGGGGGTGTGGGAATGTGGGGGAGTCATGGGGGTGGGCGGAGGCCCAACTGTAGGGGGGGCAGAGGAGGGTACGGTGGTGGCCAGGGCTAAGCGTCCTGGGAGGGGGTCTTGCCTGCAGGGGTCGGAGGGAGCAGGGAGGGAGGGGGGGGGCGGGGAAGGCGGGAGGGTGGGTGGGGGCCCCGCGACACGGGGGGCCGGGGAGGGGAGTGCTGTGGGGGAGAGGTGAGTGACGAGGGTGAAGGCAGGGAGAGGGGGGGCAGCTGGCGTGGGGAGAGGGGTGGGAGGAGCGAGGGGAGGGGATGGGGGCAGATTGGAAGTGGGGCTGGCAGGGACGCAGACGGCCGTCCGGGGGGGGAAGCAACGAGGCAGTGTGGGGGGGGGGGGCTCTTAGGGAGAGAGGGGCAGCGGGGGGTGTACGCGGGGGTTAGAGGGGCGCCGTGCGGTTGCTGGGTAGGGGGAGGGTAGATCGAGGGGGAAGTGGTGACGGGCTGGGGGACAGCGGGGGAGCGAACGAGAGGGCATCGAGGGCAGGCTACGGGCGTGCAATGACAACAGAAAATGAGGGAGCTTACGGCTGAAAAACGAGCAAGAGATTTCGTACCGTTTGCCTGTTGCAGCTGAGCAATTGAGATCGTGTTCTTGTTCGTGAGGCGCCCGCGGCGGCGAACGGCAAAGACCTCGTGGTCCGATGCGCGATGGTTGTTACCGCACAGCGCGCACACATGGCAGGAGAAGTTGAGCACCATAGCCGGCTTGTTCCTCTCCAGCAGAATTTCGGATGGGATCCGTTCGAAATTCGGATCATCGGGGGTGGCGACCGGGAGCCCTGCGAGGTGGGTGAAAAATGTATCCTCGTAGGGGTCGGAGGCACGGTGAAAGTCAGTGAGGTCCGCCAGCCAGTGCGCGCCATCCTCCTCGGTGGCTTCGAGGAGAGAGACGCGTATGCTTTCTGGATCGAATTCCAGGGGGACGTTTCGGATAGAGAGGGTGGGGGAGCCGGCTGCCTTTGCTGCAGTGAAGGTTTCGAACCTGTCGACATAGAGTTTCACCGTGACAGGGCGGGAATTGGGGATTTTAAGCGCAAGGGGAAAAAGCTTGCGGAAGGCAGCAGCATCCTCCTGCGACGGCCAGGAGAAAAGCAGGCGGCCATAAACTCGGCGGGCCACGCGGAGGGGTTCGCCAACAGTTTGCTCGAAGGGGGGGATGACGCCGGAGTCGAACATGAAGCCACACAGCTGCGCGTTGATGCCAGCGAGAATGTCCGTGCGGTGCAATTCCAAAACGGACTCCGGGAGGAGGAGCGTGACAACCACGCGACGGCGGAGGGGGAGGAGCATAGGGGTGGCCGCGTTCGTGCGCGCGCGGCGAAGATTTCGGGGGGGTCCGCCCGGTGCAGGGAAGGCAAAGAGCAAGGCGGGCAGCGCGGGGGCCGGGTTAGCACCGGAGGCGACAGCCGCGTAGGCAGCGGCGCGAAGGGCCGGGGCGCTGGGGGCGGCAGCAGTTGCTGCCAGAGAGGGCGCGGGGCTTTGCAGAGGCGACGAGGGGGCAGCAGCAGCAGCGGGGAGCACAGGGGACTGCACGGCTTGCGCCAGCGCAGAATCGGAGGAGGTGGAGGGGGAGTTGAAGTTGGCAGGGCCAGCACCAGAGTCCATGCATGGCTTCTTCGCAGCGGGATGGTCGGGGGAGCTCTCGAGCTCGTGCATGAGCCCTTCGGGAAGGTCGTCGACCAAGAGATCCACTCCGGACTCGGCGAGGGTTTCCTCCTCGGCGGTGGACATCGTGAGATCGGTGTTATAAACCTGCTCGGACATAATGTGGAAGTTGAATAGGAGTCGTAGGGAATTGGGAGACGAGAAGTGAGAGAAAGACGGGGGTTGAGGTGAGTTAAATAGGGCAAGAGCGAAGGAACGTCTGCGAGGGGACGTCCGGACGGAGGGGAGGCAGAGGCGCAGCGGGAGCGGACAGACGTGAAACCGTGGAGGCGAGGTTCTGGTGGGATCTCGTTGGGGAGGGGTGGGGGAAGGGCCGACGGGAGGGGGAGTACCGGGAGCCGCGTGGGCAGCGCGTAGGCAGCGGGAAGCGTGGCGACGTGGCGAGTAAATTGAGGGCCAGAGGCGGGAGTGGGAGCCTAGTTGGCAGCCCGAAACCCGGGACCGTTCGAGGGTCCGAGCGCTTGAGCGCGGGGAACGAAACAGGCGGCCTAGGCGGCGCTCCGAGTTTCTGAGCCATGTAGTGGGCTCTGCCGGAGGCGGCAAATGAGTGAAATACAGGGCAGTGGAAGCCAAGTTGCCAGGGGGGACGGGAAGTCCGGGAGTGTTGGCACTTGGGCAGGCATGGAGAAACGGCGAGAGGAGGAGATAACACATAGAAGGAAAAGGCGGGACGAAGGTAGCAGTGACGGCGACCAGAAAAACGGGAGGAGAATGGGGGTTAGTTGTGTTCGGCGAACGGGGTTTGTCGAGGGAGTCCTTGGTGCTCGCTGCAGAAAAAGACAGCTTGGCAGGAGGAGGCCGATCTGTTGGTTGGGGTTGGGGAGAACCGCAGCCGAGCTTCCTGGGGAGGGACGGGGCTGAGGCGAGGGAGTGGAATGAGATTGGGTGAGTGCGCACGAAAAAGAGGGAGGAAGTTGGGGTTAGCTGGAATTGAGGTTGAAGCTGAAAGTTGCAGTGGGCGCGAAATGCCACGGGGGAAAATGAAAAAGGGGAGGCTGCACTTACCTGGATGGAGAGTTGACGTGGAGCGTTTAGGGCGAGAGGGAGTCCGCCAGTGATCCGTTGTGGGGAGGAGTGGCCAATAGGTGGCAAAAGATAGGAAGGGGCGGGGCGAGGGGGACTATCCTGCTGGTGTAGAGCCGCGCTGGGGTGTAGCGAGGTGAAAACGAGAGCTGTAAAAGGGAGAAACGATAGGGCACATGCACGAAGCAACGACGGACAGCGAGTTTGGCCTGGAAGGTTCATGTAACTGGTACTGATGCACGCCAATGCCAGTCTACAAGCTTGCTTGCGGGGCAAACTAGCTTAGGCTTCACAAAAAAAAATTTATGGGCTTTATGGTTTCTCGTTCTTGGCTGCAGGGGGGAACGAAAAGTTCATGCCCGTTCGAAAACAAACACACAAGCCAGGGGTGGCTGTGCTATAGTAGATTTTGCAATGGTACAGCTCGGTAGTGATGGGGAAAAAAATCGCTTACACGTACTACATGAATTATATAGAACATATGTAGTTTCTACAACCACAACTCTGTGACGGACGCCCTAGGCAAATTGCGGCCCAAAACGTCTCAACAATATCCAATGGAGGCCTTCATTGTGATGATGGAGCAAAGGACACAGCGTGAAATTGATTCACACTCTTAGCCCCAGCTTCCAACTCTAGCTTCTCCATCTTGCTGTCCCAACCATGCTCCTTGGCCAATAGCTTCACAACACGTGGCAGGGCATGCATTGCAGCATCAGCATCGAGGAAGGCAATACGAGATCGGCGACACAGAAAATCTGCAGCAGTCTCGCAGAACTCGTTTCGGGCAGCAAAAACTACTTCAGCCTCAATGTCAGGGAACCCTGGCGCAAGGCGCTCAGCCAATAGCTCAGTCTGAAGCAGATGGGAAAGAACAGAAAGAGGGCCAAGAAGCATGATACAACGTAGAATCAGCTAACAGCAATGAACGGCCAATAAAGAAAAATAAGAACCCTCAAGCAATGGTGAACCTTCAGCGTCTTTATACCTGCAAATCATAAACCAGAACGATAACCTACCCGAGCATGAGGTGTGCTCCATAGCCAAACAAGAAAAGATCACGACACTGGGAAATACTTACAGTTGCTATATCCTTCACTTTACTCGCATTCGTCCCGTACGACCGCACCAGATGGTACACCACCGCGGAATCTAGCCGGTACGGGAGGATCCGACGGTCAGGAGCCACCCGCAGCACATCGGCGTTCTGCGCCAGCTGGGAGAAGAGCGCAGGGGTGAAGCCAGCTGCGCCTGTGAGGGGCAGATGCTCCGTCACGCTGGGGGGCAGGGCGAGAGCGCTGCTATTGCCACTGCTGGCGGTGGTGGTGGTTGAAGGGTTGGTGGGGCTGCTGGTGGTTGGTGCTGTGAGGTTACCGACCCGGATGGCTGTGTTGACTGTATCCTCTGCCATGCTGGATGTGGGAGAGGAGGGGGGGAGATTGAGAGAGTGAGGGGGAAGGGCAAAGAGAGAGGACGGAGTGGGATGAAAGGGAGGGAAAGGCGAAGCAGGGAGGGAGAGCGATAGGATGAGTGGTTGTGTCATAGGCAAAAACGGTTTGTTGAGAAGTGGACAAGTGAAGAGAGTTGAATTACGTGATATATAGATGTCATTGATGTAGCAAAGTAGAATCTGCTACACTCACCTCCTGTACGTGGTCCACTTGCCGCCTGTGACTGTAACAAGCGTGCCTCCCTCCACCATCACAGTGTGCTCGCGGACCACATTCGATGTATCTGCCTTGCTCCCTTCCGTCTGTTGCCCCTCCTCTGCCTTCACTTCTTCCGTCTTCCCTGCTCCTGCCACACCTCCCTCGGGTTTACCCTCTTCTTGTGCGGGTTTCTTCGTTTTTAGCCCTTTCCGCAGGAGAGGGCGGAGCCCGCCCCACACAGACAAGACATCCTCCTTGCGCACCTGCAATTGCCACAGGTACCAGAAAGAGTAGCAATCTTTCTAAGCCTACTAGAAAGACATCAGAGGAAAGAAGGGCATTATAGGTGGTGTGACAGTTCTGGCTCGGCACATGGACCCCTTCCCCCCCCCCCCCCAAAAAAAAAGAGAAGTAAAAAGGTGAGGTTCGCCCCACACAGGTAAGGCATCATCCTTGCGCATCTGCGAAGGACATAACTACCAAACGAGGAAAGCAGGCCACTAGATAGGAAGTGAAAAGGCACGGCGTTCGACACATGCCACATTGGCAAACAGGTGTGCTCACGAGTGTGGGAAAAAAGGTGTGAAAAGTTGGACTGCTAATTCGTCTCTATTGGTCCCTGATTCGGACTGATTAGCCTTATCAATCCCACAGGACATCCATATAAGTGATTGCCCTCGTTATACTCACATCCACATTCAGGTAGTTGCTGAGCGTATCCACGATGAACTGAACCTCCTTTTTGTGGGCACCGGTACATCCACCACCTCTGAAGGCGAGCCCATTGCACCATGACAATTGTGGGTTTAGGGTCACTCACACCCAGTTCCAAGCTTGCCCTCGTTATACTCACATCCACATCCAAGTAGTTGCTAAGGGTATCCACGATGAATTGAACCTCCTTCTCCGTGGGAGCAGGCACATCCACCACCTCTGAAGGCGCATCTGTCGTTCTCCCCACCACCCGCCCCAGCCACCACCCTCCCCAGCCACCAGCCTCCCCAGCCACCACCTTCCCCAGGAAATCAATTGCGGCATTACACTCATTCAATATTGAACCCAATCAATCACATTCACATCCAGGTAGTTGCTGAGCGTATCTACGATGTATTGAACCTCCTTCTCCGTGAGCACAGGCACATCCACCACCCCTTTAGCAAGCCCATTGCCCCATGAGAATCATATCCAATCCAATCACCCACGTAAAATCCAATCACTCACATCCACATCCAGGTAGTTGCTCAGTGTATCCACGATGAACTGAACTTCCTTCTCCGTCGGCACAGGCACATCCACCACCTCTGAAGGCGCATCTGTCGTTCCCGCCACCACCCTCCCCAGCCACGGCAGCATGAACATCACCCTCCCGTCCGCCGTCTTCGGTATAAGCAGACCCACGTTTCCACCGCCGCCACCGCTGCCGCTGGCCGTGCCTGCGCCTGCGCCTGACGTGCTACCAGAGGCAGCTCCCAGGTAGAAGTCGGGGAGAACGACGTGCGAGCCAGAGGAGGCGAGGACAGCAAGAGGAGTGTTCGGATCCGCCATACGGCGAATGCTGTTCAGGGGAGGAGGTGGTGGTGTGTGGAAGAAGGGGAGCAGGGGGAAGGAAGGTAGGAGGAGGGGAGGGGGAGGTAGTGCGGAAGGGGAAGGGGGGTTTAGGTGTGAACTGGTTGTGGGCTGTAGCACACAACAGTTCAGCACTGACGTGCTGCCTGAGGCGCCTACATTTGGAAAAAAGAAAGTGGTATTCAGTGTGGTGATATAGAGATGTTGTTACATCTAGAATCTGTAAATGTCCTTGTAGAATTCAGTTTCCAGTTCTGATGGACAACTTTCTTTTGTTCCACAATGAAAGTCCACGTCAGTGTGCCTTTATTTTCCTAAATTTCACGATTCTCCCTTCCTATGTTCACAAGCAATATGGCACATTTCACTCCTCACCTTTCATCCCTCACCTTTCATCCCTCACCTTTCATCCCTCACCTTTCATCCCTCACCTTTCATCCCTCACCTTTCATCCCTCACCTTTCATCCCTCACCTTTCATCCCTCACCTTTCAGCCCCTCGCCAGCCCCCCCCCCACCCCTTTCTCACCTGTAGCAAGCGCCTGTCGCGTTCACCACCACTTTCGCGCGCACATGCACCTGTTTCCCCCTCCACTGCTCTTTCCCCGTCTTTCCCCCCACTCCCATTCCACCCACTCCAACTTCTCACCTGTCACAATAAGCGCCTGTCGCATTCACAACCACTTTCGCGCGCACGTCCACCTGCTTCCCCGTCAGCTCGTCCTTCACCACGGCGCCCTCCACTCGCCCAGTCGGGTCTGTCTTTAGCGCGGACACGCTCGCGTGGTTGAGCACAACAGCGCCTGCGCGCGCTGCAGTGGTGGCGAGAGCGAGGTTCAGCCGCGCGTCGTCCATCTGCCCATCGTAGTACAGCACTCCCGCCTTCAGCGTGCGGCCATCTTGGGAGGGGGAAAGACATTTGAGGAGGGAAAGGAAGACGACGGAAGGGGAGGGGAGGAGTGAGGGGAGAGGATTGGGGGAGGGGGTGGGAGAGGGTAGTGCTTTGTGATTTGACTCTTGAACCAACCAAAAGTGAACCTTAACGCAGGATTGCTACAATGACCGTTATAGGGTGTTACGCTCTAAGCCACTCACCTCGTGCCTTGTGTGCAAGCGTCGGAACCATCCCAGTAGCTTCCGCTGCCGTGACCACGCGGGACATGTAGAGCACTTTCTTCCCCGCTATAAGATCATACGCTTTAAGCCCGGCCCAGTAGTATGGCACCTCCCACCAATGGTAGCACGGCGTGAGCGTGGGTAACGGCCACACCAGGTGCGGAGCGTTGCGAATCAGAATGCCTCGTTCTGCGAGGGCTTCGTTTACGAGGCGAAGCTGGGCGAGATCTCTGCGAAGGAATGCCTTTTCGAGGTACCGAACGCCTGCAGGAGTGAGGAGGGATGTGAGGAGGGGAAATCAAGAGAGAAGGGAGCGTGATGTGTTGCCTGCTGCAAGGACCACGGAAAAAGGACCGTGTGAGAAAACAGAAACCAAAGGTCATTGAGTGGGCTGTACGAAAGTTATTGTTCCACTAGTTCTCGATGGGACTGACCTCCGTGAACGAGCTTGGTGCTTCTAGAGGATGTGCCACAACTGAAGTCGTCTCGCTCCACCATCGCCACGTGGAGTCCGCGTGTAGCAGCGTCCAACGCCACACCAGCACCAGTAGCGCCGCCTCCAACAACGAGGATGTCGAAAGGCCGCGCAGAGCTGCTCCCGGCGAGAGCTGACATCTGAACCTGCCTCGACGGAACCTCGTCGGCAAGCTCTGGAGGGGAAGAAGGAAAGCATTTGAGTCTTACATCCAGGAGTTTTTTTAGAGATTGACACAAGATACGCAAAATCGCATTCAAAAGAGTGAGAACTCAGACACATGGATGTCACCGAAAGTACAGCGTGAAATATGCATCGCAAATGGTGCACCTAAATGGTGTGTAGGCTTCTAGTGCCAGGCATGCAAAACAATGGAAGACTGACAACACTGTCGAACTACAACGTGGCACGTACTGGGAAGGTTCTTGGGAGGGTCGGCATGGCCTGTGGAGTGGATGTAAGCCGCGAGAGCAGCAGCTGCGCCTGCTCCTCCGAAGAGCACGACCTTGGAGAACAACCGACCAGTTGTGCGAATGCTCATTCTGGCTACCCTGAACTTATAGCTGATCCGACGAGCTGGATTGAGTTATTGTTCCGAAATGCGAGTATTTGACTACTCGGTGCTAGGAAATCATCGACTGGCTGTCGCGATGCAACCAGAACCGCATGAAGTACAGTATATGCCACGCAAAGAAGTTGTGATGCCACACTACTCGTACACTAACCTCGGAGGTTCATCTAGCAAGAACGCAGCACAAGACGCTGTCTGAATATCTATGCTAATAAGTATACTACTGCTTGGAAATTGCTAGACAAGGTTTGATATTCTGCAGACGACCAGTGTGAATACGCGAGAAATGATTTCTGAATCCTGAACATCAATACTGACTCGTTCCTGATTAGCAACTGGTATTGTTCCTCTTGAGAAGGATGGAACTAGGAGGAATCGAGGCTGTGATTGTTAGTGACTTCAGGACTAGATCAGGCTGGAACAGTAAGCGAATTTCCAGGTTAAGCAAATCCCGAGGGACCACCCTGACACGTGGACCCGCGATTCCCGATGAGGGTCTCTTTTCCGCGCATTGCTGGACGACGACGGGTCATCGGTGGGCCAATGTGAGTCAGCCGTGGTCCAACAACCGATTCGCGTCCCAAGGAAACGGCACGTAAGCAGCCACGTGCGAAAAGAGAACTAGAATCACGGTTGGTGGGGCGAAATGTGCTGGCAGTCCCACATATCCACGGTAGCATTGACGCGGCAGAAAAGAGAATCAGGTTTAGAATGACTCGTTACAAGCTGTTGTGTGTACAAGGCTCTCCACCACATTACAGGTCTATTCTCCAAATACGTTTCCTGCATCAATACAGAATCGTTTGTGGTGGGCCAAGAAGTCTGGCTTGCTTGGACATTTCGGCCAAATGCCAGTCTTCCATGTACCATTCTGGGGTACTATTTGTTGCAAAAACTTCTTCACACATTTTTATATCACCTCTTAGTAGGCCCTGCATGTCAACCCTTAGTGGAAGCATCATAAGGTGCAGATGGATAAACGAGAAGAGTGACAGGGCATTTAATCATGATAGTTGAGAAAAAGCATTTGCATCAAAGCTCGTACCTGAAAATGGTTTAGTAAATGGCCGGCTGATGCAGGAAAGTCTATTCCATTATCCACTGGCTCTATTGTGCGATGCACCTGGACGGATGAATGTGAGATAGATGGATCAATGAAATCTAAAACGACACAAGTAAAAAAAAAAAAAAAAAAAAAAAGGAGAATAATAAAACCAAGCGAATAGATGGAAAGATACAGTGCTACTTGCCTGCATGGCCGTGACAAGTTTTGTGTTGGCGATAACTTTCCGGTGCCCGAAATAATTGATACACTTATCCTCCACGTGTCCCGCATTCTTGGGCCCTATGCAGTAGATGTGAGGCCAGTGGAAGGGCATTCGCTCTATATAAAAGTGCTCCGATGGAGGCTGAGGGCTGTGGTGTGATGAGAGAGGTGGAGTTTTGGGATAAGGACGACAGCAACAATAGTAGGAAAATCGAGAATATTGAGGGGGATAGTAGAAGGGCATTCGCCAGATGAAAAGAGCTCTGATGGGGGCTGAGAGGGCTGTGCGGTTATACGAGAAGTGGGTTCAGGGATAAGGAATACAGGCATGATACAGGAATACAGGAGAATTGGGGATGTTGATGGGGCCAGTGGAAGGGCATTCACTCAAGATAAAAGTGCAATGATGGGTGCTGAGGGCTGTGGGTGATGAGAACGATGGAGGCAGCCAGAAGGTGATGTAGGGCAATTCAGAGTGCTCCTGTAACAAACACTGAACTGTAGCATATTACTCAGCTCACGCACACTTGCTGCACACACACATATCACACACATATATCACACACATATCACACACATATATCACACACATATATCACACACATATCACACACATATATCACGCATTCTCATCACACGCACGTACCGGCAGCGTTCGATGGACCACCAGAGGCTGCCAAAGGTGATGTAGGGCGCGTGAGAGTGCTCCTGTAGCAACCACTCAACTGTAGCATATTGCTCACTTCAAGCACACTTACCACACATGCATATCACATAACACTCTCACACTCACACATGTTTCACATAACACCCTCGCACACAAATCACATAACACTCTCACACACATATCACATAACACTCTCACACACACGTACCGGCAGCGTTCGATGGACCACCAGAGGCTGCCAAAGGTGATGTAGGGCGCGTGAGAGTGCTCCTGTAGCAACCCTTTAAGGGTCTGGGGCGGCTGGATGTAGAGAAACTCGTCGAAATCGGCAAAAAACACCCACCTGGAGTAGTGGAGGAGAGGTGAGAGTATGTGAGAGTGAGGAGAGTGAGTGAGAGCGAGTTGACGAGAAGGTTAGAGATGCAGAGGCAGGGCGAGGCAGAGACTGTGTGAAGGGAAGAGAGTGGGTTTGGAGAGGTGGTGGAGAGCTCTAGAGAAAATCATGAGGATCTAAATCAACAAATTGGGTGGAAGGATGGGAGGATGGGACTCACTTGGACATGTATTTCATCCGATAGAGGCAGTTATTCAATACAAGCACGTTCTGCTTGGACTCGTATCTGGGAATGGGAAGTACAGGGAATAGAGAAAGCACGGGGGAATGGGAAACACAGGGGATTACGGATCGTCGTGTCACATTATGAAGAACTTATAAACAGCTATTGCCCCTCACTCGTACATTCTGTTTCCACACTCGTGTACCTCTCTCCTCACTCACTTGTCCTCTCACCAATTACTTGTCCCCTCCCCACTCACTCGCTCTGACACCCCACAATCCCTCCCCCACTCACTTGTACCCTCCCGGCATGTCCATCATTCCTGCTGCTCTGTATGGCTGCAGGACCGGCCCTCTCCCGCTCTACTCTCTCACAACCCTTCAAACTCACTCGTACCCCTCCACACTTCCTCCCCCACTCACTCGTACCCATCCACACTCACTCCCTCACTCACTTGTACCCTCCCCGCATGTCCAATATCTCCATCATCCCCGCTGCCATGTAAGGCTCCAGGACCTGTGAGTGAGTGAGTGAGAGAGTAAGTGAGTGAGTGAGTGCATTATTGAGTGAGTGAGTAAGTGAGGGACAGTGGGAGAGAGGGAGTGAGTGATGGAGTGAGTTAGGAGGGGAAAAGTAGGAAGCGTAGGAGTGGCAGAGGGAGCGAGGAAATGAGTGAGTGTGGGAAGGAGGGAGGGAGGGAGGGCGGGAGGGAACGAGTGAGCGAGTGAGAGAAGCAGGGACTGGGTGAGAGAGCGAGGTTAAATGCAAAGCAAACGACTTTTGAGATGTCTCAAAAGTGAGCGAGTGAGAGAAGCAGGGACTGGGTGGGAGAGGGAGGTTAAGCGGAAAGCAAACGGATCGGAGGGAGCGAATGAGGCAAGGGTAAAGGGGCTTACCTCCGATCCTTATCTTGAATGGGTAAGGCTGAAAAGTACGCATCCATTCAAGGTAAGGTAAGGCCTACCCTTGCATCATTTGATCCCTCCCATCCATGGGTAAGGCACGTTCATTCAATATAAGGTAAGGCTGTCTGTCTGCCACTCTATAGGAACTGGCACAGTTGAAAAGTACATAGTTTTCATGAACGATGTACGATGCGTATTTACACCAAGAACGTTCTTTTACATGCAAATGTGTTTCAGAGGAAAAAACATTCTGTACGATTTCAAAATCTGTTCATAACTTGTCAGTATCGGACAGACGAGGTGCTTTGTGCCGGGCATGAGACAGCAATGTCTCACCTCATAAATGTCTTCCACGACAGTCGCACCGTCGTTGAGAACAAAGTACTCCACGCCCAGGTAGTGCAGGGCGATCTGGGGAAGAGATGAAGGGACACGGAGTGGGGCGTGGGGCAAATGGTGTGGGAAAGAAGGGGGGCCTGGGATAGAGGCACCGTTGTTGAGAACAGAGCACTCCTCGCCCTGGTAGTGCAGGGATGTCTGGGAAAGCGAGGGAGGAAGGGACACAGAGTGGGGTGTGGGGCATGTGATGTGGGAAACAAGGGGGGCCTGGGATAGAGGCACCGTTGTTGAGAACAGAGCACTCCTCGCCCTGGTAGTGCAGGGATGTCTGGGAAAGCGAGGGAGGAAGGGACACAGAGTGGGGTGTGGGGCATGTGATGTGGGAAACAAGGGGGGCCTGGGATAGAGGCACCGTTGTTGAGAACAGAGCACTCCTCGCCCTGGTAGTGCAGGGCGATCTGGGGGGGAAAGCGTTGGAAAAGTGGAAGGATGCGGATCGGGGTGTGGGGCACACGTGACCTCATACCTGTATGTATGAGCGTGCATTCGACACCAGCACGAGCGGTAACCAGGACATTCATACTTGTAACCAGCACAGCCATACTTGTAACCAGGACATTCATACTTGTAACCAGCACAGCCATACTTGTAACCAGGACATTCATACTTGTAACCAGCACATTCTTACTTGTAACCAGCACAGCCATACCTGCACTGCAACCACTCCTGTATGGTTTTGGGGGAGGTAGGAGCAGACGAAGTCACCAGAACATGCATCCAACATCAACAGGTTGTATGGGGGAGGAGCATAAGGCAGGTTGTATGGGGGAGGAGCATAAGGCAGGTTGTATGGGGGAGGAGCATAAGGCAGGTTGTATGGGGGAGGAGCAGAAGGCAGGTTGTATGGGGGAGGAGCATAAGGCAGGTTGTATGGGGGAGGAGCATAAGGCAGGTTGTATGGGGGAGGAGCAGAAGGCAGGTTGTATGGGGGAGGAGCAGAAGGCAGGTTGTATGGGGGAGGAGCATAAGGCAGGTTGTATGGGGGAGGAGCATAAGGCAGGTTGTATGGGGGAGGAGCAGAAGGCAGGTTGTATGGGGGAGGAGCATAAGGCAGGTTGTATGGGGGAGGAGCATAAGGCAGGTTGTATGGGGGAGGAGCATAAGGCAGGTTGTATGGGGGAGGAGCAGAAGGCAGGTTGTATGGGGGAGGAGCAGAAGGCAGGTTGTATGGGGGAGGAGCATAAGGCAGGTTGTATGGGGGAGGAGCATAAGGCAGGTTGTATGGGGGAGGAGCATAAGGCAGGTTGTATGGGGGAGGAGCATAAGGCAGGTTGTATGGGGGAGGAGCATAAGGCAGGTTGTATGGGGGAGGAGCATAAGGCAGGTTGTATGGGGGAGGAGCATAAGGCAGGTTGTATGGGGGAGGAGCATAAGGCAGGTTGTATGGGGGAGGAGCATAAGGCAGGTTGTATGGGGGAGGAGCATAAGGCAGGTTGTATGGGGGAGGAGCATCGATGACAAACTCGTCCTGGGGTAGGAGCACAAGGCAGGTCGTGCACTCAAAGCAAGACCGGCACAACAGAAGCCATGGCACTTGTACCTGCAGCCACTCCTGGAAGGTCTTGAGGTTGAGGAGGCGGTACATGGGGTAGGAGCTCAAGGCAGGACACCAGAACATGCATCCAATGTAAACAGGTGTGGTAACCAGCACATTCATACCTGTAACCACTCCTGGACGGTCTTGGGTTTGAGAAGGCGGTACATGGGGTAGGAGCAGAAGGCCAGGTTGTATGGGGGAGGAGCATCGATGGCAAAATCGTCCTGCCCCTCCGCGTGCATCACCACTGCCTGCTCGTCTGCGGGAGGGGGGATAAAGGGAGGACCCACATGAACCAATTTGAACCAATTTGAACCGATTTGAACCAATTTGAACCCATCTCGCCTCCCAAAGGATTCTGCATCGATGGCAAACTCGTCCTGCCCCTCCGCGTGCATCACCACTGCCTGCTCGTCTGCGGGAAGGGGGAGGGGGAGGGGTAGAGAAGGGAGGTGGGTTCATTTTGGAGACCGTGAGGGTGAGAGACGAAGGAGAGAGGGAGGGGGGAAGGGAGGGAGGGAGGGAGGGAGGGGGAGGAAGGGAGGGAGGGAGGGAGGGAGGGAGGGAGGGAGGGAGCGAGGGAGGGGAGGAGGAAGAGAGGGAGGGAGGGAGGGAGGGAGGGAGGGAGGGAGGGAGGGAGGGAGGGAGGGAGGGAGGGAGGGAGGGAGGGAGGGAGGGAGGGAGGGAGGGAGGGAGGGAGGGAGGGAGGGAGGGAGGGAGGGAGGGAGGGAGGGAGGGAGGGAGGGAGGGAGGGAGGGAGGGAGGGAGGGAGGGAGGGAGGGAGGGTCACAACAAGGTGTACGCTAAGCTTTAAATCCTGGCTGAATGGAACCAAAACAACGCAGGCAATGATTGCGAATGTAAGAGCTCCCTCACGCCCCAATTCACTCCCTCACTCACTGAACCCCACACTCACTCTGCCACTCACTCCCGCACACACAGAGAGATGGACCTAGCAGGAGAATGGCAGTGCCTCCAGTGGTGCCTGTGCTGTTAATGAGCAGAGTAATGAAGGCAATGCAGGCAAAACCTCCTAACTCCTCCTAACTCCTTCACACATAGTTAGACATACCTGGCAGGAAAATTGCAGTGCTTCCAGTGGGGCCTGTGCTGTTGATGAGTAGAGTAATGAAGGCAATGCAGGTGGAACAAGAGAGCTCTCTTACTCATCCCTGCAGCCGCTCCCCCACTCATTCCCTCACTTACTCCCCACCCTCTCATCCACTCATTCACTCCCCCACACAGAGATTGACTTACCCAGCACGAGAATTGCAGTTCCACCCGTGGTGCCAGTGCTGTTGACTAGCAGAGTGCACTCGTAAATTGCTGTCTCGTACAGCAGCCAGTGGTGCTCCGCAGGGTAAATTACCCTCACTTTGCCCTCTGCGTACCCCCCATCCAATGCTAACCAGTAGCATTTGCTGGCCTGTAAAGAGCACAAAAAAAAAAGGACTGCCTTCTATGATGTGGAGCGAAGGGAAAAGCATATAATATTGGCCATAGAAGCAAAAGGGAAAGAGGGTGTATAGGTGGTTGCAGATAAGAGGAGAATAAACCCCACTGCGTGTTAAATCACCCCACTGCGTGTTAAATCACCCCACTGCGTGTTAAATCACCCCACTGCGTGTTAAATCACCCCACTGCGTGATAAATCACCCCACTGCGTGTTAAATCACCCCACTGCGTGTTAAATCACCCCACTGCGTGTTAAATCACCCCACTGCGTGTTAAATCACCCCACTGCGTGTTAGATCACCCCACTGCGTGTTAAATCACCCCACTGCGTGTTAAATCACCCCACTGCGTATCAACTCACCCCACTTCCTCCCTCTTCCTTCAGCTCCCGCAGCGAGTGCCCCACAGCAGCAAACTGGTTACCACTGATGCGGTAACCACCCGCCATGACAAACCGGTGCTGGCCAATGGGAGCGCCCGAGACAGGTGGCGGCTCCTGATAGGCCCGCTGCAGAAACGGCCGTTTTGTGAGGCAGGGATTGGATATTGATCCGATGTGGCGCATGTTTCCCCCTTCCACGTCAGCATCTGGCGAGGGCAGGGGAGGGGGAAGGGGAGAGGGAGGGGGAGGGAAGGGAGAGGGAGAGGATGAGGGGAAGGGAGGGGGAAATGGGGAGGGAGGGGGAAGTGGAAAGGGAGGGGGAGGGGGAGAGATGCAGTTGAATTTGGAGGACGAGAGGGAAGAGAGATGGATGGAGAGAAGGGAAGGGAGCGGGCAGTTGAAATTGGATCTTTAGAAGAGAAAGATAATACTGAGCATGTCAGATTTTAGAAAGAAAAAGGAGGGGGAAAAAACAAACAAACAAACACCTGTCCTGTAATCGAGCTTCCGTGTATTTAGTTCCTCGGGTTGACCCGGCAAAAACACTCCTTGCTTCTGTGCCTGCTGCCAGAGCCTCTCATTCAACTTTGCCTGAGGCGGGGGAGAAAGAAATGGTTTCCGCCTAACAGCCCCTCCCCCGATCCCCCTCCCCCCGGCTCCCCCTCCCCGCCATCCCTCCTTTTTTCCCGCGCGACCATGCTGGAGCGAAGCTTGAGAGCCTTTCTCCTGGTCCGAGCCTCTGAAATTCCCGTAAGAACCGGCGCCGATCCCGCCGTGTTTCGCGCCGCTGATCCCGGAATGCCCGCGCTGCTGGCGCAGCAGCTGCTTCCGCGCAAGCTCCGCGTTGGACTGGCGGAGAAGCTTCTCGCGGTCGTAGCTGGAGGAGATGTTGAGAATGGCCAGGAGAATCAGCGACGGCCCGAACAGAACAATACACGTAGTTAATAGCGAGACGCGATGTCGACCCGCTGTTTCGTTAGGTGATGCTGCAGCTCCTCCCGGATCAGATTTTCCTGCTGCTGACAGTAATTCGGAGGAGGAGGCGTGTTGGTCTGTTTTATTAAGTACCAGCTTGACAACTTCTGTTTTACTGGGAACTTTCTGGAACGAAGCGACATTTCGCCGGTGCGTCGTTGACGAAGAGCCGGCGTCTTCGCCAGGGTAACCCTCCGACACCATTCTCGCTCAGAAACGAATTACAGCTGCCGGAAACTCTCTTACTAACAAATGTTAGCAGCAATGACGACCGAAGCGCCGTCGCAGTTTGTTAAAAGCGGACATTAAAGTCTTGCAGGTGTCTCCGCCGACATTCCCCTGGATATACCCCAATGCAGCTAACTGATAATAATTCTCAAGTCGAATGAATAATTACCTCCTTCATGTGCCTCAATTTCAGCAAAATTGGACCTCTGTCACAAGAGCTAGAACGTCTATTTCGCAATGTGAATTACTCTACACATGAAAACCATGATAGCACCAGGCAAATTGGTGGTTACCGAGGGTTCTCACGAACTAAGGTACCTGGTTGGTAGTACAATAAAAGCCAATAAAAGCCACTTAGGTCATTATGCCAGAAATGATGCCAGAGATGATGGTATGGTAGTCCTGAATCCTGATTCCTGAAGAATAATGCTCGAACAGTTACTTCAAATGTTCTCCAGATAGTCCTACTGTGAGGTTATGAGAGTTCATTTCATGCTCAGTAAAAGCGGTTGAGTACGATAATGTGCACTCTGAAGCGGTGTTCAATCTTCACCGCCTTGTACCGCTACTCACCAGCCTGAAAACATTGATAATTTATTCGTATGCCAAGTCAAGTGCATCATGCAAGAATTGGAAAGGACAGGCTTGAACCTTTCTAGCGAATGTACGGTATGATACGGTCCAGGTAATAGTAGCACGGTGCAGCTACGTTTCAGGGAGTTCGACCAGCGCCACCA